CTTGTCTCTGTTCCGTCACTACCAGATCCGATCTGGCGGTGTGCGCTCCGGGTTCACACACGTCGAGCCGGAGGAGAAGCAGGAGATTCTCACCCTACTCCGCATCTTCAAGGACCCCGGCGGTGGCCGTGCAATTATTGTCCACGAGGTGGAACCCACATGGCGGAGCCTTGACGAGAAGGACGTCTTTGTTTTGGACAAGGGTGAAAAGATCTGGGTCTGGCAGGGCAAGAGCTGCAGCCCAATGGAGAAGGCTAAGGCAGCACAGGTGGTGAATGACATGACTCTAGCAAAGCATATCGATGTGGAAGTTCTGTCGCAACTCGAATCCCGCTCAAAGATCATTGTTGATCTATTGGGAGGCAAGGACCTGCAACAACATACATTCCAGGCACCTCGACCTGGCTCATTCGCCAAGAGATCCACTGAGGGTAATAACGCCTCTCAGCCGCGCAAGCTGTTCCGCCTTAGCGATGCCTCTGGGCAATTGTCCTTTGATCTTGTCAAAGACGGCGGTCGGATCAACCGGTCGGACTTTGACGGCAACGATATCTTCCTATATGACGTTGGCAGTAAACTTTGGGTCTGGCAGGGCCTCGGCGCCAGCGAGCGCGAAAAGGCGCACTGGCTCAGGGTTGCCCAATATTACGTCCGTCGACTTCAAGAAAGCCAAGAAGATTCCGAGGCATACCTTACTCCAATTGCCAAGGTGGTTGAGAGCCACGAGAGCACGGCGTTCTTGAAGACCATCGAAGTGTAGGTATGTACATACGTTTCCTTTCATAAATTCTGTAGAATCGAATCACGAAATACACTTCAAACTAGCCAAGCTCCCCCATTAGTAGCCACAGTTGAACCCGTCACAAAATAATCCTTCATCAGGTACAAGTATGCCTCGGCCGTGTCTTCCGGATATCCAATGTCGTTTGTCAGAGACTGTTGAGTGTACTTTTCGATTGCACCTTCCTTCATTTCCTTGGGAAGTCGGTCCGTAAGTTCCGTCAAGATGAAGCCAGGTGAAACGGCGTTGACACGGATCGGCCCCAGCGTGATAGCCAGCCCCTTCATCAAACCTTCCACGGATCCTGCTACAGCTGGTGCGAACCAGATCGACGGCTTCTTGCTTTGGGTACCCGTAGTCAAAGTAATTGACGAGCTCTTGCTCGACACCATGTACTTGGGTGCATATTTCCCGACCGCCATCGCGCCAAAGAATCGAACAGTGAGATACACTTCGAAGTCGCTGAAAGAAGCCTCTGCCAGTGGTACCATTGGAGGGACATTGCCAGCAGTGAAGACGATGTGATCAATTGGCGAGATTTCAGCGGCATATTTGAGTAGCTCTTCGACGGTCGACTCTAATTTGTCCTTGATGGAGAGATCGGCAACATAGCTGCGTACTGCCGAGGCTTTGTCCGGGTTGCTGTTGCGAAGGCCTTCAGCAGCTTTTGATACTCTTTCCTCGGAGGATGATGTGATGGTCACATTTGCGCCGTCTGCGAGAGCTTGTTTGGCGACCGCAAAGCCAATGCCGGATGTGCCGCCGATCAGTAGTATATTCTTGTTTGCGATTCTGGAGACCATGATTGAACTGATTTAATTTGAAGATAATTGCTGAGGCAGTAGAACCTAGTTTCATTAAATGTAATTACACCTTTATATAGTCTCTATGATACGTTAGCATTCGTGTTTAGAAGGATCTTTCGTTTCGTCCTTTCGGCTCCTTTGGTCCGATCATTCGGCCGGACTCTTAATGTCAACGGATCAGAGACGGACGAACACAAAATACATCGTTTTCTACACAATATATCACTTATGATGCAGTTCAATCTTAGCAGCTATGCTTTCTTGATCATGACCTGACGAGACAAGTCCGGGAGGATGACCTTGTTAGGTTAGCTAAAATCCAAAGTGCGTATAGGTCAGGTCAGCCTAGAGTACACGGCAGACCTCGCATTTAGCGCTTCTGACGACAATAAAGTTGAAATGAACGTTTAATGGCGACAGGAAAGACAACAGCACTCTGAAGAAGACTTGACTTCGTATAAAGGTCAGTGCCATGAGTGCCAAGATAAGAAGTCTCATGGCGTCATCTTAGGCTTCAATTTGTAGTCTATCTCACCATCCTTGGCATTGAATCGCCCATTAGCCAAGATTCTCGCGGTAAAAGCTTGCTGGAATATGCTTTTCGGTTCACCACTTTGTGATGTTTGGGGTTTATATTTCGACCTGAATGCCTTTACGGTATCTTGCTGCGATGTCAGATCTCTATTCATCGAAGGGGTTTTCACACAAGCTCATAGCAGTTTTGTTTTCAACATTTGTAATAGAGAACGGTTAGACTTTAACCTGAAGTAAGCAATAATATCTTGACAAGCTCAATCCCCGTCACGAGGCAATCCAGCTGTTAAACGTGCGGGGGCGATGCATTTGCTGTTTCGGCCTCGGAGCACGCAATGCCAGACCCTTACTGAAACGGTAGGACGATCTTCCTAGTGTCCTATGTAGCACATCTTAGGTCATTAATCTATCGCCATATTGTCAAATGTCACCCCGCGGAGTTGCTTTGACGGTGGAAAGTACAAATAAACAGCGGTTATCTCCTAAAAACATGTCTCCAAAAGTGAGGCCACAGAAAATTCAAGACTGACCACTGGGTGATCTCTGTCTGGATCCAAAGAACCATGGGTAAGGTGGATGGAAAACCCACCTCTGTGGTGGCTCTGAGCGAGAATTACCCAAAGGAGCATGCGATAAATTATGGCACCCTAGAACAAAGTGGTGAAAGGACCGAAAAAAACAATCCCTTCCTGGACCCTGAGGTTGCAGAATACTGGCGTGGGGTATACGAGAAAGCGCACTATGAATGTCGGGATTTGTTTGATCCCACTCTAACGTGGACTGAGGAGGAAGAAAGACTCTTAGTTCGCAAGCTCGACTGGAGAATTTGCTTATGGGCTGTATGACACCAAGTCCCCGAGTCCTTCCATTGTCCTAAATTACTTATCACTTATTGTCATCTTTCCAGTGTGTCATGTTCTTCGCACTCCAAGTCGACCGAGGGAATCTTGTTCAGGCAGTTTCAGATACTTTCCTAGCAGATCTCAAGCTCAACACAAACGGTAAGTCACGATTCCATACTTCCAGATGCCAGGAGGTCATCTTGATACCAATTTGGAAGAACTTGCAGTGTTCCTCGTTGGCTGGCTTCGTTGACCAATACTAATGATGTGCAGATTACAACATTGGTAACATCGTCTTCCGACTCTCATTTCTTGTCGCAGAGTTACCATCGCAGTTGATCTCAAAGAAGATTGGACCGGACCGTTGGATTCCCATTCAGATGGTACTATGGTCGGTAGTTGCTATCTCACAATGCGCCTTGACCGACCGGAAAACATTCCTACTCACACGTAGCTTGCTGGGTATCCTGGAGGTACATTAACTTGTGAGAACTGAGACACCTCTCCAGCTCGCTAACTTTCGTTCAGGGTGGTTTTATCCCGGATATCGTGCTGTGGCTGTCTTATTTCTATACCTCTCGCGAGCTTCCAATTCGTCTAAGGTATGAACTAATCCGGCTCATACCTGGTCTCTACTAAGATAATTCAGCTTTTTCTGGACCTCTCTCTCCGTGACGACCATCGTGACATCTCTCTTGGCCTTTGCCGTCTTCCACCTTGGCGGTGTTCATGGCTGGGCAGGCTGGCGATGGCTCTTCCTCATCGAAGGGTTGATAACCCTCAGTATCGGTCTAGCATCGTTCTTCATGATGCCCGCCTCGGTAGTCCAAACAAAAACATGGTTCAGACCGAACGGATGGTTCACCGATCGTGAAGTCGCAATCGTGGCTAATCGTGTCCTGCGCGACGACCCTTCCAAGGGCGACATGCATAATCGCCAAGCTGTGACTCCTCGCAGGCTCTGGAACGCCATCAAAGACTACAACATGTGGCCGATTTATTTTATTGGAGTGGTCGTATATATCCCTCAATCGCCTCCGAGCTCATACATTACTTTGACTCTCCGTTCACTGGGCTTCAACAAGTTCCACACTAATCTACTCACGATCCCCGCGAACGTGTTCCATATCGGCAATCTACTTTTGATCACCTGGGTATCCAGTCGACTGAATCAGTGGTCACTGGTGGCTATGTTTCAGGCTCTCTGGACGCTTCCATGCTTGCTTGCACTCCGATTTTGGCCTGATGTCATCTCCAATGCCTGGGGAACGTACGCGGTGGTGACAGTGTTGCTAAGCTACCCATATTGTCACGGTATGTTTCAAGCTAGGCAAAGTGATAAGAACGCAAAGTACTGACCCCAAAATAGCCATCGTGGTTGCATGGGTATCCAGGAATGCCAATAACGTTGGAAATCGCTCGGTGGCAGCTGCACTTTACAACGTAAATGACTCCCAAGCGAAAAATAAAAAACGAGTAACGAAGTGCTAACTGATTATACAGATGTCGGTGCAAGCAGGAGACGTTGCTGCTTACTTCATATACAGAGAGGATGATAAGCCCAAATACCGCAGGGGCAATACTGATTTGATTGCAATCAATATCCTGGCAATCGCGCTATTCATTGCGGCCAAAGCATACTATGTGTTCCAAAATCGGAGGCGGGACAGGATCTGGAATGCGATGTCTGAGCAAGAACGGAATGAATACATCCGAAACACTGAGGATCAAGGAAGCAGCCGATTGGATTTCCGGTTCGCGCACTGAAATAAATTGGTGTATTTTGCGAGTGGGAAAGAAGACACGAAGGAAGGAGAGGTTGAAATGGATAGTTTAGACGGAAGTACACCGCCGGACCTGGATGAGCAATCTGTTGTGCCCCACCATCAAATTTCGCGACTGGACTTACCACTACTCTAATTCAATTCAATTCATTCATCTTCAATATATCTGATTCCCAAAGTACCGATATGTACCACGAAAAATAAGCAACTTGACTGCTAGCTACGATGCCGATGTGACCGAGAGGTTCCCACAATGCAAGCAGCCAACATCTCCTTCATCAGCCTAGGCTTGGTGGTTCTAGACGAGATCCGATTTCCCAATCGGACACCATTGACTGATATACTTGGAGGGTCTGGCACTTATGGTGATTATCCCTCGTTTGATTTTATCTGTCTGATTGATATTGTTGACTAACATGGCTATAGCAACTCTTGGTGCCCGATTATTTCTCCCTCCTCCATCTAGTCCCACTGTGGGATGGGTGATCAACGTGGGAAGTGATTTCCCGGATCCGGTGAAAGAACAATTAGAGAGTTGGAAAACGACATTGTGCATCAGAGAAAGAGTTGATGTACCGTCAACGAGAGGCTTGCTGGAGTACAAAGATACTACATTCGGGCGTATGTAATGACTCTCGCGCCCTCCAAATTCTCATGCTCATTGCCTCTCTAGCCAAGGACTTCAGATATACCACCCCCGTTCTCGCAGTCCAAGAGGACAGCTTGAAGCATACAAACCTTCTAGCTTCGTGTGCCTTTCACTATTTAGCTAGCCCCGAAGATTTAAAAGTCCGAGTATCCAAGCTCCTCCTTCTGCAGGCAGAGGCGGGCATTCATGAGCGCCCTCTGATAATTTGGGAACCAGCTCCTCTTTCATGCCGGCCAGAGAACCTTGAAGCATGTCTGGAAGCTGCAGCTTTGGTGGACGTCCTTTCTCCCAATCATCTAGAGCTGGCCAAACTTTTTTCTGAACCGCAATCAGATGTGATTGACAAGACAAAGGTCGAGGAGTTAGCGTTCAAGTGTTTAGATCGTGGAATCGGCCCAGACGGTAGTGGCACGGTGATCGTACGCGCGGGTGAAAATGGCTGTTTTATCAGTGATAGGAAGGGATTGTCCACACGGCTTGACCCATTCTATACCACGAAACCAGGAGAGATGCCGAATGCGAAGATTGTCGATCCTACAGGGGCGGGAAATGCGTTTCTGGGGTCGTATGCTGTGGGATATTTGAAGACCGGGAGTGTCGTCGAGGCAGCCTGCTATGGCTCAGTCGGTGCATCATTTGCCCTCGAGCAGGTAGGAGTGCCCCTGCTGAGTGTTCAGGTCAATGAGGAGTCCTGGAACGGCGTCAAGGTCCTCTCGAGATTGGAGGAGTACATGGCCCGGCAGAATTGCGGCCAGGGGGCAACTCGAATCCTTTAAATCTCAAGTATTGCCTAAATGAAGATGTATTCTGAGGAGCCTGGTCATTGTTGATATTGATCACGGATCATCATCGTCGTGATGACCGAAACTGTCAAATTGAAGACATCGTGGTTGCTGGATGCGGATCCGCCTCATTGTTCCTCGGCTGAATTTCCCCAGGAACCTGGGGTATCACATGTCAAGGGGACCCATTCCGTCATTCCAAGTCCTGCGACCACCTCCTCTTCTTCCTGTTCTCCAACAAACCACTACAAAACTCCCTATCGCGATCCAAGTGGTCATGTACAGCCCCGACTCTGGCTGATTGACTAGTCGATCGTGTCGCCATGGCTGTACAGTCGAAACTACTGCCGCCCGACCGCTCCGTCAAGCAGATCCTCTCTAGCCTCACCTCCCTCTACCTCCGACACCGAACGGGCATCTCCCGGACCGTCTACCTCGCCCTCTTTGCAGCACTTGCCAAGCGAATTCACAATGCAATCTCTGAACAGAAAGCTGCCTCGCAGCATGTAGAGCTGCGCCGCCGGCCCGGCACCAGCTCGCTCGGTGATGAGGAACAACCGCGGAAGAAGCGAGTGGAGATCAACCGGGAGTTCTTCAAACACCTGCTTCGCCTCTTGAAGATTGTCATTCCTGGATGGCGAAGTAAGGAGCTACGGCTCCTGGTGAGCCACAGCGTGTTCCTCGTGCTTCGGACTCTGTTGAGTTTGTACGTCGCCGAGTTGGACGGCCGGCTGGTCAGCAACCTCGTGCGGGGAAAGGGCAAGGACTTTTTGTTAGGCCTTGTATGGTGGATGATTGTAGCTGTGCCAGCAACATTTACAAACTCCATGGTAAGTAGTAAAAGGCGTTCATCTTTCGTGGGTGGCTGGTTTCGCGACTTGCGACCGTGGGGAGCCTCTCGCTAACTTGGTTGATCCCATCTCTAGCTGTCCTACCACCAGTGCAAGCTCTCCCTCAGCTACCGGAAACGATTGACGGACTATATACACGACAAGTACCTATCAAACATGACATTCTACGCCATCTCCGCGCTAGATGACCGGATCAAGAACCCCGATCAACTAGTCACGGTCGACGTGTCGCGCTTTTCCGATAGCCTGGCGGAACTCTACTCGAACCTCGCCAAGCCGATTCTCGACATGTGTATCTACAACTACTCATTGTCCAAGAATGTCGGAGGAGAAGGGCTGTTCATTATGAGTTTGCTGGTGCAGGTATCCGCAAATGTCATGCGCATGCTGACGCCACCATTTGGCAAATATGTCGCAGACGAGGCTCGACTTGAAGGTGAATTCCGATTTCTCCACTCGAGACTTATCGATTATAGCGAAGAAGTCGCGCTTTATCATGGCCATGAGGCCGAGAAAGACACTCTGGACAAGGGCTATTTCACGTTAATCAAGCATGTGAATCGCATTTTGCGCCGGCGCTTGTATCATGGATTCATGGAAGACTTTGTGATCAAGTATTTCTGGGGTGCGCTTGGCTTGGGTCTTTGCAGTTTGCCCGTCTTCTTCAAGATCCCCGGTCAGGTTACTCAGACCATGGGAGACCGGACCGAAAGTGAGTTGACCGTCTCCTTCTGTGCCACGAATAACACCAGCTAACATGGACTAGGCTTCGTTACAAACCGACGGATGCTGTTGTCGTCGTCCGATGCCTTTGGTCGTCTCATGTTCTCCTACAAGGAGATTTCCGAGTTGGCTGGGTACACCTCCCGTGTCTCGTCGCTCCTCGAGGTTATGGATGATCTGGTTGCTGGGCGGTTTGAAAAGAAGCTAGTATCTTCAGCATCAACCGAAGAAAACGCAGCTGTTCTCTCCGGTCGTGGCGAGGTCATGGAAAGTGACTCCATCGAATTCACCGACGTTCCAATCGTCTCGCCGAACGGTGATGTCCTGGTGCGCAAGTTGTCGTTCACCGTTCATCCCGGCGACCACCTGCTCATTGTCGGACCGAACGGATGTGGCAAGTCCTCTCTTTTCCGCATTCTCGGTGGCCTCTGGCCAGTCTACGGAGGTACGGTCAAGAAACCCCGATTTGAGGATATCTTCTACATCCCTCAGCGGCCATATCTGTCTCGAGGTAGCTTGCGGCAGCAAGTCATCTACCCGGATGGAGTGCGCGAGATGCGCGCAAAGGGAATTACCGACGCCGATCTTTATGAGATCTTGTCTGTGGTCGAGATCGCATCCGTCGTCGACCGTCCTGGTGGCTGGGACGCCGAGGAGGAATGGCGTGATGTATTGTCCGGCGGTCTACAGCAGCGCATTGCCATGGCTCGCTTGTTCTACCACCGTCCCAAGTTTGCCATTCTCGACGAGTGTACGTCTTCGGTGACGCTAGAAATTGAAAAGGTCATGTACGAAACGGCCAAGAAGCTCGGAACCACCCTGATGACGGTATCGCATCGCCGCAGCCTCTGGAAGTACCATAAGAAGATCCTGCAATTTGACGGTCAGGGCGATTATGTCTTCACGGGACTTGATTGGGAGCGACGGATGCAGCTGGAAGAGTATGTCATACCCCTCCTCTTTCACCCCGGCTCTTTTTTGGTGCTAACCCAAGTCTACAGTGAGAAGGATGAACTTGAGTTACAACTGCGGGCCGTGCCGGAGCTGGAGCGACGAGTTGCGGAGTTGACAGCAATCTAGATCTAGAGGGCAATTCTATTCTGTACCCCTATACTTCCGTACAACGAAGCGATTGTTCTACATCCCACGAGGGTCTTCCAATGACGAGCATACCCCGCTCCCAAGCCACGCGCAACCAATCCTAAGGCCTCCTCGGCTTCGGGATCCAAATTTTGCAGACTCTCCCACTTCCCGGCTGGCCGGGCCCAATTCGCTGACTAACGCCCCCTCAACCAATCACCTTCTCCATCCTCGGCAGTGGCACCGATCGAACCTTTTCCGATGCACCGAGTTTTTCTGGTCTCTGGCGTTGCGGGCTTGCATTTCATATCCCTCCGAGCCCCACTATGATATCGTGTTCTGTCCCTACGTCATTACGCTGGCTTATCCTGTTATGGGGTTGCCACGATTTCCCAACTAGTTTTCACGAGAGTGGCTTTTTCTTGGGTCTAACCAAACAATGATTTCCCTAATTCTTATAATTCCCGCTGTACCTACTTCTGTCTTTCTCGTATCGTGAATATTTTTCTTCTCTCTTTCTTCACGCCAATTCAGCATGACCAACTTCAACATGAAGCCCACCGAGCCTACATCTACCTCGCAGAAGAGAAAGATCATCATTTTCTCTGGTATGTAGTCCTGCTCCAGATTGAAATCTAGCCCCTACCCCGCGCTACATACTATACCAGACCCCTATCGTCTAGACCCTGAATTTCCAATCCAATGCAATTCTCCAATCAAGCGCCTACTTCTATACAAATGAAGCCCACTAACAAATTCCCCCCAAACAGATTTCGATGGCACAATCTTCATGCAAGATACTGGCCACATCCTCTTCGACAACTACGGCTGCGGCGAAGAAGCCCGCAACAAGCTCGATGAACAAATCAAGTCCGGCGAACGGTCCTTCCGCGAAGTCTCGGAGGAAATGTGGGGATCCCTAGACGTCCCCTTCGACGATGGCTTCGTCGTCATGGAAAAGACCCTCGAAATCGACCCGGGCTTCCGCGAATTCCACCAATACTGCATCGAAAACGGGTTCCCCTTCAACGTGATCAGTGCCGGTCTAAAGCCCGTTTTGCGTCGGGTATTGGATACGTTCCTGGGCGAGAAGGAGGTACGTCTTTACAAACCCGAACCACAGCTTTCTCTTCTGCTTTCCCAAGAAAAGAAACGTGTATAAATCTTGTATACTAACAACCCATATCAGGCAGCTGCAATCGACATTGTCGCCAACGACGCCATAATCAAACCGGACGGGTCCTCGTGGAAACCCATCTGGCGCCACGACACGGAACTAGGCCACGACAAAGCCCTCTCCGTCAACGAAGCCCGCGCAAAAGCGCAATCCGAGTGTCTCCCGGACGAGATGCCCCTCATCGTCTTCATTGGCGACGGCGTCTCCGATCTAGCCGCCGCCCGCGAAGCAGACGTTCTCTTTGCCCGTCGCGGTCTCCGTCTCGAGGAGTACTGCCAGGAGCACAAGATTCCTTATATCCCCTTTGATAGTTTCCTTGATATCAAGCGTGAGATCGAGGCTATCAGTCGGGAGGATCAAAGTCAGACTGGCGGTGTGGGTAAGCCGGTGCGGTATAACCCGCGGGCTAACATGTGGAGGCGGATTTCTTCGAAAGAAGCGGTACGTACTTTCCCCTTTGGTTGTTTCTTGTAGAATGGTTTGGGTCCAGGTGAACTGGGTGGCTAATTGGGATGTTTTTTTTAGGTGCCGACTTTGATGACCGTTGGTACTCCCTCCAAGGAAGAGAAGATGTTCCTTTGGCCGGAGACTTTCTCCGATTATAAGCCCCAGGCGACGATTCAGGAAAGCGATGAGACGGCTGTTGCTTGAAGATGTCAAGTGGGTTATACTTCGTTGCTTTCGATAAGTTATGAGCTTTCGATCTGAAGATATCGAAAAGCTTTTTTTTTCTATCTTAATTAGTGTTATCTTTCTCATGCGGGCATGGGGATTGGTATCGGCTTGAGATATCCATGTTCGTGCGTTCCCATGTCCCAGTTTTCTACCTTTTTTGGGGCATACCCTTTTAGTGACGGCAATTTTGTTGATGAAAATTGTGTCAGAAACAGTGTGTCAACGTGCAGATAGACGCGACGTTGTCGAATGAAACAAATAGAAATTTCAACTGCTTTCTTCTACGTGCAGTTCATTCCAATCGCGTAAAAGATATATAAGAACTTTGCCATCAGGACTTGGATGCAGAAAAGATACAAGTTCACAAACATGAATATTGAGTAAAACATAAGCAAGAGTACCAAAAATCACAATTCAATAGTCATGTCGGACCTAATCCGCAATATCAAGGGGCTCGACATTCCAAATACTATCGGCGTACTCGTTGGTCACCCGATCCATAGAGAAGAAGCCCATGCGCGCAACGCTGGTGATCGACTTGGCCAGCCATTCTTCCTGATTCTGGAACTCCTTGTCTACCATCTCATGAGTAGCGATGTAAGAGTTGAAATCATCGGAGACGAGATAGTAGTCGCCATGCTCTTCAATGGAAGAGATCAGCGAATTGAATGACGACGGATCACCAAAGGTGCCCGCCTTGATGGTTTCAAATACACGCTTCAGTTGTGGGTCCAGCTGGAATCCACCGTAGAAGTGTCGGTGCCGAAGATCCTCTACATCTTCCGCAAGGTTGCCAAAGAGGAAGATGTTTTGCTCGCCAATTTCACGAGTAATCTCAATCTGCGAATAATTAGCTTCGATGTTGCACGAGCCTCTGGACAACGGCACAACTTACGTTAGCTCCGTCACAAGTACCGATAATCAAACCACCATTCAGCACAAATTTCATGTTGCTCGTGCCACTGGCCTCGGTTCCAGCAGTAGAGATATGCTCGCTAATATCAGAAGCCGGGCAAATAATCTCCGCCTTGCTGACGTTATAGTCCTCGATAAAGATGACCTTCAAGAGATCACCAATATCATCATCCTTGTTCACCACAGCGGCAACACTGTTGATAAGATAGATAATCGACTTGGCCATCCAGTAACCAGGAGCGGCCTTGCCACCGAAGATCGAGACTCGCGGTACCACCTTCTTCCGCTGTTCGGGTGTCATGGCCTTGATACTGAGGTATCGGTGAATGACTCCAAAAATGTTCAGTTGCTGGCGTTTGTACTCGTGAATGCGCTTGACCTGAACATCGAACAACGAGTTGGGGTTCACGGAATAGCCAGTCAAGTCCTTGATGAGCCTGGCTAGCCGCAGCTTATTCTTCGCCTTGATGTCTGACCATTCCCGTCGGAAGTTCTTGTCATCGACGAAAGTCTCGAGCTTATCCAGCAAGGTCAAGTCGGTCAAAAACTCATATCCACCCAGCTTCTCTGCAATCAAGGCAGAGAGCGCGGGGTTTGCCTGGTGCAGCCAACGTCGAGGCGTAATTCCGTTGGTGACATTGGTGAAGCGATCTGGTCCATATATCTGCACAAAGTCCTTGAAAATGGTCGTCTTGATGAGGTCCGAATGCAGCTCGGCAACACCATTGACCTTGTGAGATCCAATGATGGCAATGTGAGCCATGCGCACCATCTTGGGGTGCGATTCTTCAATGATTGACACTCGCGAGAGCATGTCCCGGTCATTCGGGAATCGCTTCTCCACGGACTGGAGGAAGAATAGATTAATATCGTAGATGATCTGCAAGTGGCGAGGAAGTAGGTTCTGCATCAATGGAACCGACCACTTCTCCAGGGCCTCGGGGAGAACGGTATGGTTGGTGTATCCAAAAGTTCCAATCACAATACGCCATGCCTCATCCCACTCCAAGCCCTCGACATCAATCAAGATACGCTGCAATTCCACAATGGCGAGCGTGGGATGGGTATCGTTCAGTTGAATTGCGACTTGGTCAGGGAACTCACTCCAAGCCCTGTTCGTCTTCTTGAATCGTCGCACGATGTCATAAAGAGAGGCAGCACACCAGAAGTACTGTTGCTTGAGACGAAGTTCTTTGCCTCGTTCCAAGTTGTCATTCGGATACAGCACTGCAGAGATGGTCTCGGCGGTCTGTTGATCTGCAACTGCACTCTCATAATCGCCCGCATTGAACTTCTGGAAGTCGAATTCGCCACTGCTGGCCTTGCTAGACCATAACCGAAGGTTGTTTGTAGTCTTGGTGCGGTATCCAGGAATAGGGACATCGTATGCAACGGCTTGCACGGTCTCTCCTGATTCCCAAGAGTGGCACACTTTGCCATTCTCATCCTGATACTTGGTCACATGGCCATAGAACTGAATGTCCACCGTGATATCGTGTCGAGGGAACTCCCAAGGATTATTATCAAGCCAGTAGTCTGGAACCTCCATCTGATATCCATTGACAATCTCCTGCTTGAAGATTCCATAGCGGTAACGCAGACCGTATCCCCAGGCAGGATAGTTCAACGTGGCCATACTGTCCAAGAAGCAGGCCGCCAGACGACCAAGACCGCCGTTTCCAAGTGCGGCATCATGCTCCTGGGTGATAGCGTCCTCGATTCGGAAACCAAGGTCGGCCAAACCATCTACACAATGCGAATGAGCTTTCATGGCTGACAGCTACAAGTATTCAGAGATGACCCACCTCGCGCGACGTCTTTCATGCCGACGTTAAGCATCGCATTGTCTAAAGCACGACCCATCAGGAATTCGAGCGAGAGATCTAGGAAACGTGTTAAGACGAGAAATTAACCCAAGATATTTGACACATACAGTAGACTCGCTTCTGGTCGGTAAATGTCTGGCGCTGCTGAGTCCGATTCCACTCAATGATCAATCGGTCTCGGAACGCCAGTGCGGTGCCCGAGTAGGCTGCCCTACATCCTTCGCTGTCACTAAATTGCCATGAGCAGGTTATCAAGAGCCCCGATGTACGTACAGCTCATCGCAATTGTACAGGGAGCGGGCGAGTGTTGTCTCGATGTGGCGCACGAAATCTCTCTATGGTATGCTGTCAGCTCATCCGGCCGCTATTCTCCAACAAAATGAACCACTCACCTCGAACTCATCTTTAGAAGTGAACTCGGTAGCTGACTGTACAACGGTAAGTACCAAGGGTCAACCCAATTCCGTTTAATGGAGGTTCGGTCCAACGTACATGCTTCCGCCATCTATACGCCATTGCATTGTACACCTGGTCAGCTCATCCAGCACCTGGGTATGCATCAAACAGAAAGAGAAACCCTAAACTCACGCCTCACGCAGTGGCTCCGGAATACTCGCTTCCACGCCCTTGATCTCGGATGGGCCGAAGCCGGTAAACGTGCGCTTGTGCTTGGGACGACTGAAACCCGGACCGACGGGACCCTGGAGATCTGCAATTGGAGCTCCCACGGAGGGTCTGCGCTCACGACGGCGCTCAGTTGGCTCCGACGACGCCATGATCGATGATTAATGGACAGTGATCAGTGATCAATGGTGAAGAGGGACTGCGGTTGTAGATTGGCAGTTTCGAGGGTTGTGGGAGTGAAATGGGAAGTGGAAATCCAGAGCAGGACTATAAACTCTGAAGAAGAAGATGAGGTAAAAGAAAGGAAAGATAGACCGGAAGACGGGGGTTTTGAGTGGTGACACCAGGTAAAGAGGGGAAGGAGGAAGAGGGGAGGGAAAGAGCCGGGAACAGGGCGAGCGAAGAGGGCCAGGGCCACGGGCCAGTGGCCAGCAAAAATGGAGCCCTGAGCAACGAGTAACGAGTAACGAAGAGTAACCAGCATTAACCGATCAGAGCGGAGCACGAGCACCTAATGCATGCAAGCTGCACCGTTCATCAGCTGGGGAATTGCAGCAGTCGAGACATTGTCCGAGCGACGCCGGATTGGGGAGATGACGAGGGGTGGGGTTGATAGAAGATGCTCTAGATTATAGTACGACGGTACCCAAACTACAAAAGTCATCAAGCTATCTATCTAATGCGTATAGTATACGTCTTATCTAACTGATACGTGGGAATGCGGTATACCACAATGAAAGTCCATGGACTCATGAACGAATCGACTCGGACGGTTGGATCAGGCCAGAGCTTCCGGAGCTCTGGTGGGGTACCTCCTCTTCAGTAGGGACTAATGGGCTAACGGGCTAACTAACTAGTTACTAGTTAGTTAGTTAGTTAACTAACAGGTCTCCAGAACTGACTAAGTCAGCTAAATGCGATCCAGCTGGTCCAATTGTCCGAGCTAACGGCGTCCGTGCACTCCAACCATCACGGGTCTCTTCCCTGATTGGCTCGTTACCCTTGACTTTCCTGCTTTTCCTCTATCAACCCGACAGATATCTGTATAGGACTTGGAATAGAAAGGTGCTCACATCGAAAGTCCTTCATTAGAGGATCCGATTAGAACGTTACACTAGGACAGATCTCGCCCTGGCCCGGACCTAACAATATCGGCCGTTCGGGTCCGTGAATTGGAGTATGACGCTTCGATCTACTCCGTATGGGACGATCCACTCCGGACTAATCCAGGCTGACAACCACCACACCACACCACATCACAAGGTTCAAGGCGCGGGCCAACTGCTGTAAGCCTTCCTCATCTGCGAAATGAAACGGATCATATACGATAAAAACGTGCCTTTAATTATACATTCATGCACAATGTGAACAGAGTACAAGGTACGGTCATCTTCGCCCATCCCTGCCCTGCTTTTATCCCCGACCTCTGCGCATCATGCCATCGTATCCACCATTTCGCTCCACTAGGTACCCACTGCGTAACGTCTTCTCCACCAGAGGATTGAAACCGAGCTATTCAGTCTACCAGCCTCTTTACCCTGAACTCTTCAATATCTGGTCTTATCTAGTCGAATTCATTCACTTGCGTATTGACAATTTCCGCCAGAATCTACTGGCGGCCCGCTCTTTCGGCGCGGGGAGCAGTAGAGCTGCAGGAATCAGCCACTGACGACAACATAGGCATTAAACACGATGCCCCGCCTTTCCCCCTCACCGAAGTCCAAGTAAAAGCACGATTCGATCCAAACTGAAACCAAAAAGGTACTGCACTTGGCCGTCCAGTCTCTCGGCAGGGGGAATCATCTGCCGAGGCTGCCAGATATGGTGCGGCTCAATAGTCTGGACTTATAGAAGATATCGATGCACTGTGAGAACCCTATATCGGAAGTACGAGAATAGAGGAGGCGGAGAATTGATTAACATAGCATTAGATTCCAGTCAATGCCCAAACACTTAGATACTCAAGCGGGTTGCCCAGGAAACGACACCACGCATGCTCTGGACGTCCCAGGCCTAAGTACCAGAGAATATCAGAGGACATTCACTTGGTGGTCTATGCTAGAAACAAGGGAGGTGGGGAGGGGAATCACATATGACCATTAAGAGGTTGTATCAACCCTCGAAAGGATACAGCGGGGAGGGGCAATAGATATAGAGTAGATGAGAAAGCATCGTATGCATCAAAAGCGCTGAGGTCGCGAGTCCAAAAGGAGAAAGGCAAGTATCACAGAAGTTGAATAGTAGTAAAAAAGCATTAATAGCAAAACATGGGCTAGGAAATATAGTTCAAGGATCAAATCACACAAGGTTAAATCCGCCGTGATATGCATCGGACAAAAAAAAGGCTGGACAAATACAGATTTGAGAATCACTGTCGAAAGCTATTCATACCATATGGAGAAGTTGGTAGCCACAAACACAAAACGCGGCGAGGGTCAAGAGCTGGCGCAGGGTTCTTCGTCCATATTTGCCGGGGTAGGAGTTTCCCAGCGACTTTTTGAGGTTGAAAGTAACTCCTCGTCCCACGTTGAAGCTGGAGGCGAAAGCTATAGCCATAGCGATGACAGAAAGAAACCCTTATACAGGCAAAAGGTAGTCTTTTCAAACTACTACCTGAGATTCCAGGGCGCAGTAGAGGAGCCACGGTGACAAGGGGAGAAATTCGAATGCCTCCTTGTAGCTCCCGAATTGGGTGCGGGGGGGTATCACCTAACAAGCGCCTGGGAAATATTTCACAAAGGAGAGAATAACAAAAGCGCCGTAAACGCCAGCAGCTCCAGCGATAGGAATCAAGTTATTGGGTAGTCGGAAAAAAGATATGGTAGATTCGTAAGAGGTGGGTGGGAGGGTCCAAAAGAGATTGTTTGGGATTCAAGAGACGCGTTTGTAGAATTGAATAGGTATATGAAGGTCTTCGGATGGTATCGTGAGGGTTGTAGAGAGATAGGTAGGTGAGAGGAAAGAGGTGACAGGTTTCAGGTTGGTGTTCGGAAGAGTGTCCAGCAGCTCATAGAATACCAGAGTCCTTCAATGCATTTTGCAAGATAGTTTCCTTAACCGCTGCAAAGACAAGTCGGATATTGGTGGTGTCGGTTGCTTGGGTGAGGCTACAGAAAAACACATTTGATCAGAAGGCGCGTCTTCGGGGGTGGGGTGCAAATAGGTCCCGTCAAACTTACTGGGGGTATAAATTCAGGTGAGCCCTGTTCACCTGGTTGAATCGCCAAAGAAGATACTTGGCTGCGCGGTTCACGTCGTTGCCGCCCGAATAGTCCGGGAAATAGTTGCTCAACGGAGAGCGGGGTAGCTTCTGGCGGAACAAATCGACCTTGTTCAGGAAGAGAATAATACTCGTGCGCATGAACCACCGAGAGTTGACCACAGAGTCGAAAAGAACCAAACTCTCCATCATTCGGTTCTAAGGGGGGACAATCGTGAGCCTTCAAAGTGTATAGCGCATAGCGGAGCTAGCAAGTGAGCCTTACCTGGTTGCTCTCTTCCAGCAGTGTTTGATCATATTCACTCAATGCGACACAGAAAATGATCGAGGTTACGTTTTCAAAGCAATGGATCCATTTCTTCCGCTCGCTGCGCTGGCCGCCAACGTCGAACATGCTACAAAGCCCGGTTAGCCGTCTATCATATAGGGGTGAGGAGGTTTTCGAGCGCATACTGTATACTCAATTGACCCATTGTGAATCGCGTCTCGTATATACCAGTGGTCTTGGTACGTGCGCGGAGAACGTCGGATACGTTGGGGATGTAATCCGGAGCCGTTATTCGCTTGGCTTCCTCGAAGAAACTAATCACCAGTCAGCGGCAAATCTTCGCACTGCGAAAGCATGCGGGTTGTCGGCTGCTTACTAGGGCGCAGAATCCATCAGATAGAACTCATTTTGCCGTTCCAAGACTGTTGATGTGCATGGGTCGTTCCAAAGGTAAGTGACTGCGTCGCCAATTTTCCCATCAAGCGGAGTATTGGGGTCCGGATCCACATGGTATTCCTCCAGAAGCGCGATGTAGTCCTTGACCTTTGGACTGGACGGTTCAAGGGAGAAATGGTGATAGGCATCGATGAGAGCTTTAGCACAGTCGAGCAGGTTCTTGTATACGGTCAAACGGTACAGAGCCAGCTCCTCCACGGTGTAGCCATTTTGGTGGATAATCTTCATCTGCTTCACTATCGTAGACTTGCCACTTTCTCCGGATCCTGCCCCAATGTGAGTGTTTAACTCTGGTCGGTGTCATATGCGCAACGGACCGCGCGGATGATGGTCACATACCCAACAAAAGGATCTTGCATTCCCTGCGTAGCCGTCGCTGATCTTCCTCGAGCCTCCGGTCGATCATCTGGCTTTTCTTCTTCTGTTCCGCATCCCCCGTAGCTTCCGAGCTCAAACACGAGCCCATGGTGAATTGCTGTGTACGCTCAACTTGCTTTTGTGTTGTCCTTCAAATCGTCAGACCGGTAGGGAGCGAGTCCCGGGCGCCGTGCGCGGGAGCGATCGGTGTCAGCCCGTCGGGATGGCCGCAGCCTTCGCTTGGTCGGGGAAGACGGCCACCCGCAACGCTCAGGAGGGACTCAACGCCAACCAAGCCTAATGAAGTATCGCTCGGGCTTGCGACAGCAGCGAAATCGCGCGGATTGGAATTCGGTTGAGGGTAGAAAGGTGGGGAGGGGGGCCCCGATCGGAAAGCGAAAGAGGAGGTTGAGCGACAGAGAGAGGGAGAGGGAGAGAGTCGTCAAGTTTGTCGGATTGAGGGTTGATGAGGACCGGAACGGATTGCCCAGCAGAGCTCGAGTCCGAAGAGTCGGCTAAGAAGAAGGGAAAGGCGACGGGAGATCGGAGTCAACGGTATGAGGGAGATCCAAGAAGTGTCGAGAGGAGTTCCAGTGCGACCATCGTCATGCTGGGGGGGGAGTGGAGATGTCAGGAGGGATATTACGGGGGTATGGAACGTGTACGAGTTGAGCTTACATCGGGCCCGTAATTACAGGGTGCTTTCGCCCGAGTAACGAGCCAACTACAGTAGACGGTTGAGCGGAACTCTAGAATACTCCGTACTACGGTGTACTTAGTATACTTACTGTAGTACGGAGTATAGTGTACAGTATACTATACAGTGCCGACAAGGTTTTCTTTTTGGGTTTTTTGGCCGACTTTTTCCTTCTGGGCATCGATTTCTCCCGTATTGCTGGTATTTTCCTCACGCTCCCTGCATGGCTGTGTATACCGACTTTACCAGCCTTCTTTCTAAAGGGCGATGCTGTTGAGAGCGTGTATAATTCCTCGGTACAGGATGTCAGAACCTGAGCATGTTGTACTCCGTATACAATCTTTCGCTTTCAAGATACGTTCTACAAGCTACGAGGTATAATCCATTTGTAGGCTTGATCCTTTGGTGTTTCGCGGCTCGAAACTTTCGCCCAGACACTGGGCCTGACTGCTTGGAGAAGGCATTGGGGGCCAAAGGTAATTTCGGCACCATACACCCTTCAATACGTATACGGATGGTTTCTTAGTAGGGGGGTTTGTTCTAGTACTAGACATGGGACATTCCTCCTATCATAGCCACGGCCGTCGGGACCCGTGAAGGGCTGTGAAGAGTTCAAAGGGCGAGGGCTCGTTTAGAAAGGCTTGGAAGGGACTGACAAGGGTAATCGGGTGCGAGGTTCCTCGTCCGGGTAAGGGTTGGGGCGCCACGACTGTGTCCCTCCGATCATAGTTCCTTTCTGACGGACTGAACTGGTTACATAACTCTTACTGGCCCTTGACTACTATGGCGGCTCTCCTAAAATTGCCTAGCTGGGGAGGCAGTGTGTGCCCTGTTCGCCTCGCTCCGTCTACAGAGAGCGAGGAGAACAAGATGATCCTTCCGATGCAACATAATCATCGAGCTGGCCGTATTATGGGTAATGATTGGGGGCATTCTCTAGAGTCACGATCGTCTAGTGAGGGGTACTACAATACTGTACAATACTATCATCCTTCGCCGTCGAATAGCCCAAACCCCACCGGAGCTTTTCAAAGTGGAAAGTCATGACGCACATGGGGGACTTGTGGCCTAAGGCTCCAAGGCCCCCAGGCCCCAGTACCGATAAGTGTGATGGATTCAGCCTCCCCACGTTCTGCGGGCGGAGACAAGAGTAGAGCCGTACAAACACTATTCGATTTCGGTACACACTGCAAGGGCGATCGACCTGAGGGTCCCTTATACAACTAAAGTGACTGTTGAGTGACATGTCAGACTAGGTGTACACCGCTGGATCGCTGCTCACCCTTAGGCTACCCGTAGACCTTCGAACGCAAGATGCGGTGTAGAGCAACCCGACCCTGCAATATTGGTGGACGGATGTTACATGGGGGGTACTCGGGCGTGGGAAGGGCTGGTGTAGATATATAATCGAATCCGCCCCTCCTGCTACGGTGGGTTAGGTACTCTTGAGCCAAATGATTGTATTGTTGATCCTGGACTAGCTCTACAGTGGAGGAGAAACACTACCAGTCTCCGCTTTTGACGCCGAGTAGAGTTCAAACCAAGATGCAGCCCTGTCCTTTCAATCCTCGAAGGATCAGATATGGCTTTGTTTTTGGCGTTTGTTCTTCATTTCGTGCAGTAGTGTGGCTTGATTTTTGTCTCTGGTTCGCGGTGCCAAACATTGTGATTCTCTAGGATCTGGAAAAACGACTACGGACTCTATGATGATTGGCGAGAGGACCGAGTCCACGTTGTTAGACAATCAAAGTGGTTTCTATACATAGTAGCCCGTATGTCGGAAATGGTCCACTACCACGTCATCCCGCGCCTCCTACGAAGCGGGTATCTCAGAGCCCATGCAGCAGATATGAGAATTCATTACTCTGTCGATATCCTCAAGTAGGCAGTGATACGTCGCCACGGGACTCTCTTAACCACTAACACACACCCAAACCAAGTCCTGTCCCGGTAGAAAGGAAGATAGTACGAGACTATCTATCCTGGCCCAGTAGCAGGATAGATGGAATCACATGTGAGGAGCGCTCCGGAAGCGTTAAGTACCAACGGGGCACGAGGCACCACGAATGACAGCCGCACAACACATCAAGGTGTTGGGACGAGCGGGCTAAGCGCGGTTAACAGAGGCAGGTTTGGGAAGGAGGAATTTCCAAGGTTTGGCTTCCTCCGTATCGACCAGGGTCGTACTGCACCTTATATACTTTTGGTCACGGGGTTCTAGATTACACTACATGTGCATGTGCGTCAGGGAATTCAAGTAGACGGAGGATATATATATACTGTATAGATCGGTTAAGTTGTGATGGCACATGGAGATCAGTCGCCAGTCATCGTGGAAAACGAAAGAATCCCGGTTCGTAGGCTGGGAAACCTCTACCGGGTTCATCGACCGGGCCTGGCCAGTCTGGGCCAGGGCGCCGCGTGGTTTGGGTGGGGGAGGCTCGAGGGACTTTTGGTGTTGGCAATGAGAGAGTGGTACATCAGGGCACACACACACAGGGCGACAAGGAGACATGCCCGAACACGCGGTGTTCAGCCTAAGAAGAGCAAGCGGGAGAAATTAAGCCTCCTATAGGTCCTCTCAAAGCTAATCGTTCAGGAACATCCGGGAAAGAAGTATACAGAGGGTCAAAAAGCAAGGCCGCAAGCCCAGATCCCAACCGGGGGCCGTTAGTCAGCCACAGCGAAACCTGCCTTCCCGCGGTCGCAAACGTCATCGTCCTTGTTTTCTGTGCTTTTCACCGAAAGGGCCCTTCCCCACATCATCTTTCTCGGTCCATTCTGCAATCCCTCTCTGGCTTCTTGTGGTCCTGCCCTCCGGTCCTCTCTACCCGTCTTGCCCCTTTCCTCCTACGCCTTCACTTTTCTCCAAAAAAAGTTTCTTTCTCTTATTCAACGCGCTCTGTCTCTCTTTTAACGTCTGATTCTCCATCATGGCGGAATTCGTACGATCCCAGATCTTCGGCACGACCTTTGAGATCACCAGCCGGTACGCATTCTTCCGGATCTTCAATGTTTGGAATCGTCAAATTCGATCGCTAACATTCGCAATGCTAGATACACGGACTTGCAGCCGGTAGGCATGGGTGCCTTCGGGCTGGTCTGGTATGTCGTTAATTCTAGGCCTGCTCGGCCATCGCGCCGCGCGCGAGAGATATCCCACAACTGACCGGAATGTGACGCCGACAGCTCGGCGCGAGACCAATTGACCGGCCAGCCGGTCGCTGTCAAGAAGATCATGAAGCCCTTCAGCACTCCGGTCCTCTCTAAACGGACCTACCGCGAGCTGAAGCTGCTCAAGCATCTCCGACACGAGAACGTGGGTTTACCCCTCACCCCCTCCGCCGACACCCTGCGGCTGCGCGCCAACGACGAACTGACCACCCTTGCAGATTATCAGCTTGAGCGACATCTTTATCTCTCCCCTCGAGGACATGTACGCTTTCGCAATTCAGCTGTTCGCGATACACGGTCACTAATATATCGATAGCTACTTCGTTACCGAGCTCCTCGGAACCGATCTCCATCGCCTCTTGACCTCTCGCCCGCTAGAGAAGCAATTCATCCAGTACTTCCTCTACCAGATCCTGGTAAGCCTCAACATTTACATCTTGATTTTCTCTCGCGTACATACTGAACTTACTCCCACAGCGTGGATTGAAATATGTCCACTCGGCCGGTGTGGTCCACCGAGACCTGAAGCCCAGCAACATCCTCATTAATGAAAACTGCGACTTGAAGATCTGCGATTTCGGTTTGGCCCGTATTCAAGACCCGCAGATGACCGGTTATGTGTCTACGAGATATTACCGTGCCCCCGAGATCATGCTTACTTGGCAAAAGTATGACGTGGAGGTTGACATCTGGAGTGCAGGCTGCATCTTCGCCGAGATGCTGGAGGGAAAGCCGCTTTTCCCTGGAAAGGACCATGTCAACCAATTCTCAATCATTACGGAGCTGCTGGGTACGCCCCCTGATGATGTGATTCAGACCATTTGCAGTGAAAACGTGAGTCTTTTAATCTTCGATTTCTTTTTGGCCATGAGAATCACCGGATGTGCTAATCGCCCAATTCATGTATAGACACTGCGATTCGTCAAGTCTCTTCCCAAGCGCGAGCGCCAAAGCCTGGCGAACAAGTTCCGCAATGCTGATGCCGATGGTATGCGATACTTCCGACTTCCCACATCTCCTCCGGGTTCCTCCGATTGTCACAGGTTCACTAATCATCATCTTGTAGCCGTGGATCTGCTCGAGCGGATGCTAGTTTTCGACCCCAAGAAGCGCATTCGTGCAGACGAGGCGTTGGCTCACCCATACCTGGCCCCCTACCACGACCCTACTGATGAGCCCGTTGCGCAAGAAAAGTTCGATTGGTCCTTCAACGATGCCGACCTGCCCGTGGATACTTGGAAGATTATGATGTAGGTTCTGGGCATACCGACCTCGGATACAGATGTTCTACTGGTCACTTTTTTTTACCACTGTACTAACAATCTGGAACAGGTACTCTGAAATTCTCGACTTCCACAACATCGATCAAGCAAACGAGGCTGGCCAGGCGCTGGTCGCGGGTGCATCGCACAGTGGCATGGCGCCCCAAACCTACGTATAGGTGATAATTTTAATTCGCAGCCATGCTAGTCTTGTCATTCTGCACTTGTTCTATCGTTCTCTCTGTCAGATTCCATTGCTGCACATGAATGCTCAAATCATCCTTTGAACCTTGGGGAATGCGTTTCCAAGTTGGCGTAAATGTTGTCGTTTTCTTGGTCTCCTATTTGATTACTTGTGATCTTTCTATTTCCTTTTTCCTTCTTATTTTTGGAAGTCATCGTCCATAGCTCCTCCGGCGTCGTCAAGAATTGGTTGGTGAGGGGAAATTCCATGGTCTCGAGCGTTGTCGCGGTGTGACGTACACCCTGTGTACTCTCCCCTTTAATCTACAGTACTGGAGTACCTAGAAGTTGATGATACTCTACACACCTAATTTACAAGTGGAACTACAAACCAAATCAGAACACAAACCCTTAATCCCACTGTCAAAAGAAACAAGACACTGAGCTCATCGCGGGGCAACCTCCCACACCGCCCGCAATCAGCACGTGAGCGATAAGCCGTATCGAAATCCCCTAAACTATGTGATTGCCGCTCAATCTTCTCCTGGCGCACAACTGCTTCATGGCGATCTAAACACCATTAAGCCCCCTTGGCTGTATTTGGCTGTGGAGAACACCTCGCCATCCCTGTGTCCTCCCCATAATAACGCCCCCGACCACCCGCGATCGAACCCCGCACGCCCCCAATGGCCATCCAACCTAAACAAAACCCGATTGTGCTGGTGATTGATTTCCACCATGCCAGGTGAGTTTGCTATCGCACGGGGATCCGAGTTCCTAGACTCGCGCAGTCGCATTGGTTATACAGTCGGTGCAGGTTGAAACTGGCTGCTAATGTGTGCTGCAGGGGCCCAGAGATCGAGCTTTGTATCGGTGACGAGGGAACGAGTCCGGCTACCGACAATGACTGGTCTCTTTTGCCGTTCATGGCATTGTCGGATGGCGCACATCTGTACGTAACGGGACACCACCCCAGAGATCCTCATGGCGTTCAAGCTTGTGGAGACATCTACTTAACTCCCATCGCCGCACCTCCGCGCGATCTCGTATCAATTGCGCTAACATGTTTGGAACCTTGTTTTCCTCTAGTTCAACCGAGGAGTTCTCCTATTTCACATTGCGCCGGAAGGAAACGTCGACGGCGCCTGCTACCTCGCTTTTCGGCATTGCTTGCTCCCGCCAGCTCGACTCGAGTCTTTTGATTAATCGTCCGCCTGAAGTGACTCGGTCCACCGTACAGAAGGCTGTGGTGGTGGTTACGGATAGCCCACAGAGGGTTGGTCAAATACGCGAGAAACTATCTGTGGTTACCTCGGCATGGTTTGCGCAACGGTACGTCCGAACTTTGATATTTATATTATGCGTGGATTTGGTTACTGTGTTCAATTAGTGGACGCTTTATGGGATGGAGGCATATATGGTTCCAATGTGGCAAAGGCTGACTAGAAGGTTGAATAATAGGGATTTTTCTGATATCGATATCTTGAGGGTAATTGTCGGCCCATGGTTGGATCTCTGAACAGCATGCTAATATGGTTATTCTGGGCAGAAATTCCGCGAAGGTCTGGTGATAAGCTTGTTGAATGATGAATCAAGAGACCAGAATCTGGGTAAGTATCAAAGATTTCTGTCTTTGTATAAACCAATTGGCTGATCTCATCTCAAGGTCTTTCTCTCCGAGAAATGATTCACGAATTCAAGTATCAGACTTTAGTCCTCTTCAAAGGATTATTGCTACAGCCCAAGGTATGTTGGTTTCCTTTCTCTTGAGCTGATTGTCGTACTAATGATATAGATGCTCTTCTTCGGCACTCGTTGCGAGCGTTTATGCATGATTCAATTCTCTCTCATTTCTCTAATACCCGGTCTCATCAATTCTCTTCAAGACTGCGCGGATCCTTCATTTGACAGTTATGCGGAGACCGTTGAGAAACCGACTTCGCTCAAGACGAGTGATCGAAGCTCTTGTAGGCTGAATTAATCTGATGTCTTTGTCTTGTTATGGTCTCACTAACTGTTTCTGATCAGTGTTGGCATATATGGGTCTGCCATTGCAAATTTTCGGCAAGGTATGCATTACAATCGCATTCTGATAGGATTCTATCTAACACCACTCCCAGGGAAGCATGTTCGGACCGTACACTCCTCTGCAGCAGCTGGATCTGCTGGCCGATGATGGGACCAAGTCATACGTGGTGGGATCAACAAATTCTCTGCTATTACAACAGAAGGACCGCTATAGTGACATTTTAATCAACGTGAGCCCTTCTTTCCAAGGCAAATTCCGAAATTTCGATTGAATTTCTGACTCGTTGTTTCGCCGTACAGCTTGACGAAGACAGCATCAGCATCTCATCCTTGCCGCTCCGCAATGCACTCATCCTCTCCGTAGCCGACAGGCGCTGGATCGATCTTCTCACTCAGATCGTCAACGACACATGGGATGAATCTCACCCATCACGACCCAAGACTCTTGGTTTCATGGGCTCGGAAGAGTTCATTCGACTTCAATTCGAAGAGTACCTGCTCGCACTCCTATCATGCATGAAATACCACGAAGAACTCAACTCATTTTCCTCTGGCGACTCTCCCCACCGGAGCAGAGCGCAACTCCAAACCTTTAATATCGAGGGCGATCCCGCCCTTGATTTTAACGCGGATTTCCTTGCTCAATGGCAGAAAACTTCTAATTACGCGCTTTTCTCAAAGTTGACCTCGGATGCACTCCTTTTCTCCATCACCGAGCCACGACACCCTAGTGCCGGTGGCTTGACTATGGAAGACGTCCAACGCCGATTGTCCCAACAAGTCGCCGAGCTCCATCTCGACGAACGAGTCCGTGAGGGCAGAGAAGCACTCAACCGCCACTTGTCAACGGGTCAAAAAAAAGTAAGCGCCGCTTTCAACAGCTTCTGGTCCGATATCGAGTCCATGCGCGAAGCCCAAAGAAAACGCAACGAAGAGAAAGCTTCACAATCAACACGTACCTCAATCGACAAAGAAGGACCCACTTCCCCACAACCAGCATCAACGGAATCTACATCCGAAGCTGCTGGATCTTGGTTTGGAGCCCGCCAACGACCATCCATCGACGTAACCCAAGCACAAGCCTCCGTCACTGCCGCCAGCCAAAAAGCCGGAGCCTACTTCAGCTCATGGGGCTCATGGGCAAGCGACAAGCGGCGCGAATGGCAAGAAAAGCGCAGTCCCTCGCCCAGTCCGAAACCCAACCCCGGCATGACCGCATCACCATCCACACCAGTCTTGTCTACCGTCAGCGAAACCGTCTTCGACTCGGACCGCGGCCGTCGTCGCTCAATGCAGCGACACAGCGAAGACGCGGAAGGTCTATCACGTAGTTTGAGCCGTCGAAAGCGATGGAGTAACATCATTCTCCGTCGTGAAAGCGGCGAGTTCAAGCGCGAGGAATCCGATGCCGCCGATATGCCATTCCCAAAGTCCCCCTTATCCCAGGGATTCCCGGCACACGGCGCCGAAGCGGAGAAGAAGAAAGCCGAGCTGAGCGCGCAACAGGATAAGCCTCTTCCCCAGCCGCGTGCAGATGACGATGGGTTTACTTCCGTCTCTCTGACACCCCATGAGGGCCTTCGTGGGGACATGAGCCCCGGGAAAAGCGAGTCTGCTACCGTATCTGCAGATGATTCCGCAGCGGTGCTTCCTGTCAAGCAGGAAGAGCATGCTTCCGACCTACCCAAGGACTCCGTCAAGGAGTCTGTCAGCACTCAGTGATCATAGTATATACATAGAGCATTGTTTTTTCTCGCGTCCGGTAATAATCCTCTTTTTTTCCCCCTCTTTTCATGGCACCCAGCTCTGTATCATTGCATTCCCATACATCATACCCCCCTATCCATTTTGAAATATATCCTTCGTTCCATTCAACCCTGTCTTATTCATACTTGTCAATCTTTACCGTTCCTTCTTCCTCAATACTGTCTCCAGCCTGTGAATATATGGTATCGGTTCCCTCTTTTACGGCGCTCGAGTCTTAAACTTGTAACTAGATGATAGAACAAATCGCGTTGCATTACTATTGAGCTCTGCGGGGATTAGAGGCCGATATCGATGTAGATTATTAGCCCGCACGGCACTACTTGCCTCATTGATCAGGATGTCCACTACACAAAAGAAACAGACCAGCCGAAGCAGTAGTCGGCAATAAACGAAAATTCCGGGTTATCATTGATCTGTCGTCTCAACGCTATGATGAAAGATGGACCATAAAATAAACAGACAATGTAGTGGTTCTTGCTCCGTAGCTCCTTGTCATCCCAACCCAAGCCAATGCCCTTTTGACCAGTCCCTTTTGATTCAGATTCTTCACGCCGATTGCTGTTACGCATACGTGAAGAGAGAAGAAGGTGTTAGGGAACTGTGTAAAAGGGGCTAACGAGAAAAAGGAAAAAAGATAGAATCAATGAAGCGAGGAGGTAGTGTAGATGCGATGAGTTGCAAAGATGGTGGGGATGGCGATAGGGGGAGGGTTGAGAAACGTGCGAGAAGACATTAAGCAATGTAAGAAATCTCATCTCCGTCTAGACGCTCGATATAATCTTTCTCCATCAATGCTTCAATGTTCTTCTTAATATCTGGAACCTTGGGTGGGAAGCGGGACTTGACCTGCTGGATGACTTCGTTCACCAGCTGCACGTGCTTCATCTTCTTGCGAGACTTCATGATACGCACAATGGCGGACTAGAAAGGCATAGTCAGATTGGTGTTTACCATCGTGAGTGACAAGGCATTCGGTTCGATATAACTTACCTGAAGTAGCAGCTTCCGATCTTCCTCGATGGTCTTGTGTGTGTCATCGGATTCCACCTTCTGCTCCGACTTGATCTGAATGTTAAGGTTGACTTTGATCTTCTTGTTTTTGAAGTTGTAGTTCAGGGAAAAGGTGGTAGAGGGCTCGGGCTTGGCTCCCTCGGGGCTGGCAATCAGCACCTTGGCCTTCAGAAGAATGCTAAGGTTGGGGTCGAGAATTTCAGGGACCAGAGTGGTGGCCTTTTGAATGTCAGAGTATGACAGAGTATCCGTCTCGTTGAACAAAAGCAGAATGCCCATCTGATAGGTAGAGACCTGGAAGGTGTAGGGCACCTTGGCGTTCTTGATGTAGTTGGCCTTGACCTCGCCCTTGCACAGCTGCCACAGCCAGGTGAGCTTGCGGCCGTTGTGCTTGTCAAAGTAGAACTTCTGGAAGCGCTCGGCAGTTCTGTTGATTTCAATGGGGGCGGTAAAGTCGGAGGTAGGGGGCTGGAGAGGCCAGAAGCCGGTACCCAGAATCTGGTAGTGGGCATCGACCATGCGCTTACGATCATCGTCATCAAGAACCTTGTCTTGCCAATCCTTGTAGCTAGCGTTGAGATCCTTGGAAATCTGGATGTCCTGGAACATGCGCTGCAATTTGTTGGTGTATTCGAAACCACATGCTTCCTTCAGCTTGCTGATCATGCTGGTCTCGGCATCATCGGACACGGAGCTAACGTGAACCAGACGCTTCGCCAACATCTTGGAGTAGAACTTTTGGAAGACATCCTTATCCTCGATGTACTTGAAGACTGTCATAATCTGGACCAACATCTCCTCAAGCTCAGACTCCTCGGCAGCCTTGGATCCCTTCTTGAGAAGAGAGTCGGTATACCGCGCCAAAAGCTCCGGAGACTTGGTCGTGGTGGCTTTGCAGATGCGATTACGGTTGACAAACTCACGGCAGGCATTATCAAGGGAGCGGACAAACTCGGACTCGCCGTTGAAGGCGTCATCGACCAGGTTCTGGTACCGGGTATGTACCTGAAGCAGAGCATCCACATACAGCTTGGGCTCGAAGCTGTCGCCCTCCGAGGCGACCTTCTCCACTGCCGCCAAACCGGCCCGTCTCACATGGTTCTCAAAGGTAGAGCGCAAGGGGTCCAGGCCCTCCTTGATACGCGAGAGTAGTCGGTACATCCGAGCCAGGTCTTCCTGGCGCTCATTGTCCAGCAAGATCTGGAACTCATCACGAAGTAAGGTAGAGTGCGCAGTCACCAGAACGTCCAAACACGTCTCCGTAAGAGTCTTGGCAACATCCTGGTGAAGATACAGGCCAACACGGGCCTTCTCCTCCTCCAACCGAGCCTCCGCCTTCTTCATGTATTCCACAACACTGTTCTCCGCAACAAATTGCCGTGATTCGTTCTCGTAGTATGTCCTGGTGGCATCGATGAAAGGTCGCTGGAAGTATTGGCGGTAGACCTCCAGAGTCGACTTCTTGCTATCGTTCTCGTCTAGACCCAGCGAGACAAACGAGTCGACAATACTCTTGATCTGCGATTGCTCGATGGTTTCTCCGTTGCGCTGCTTCTCAATCAAGTTCAACACGGCGTCCATCACCTTCTCATGAACATTCTCAAAGAAATCATCCTTCCACTTGACGAGGTGCAGAGTATACACGTCGTACACATTCTTCTTTCCCTCGTCAATCTCGCGCTTAACCCAGTGACGATTAAGGTAGCTGAACAAGTGGTTGACGTATTTGGCGGCGGTCGTGAAGCGCGTCCACTCGCGGATGTAGAACCCCAAAAGAGCTTCTTCCGCATGTCCTTTGGACTCATTTAAGACGACTTCCAGGTGACGAGAGAGGTACTCTCCAAGTAGCTTGTAAAGTTCCTCGCCCAAAAGGTGTGCTGAGCAAAAGAAAACCCGCGTTAGCTGCTGGGGCCCCGCGTGCACAACGGTATCAGGGCTTGGGATGGGAAACGAACCTCCACGATGGGCTTGGAGACCTTGGTTGTTGGCCACGGCTTTCTGCGAAGTACAAAAGTTGTGTACGGCCCTATATTCGGTTTGTCAGCGAGGAACGAGTATCGTAGTATCAAGAGTCGAGAGGCGCACGTGTAGAGAGCCATGTACTAAATCAGAAAATGCAGATGTTAGCTCCAATGATGAACACAAGATCGCGCTGCTCTCGGCAAGATTTCCTTCACCTACAGTCTTCATGTCGACGCCTTCCTCCAGCTTCAGCATCACGCTGTTGATCCCCGCCTCCAAGAACGACCAACTGTGTCACTGTCAGTGAGTCTGCATAACCAAAATGCACGACCAGCCATCCAGAATATTTCCAACTCACGTTTCTTCGAGGTCATCCTTGTGTGGGGTCTGCGGCATGGCGGGAGGCATGGTGTCAAGGGGCGTAATTGTCCGAGGAAGAGAGAATTCCTTGGAAACTGGGAGCCAGCATGATGTGTTAGCCGTGACTGGCAGTAAGACAACTAACCAGGATTCAACCCTTTTCTTCGGGGGATCACTTACGCTACCGACACTCTCCAAGACCGGAGACTGATGTAGCGCCACGAGTCACGCCGTCAGATACTCGTGGTGACGGCAGGCGCGTAGGTAGGTGCGAGCAGGGTTTCCCACCCCGTAGAGGCAGCGAGAGAGTAAGTGAGAAACAGAAGAGGCTCCGGGGAAAGGAAAGCGAAAGTGAGAAAAGATGAACGAGATTAGGCAGAAGGTGTGGCGGGCAGATGTTGGATGAGGCTGAGTGAAGGGCGAGCGTGGGGAATGGGCTCCTTTGTAGCAGGCGGTGAGCGCGGGTCTCGATCGCGCCGGACTGTTCGGGGAATGGAAGCTTAGTTGCGTTCGGGTGTCGGCCTGAATGCCACGGGTACTATGCCCTTTCTGTTTCGAAGACAATGGAGTATTTTTTGGTTTGGTACGTCATTCTTTCATCTTTGGATGAATGGTAGTATCTATTGTTCTTTCGAGTTCTATCACACAGCCAAGTTGCAGCAAACAAATAGCACCAAAGGAAGCGGGTCTCCGCCGTATATACTGCGGCAGATCAACAGTCTGCCCCCCGATAGCTCCCTCGTTTTTCCATAAGGACTAGATCACATTACCTTACCAGCTCCCATAGCATCAAAAACGATCATCGCCGTGGTCTTTGAAAATTATTCACATATAGTCTTTGATCACCAGCATGAAAGTGTCTGGTGCTGTAAATGACGTCATTGTCGTAGCTAACGCTGACCGTATCTCCAAAAGGGCCGGAGATCTTGGAGCTTTTACCTCCAAATGGAATCAATTCTTTTCGTCTACCATCAGAGATCAAAGCGACCTCTCGCCAGATACCCGTATGGCAGGGAATACCCAATTCCTCGATCCAATTCAGGACCACTCATGGTATGTTATGGTGCCTTTGACGCCACACCCACGGAGCTTGTGCATCGCTTAGAAGCAGTAGGTGAAGTGGTCCCTCAATGGATATATACCATGTATAGCACGACCCCTTCCCATTCCACCCATCGACGACGGTGTCGTTGCAGGACAGGCTCGACTCTGCCCTGGTGGCGAAGAGAATTCTGAGTGATTCGAGCCAACGGTCCAGCGTGAGGACTTTGATCATGGTATCCAAAGGGAGTTGGACATCGCCTGTTGGAGGATCAAGACGATACATCATGCAAGATGGTGGGGTCATATCCTCTTGGCAAACGGTGGGATATGTGCTATGGCGAGGCGGGCGGAGGGGATCAAGCCAAGGAGATTCGCAATCTGGCATAGTTCGATCACGGTCCTTTATATGGCGAGGATGGCCCCGCCCTGCATGTATAGAGCAAAGAATGTATATGATCCAACCCCAAATGTACCTTATTCAAAACGGCATGGTCCCAACATCCATACCGCATTTGAGAGTCAATCTCAGTGTTTCACCCTTTCAACGAGCCTGTCACCAAGTTAGTCTATCACATGTGTCACGGTCGAATGTGTGATCGGATTTACCTGAGAACGCTGAGACAGAAGGTTAATAGCCAAGCAAGCAGGGCAATCAATAAAACCGATGCGAGGGCCTTCTGCCGAATGCAGATATGGTCATTCCGGGGGTCGAATACTTGATTGACCTCGGCTTCTGTGCAGGAGCCCGTCACCTCGGAAAGGGAGTTAAATGCCAAACTCAGGTTGGCAGAGTCGAAAACAATGAAAAACAGATCAAGAAGGATGAGCCGCGCCTTGGCTGAGGGAGAGCGCAAGCCCAAAGGTTTCGATGTGTATTCATCGAACGTGATATACACAAGGTAAACCAAAGCCACCGCGTCAACAATGATTGCCATTAATGCTGACGGGCCCTGGTCAGTGTGGCCCTTGTCCGACAAGTGCTGAATAGCCCCTCCCAAAGCCAATGCAGACAGCGAAAAGCACCAGACCGTCAGTCGAAGGAACAGCGGCACCATTGGACTTCTCAGCAGCGAGGTTTGGAAGCGCTTGATCCAGATCTCCCTCCTGCGCGTATTGATGTGCAAAGGGTGCTCTGGGCTGTCTCCATCCAGGAGATTGCCGCGCCAGGGCTCCGAATAATTCGCATGATTATCATTCAACCAATCCGATGAGACTTCTTTCGATTCGTCTACATACTCTCGGGGGTACTGAATCATACGCGAAAATGTCGCCCATCGTGATTCCCGATTCTGTACGGCCTCTTCAGAGAACCCTGCATCGTGGATTTGTGCAAAATCGTGGCTGGAGATATTGTAAGGAGTGTGGTTATGTTGAGCAACCTGCGCATCACGAGGCTCGGAGGGTAGTAATCGGTCCGTGGCCGCGGCTCCCTCGGCATCATCCTCGATGACTTCGACCGATCGGATCCATGCTAGAAGGGAAACGGTATGAGTAAGATGGCTTAAAGCGCGTAATTAATTAAGTTGAGAACTCCTGATGTACCTGGTAACGTGCGCAATGTGAAGTGTTGGTATCGGGCGATCTCCTCCAGTGTCTGACCATCGGGCGTTCGCGTTGCCGTGGCTGGGGACTCGGCAGATCCGTTGTGCACCGCGGACTGAGTGTCGATGCTTAGGTTCGTTGTCTGTGGGTTCGATGAAAACAAGCCTGTAGGGATTTTGTTCAACAGCTTTTCATTCAAGGTTCGTTCCGCAGTATGGTCGGACTTGGAGGAGTGCATGATATCCATGGCAGCGTAGGGGAAAAAAGGATCGGAGCTGACGGCAGGAGTCAACTCGAGCTGCACATGCCTGGTCGTGGAAATTGCAGACGAAGATACGAAGATCCGACAATTGAGCAAGCCCAATTCCCGGTGAAAGAGGGAAGAATTGGTCACGATGTGAGCTCCGGGAGGGAGGCTGAGTCCGGGTTCCAACTTAGTAGGAGTGGAGGTCCAAGACGATCTCCGAGTAACTACCAAACGAGATTGCCAGCCGCGCAATGACGTCTGAGCCCCCCTGCTTACTCTTGGCCTCTTTCTCTTCCCCGACATCCTGTCCCTCCGCCTCAAACAAGAAAAAAAAAAGTGAAGATTGTGATTCTCTACGGCACTCTTTGCTAGGTGTGCAGATAACAAGGGGCCTGCTCTCTATCGTTTCTTCTTTCCTTCACCCTTTTCTGTCTTCGGCGACAAACCCACACTCCGGCCTCGATCACCCTCATCCCCCGTCGCGATGCGCCTCTTTCTGATTCCAATCTCGACGCGACGAGCATTGATTTATGCTCGGCCACTACGACGCGACGCCGCGAAAGAACTCTCACTACTCGATCGAACAACAAGCAAGGCTGCTGAGACGTGGGCGAAATGGGAAGAGGCTGAGTCGGGTTGGAAGAAGCACCTCGTCACTTGGGGCAATCGGGTTCAACAGCGCATCCCATTCGAGGAATGGGGACTTAAGAGCATCCCGTCGCTCAAATCACAGCGGCGTATAGATGAGAATTATGGCAGCAAGCAAATTGATGTGCTCTATCCCGGAAACTCGATGCGCCTGGAGAAGATCCCGACCATGCTGCGCCAGATCGCGACAGATCGACAGGAGATTCATAAGAGGAAAATGTGGTGGAGCTTTGCCATTGCTCCCTTGACGGCGCCCTTTGCACTGGTTCCAGTGTAAGTTGCTTGATCCGCCTCGTCGGCGAATAGGCCATCTGACGAAAGCTCTTCTTCTCGGCAGGATCCCGAATATCCCGTTCTTCTACATGGTCTACCGAGGCTGGTCGCATTGGCGCGGTTGGTCGAGCCCGTATCCTCCTCCTAGTCGATGGAAATCGCTAACCCAATTCCAGCGCTGAATGGTTCGCGACACTTGGAATTTCTTGTGGAGAAGAACCTCCTTAATCCTACTACCCTTCCCGAGCTCGAGCAGCTCTACGCCAAGCGTGCATCGCGTGTTCTTGATGGCACCCCGATCGATACCCCAGCATCCGAACTGATTGATGACATTGAACAGAGTGACGACCGTGTGCTACTAAAGATGTCCGATGCCAAGAAATTGGCCTCGATCCTGGATGCTCCCGAGCTGGCTCTGGAGGCTGAGCGGGCCATTGTCCAGGTCACTGAGCAGCTGGAGGCCCAAAAGAAAAAAGAAAAAGAGGCTCAATCTGAGGAGAAGAAAAATTTATGATCCGAATTTTGCATCGTTCTACTTTCTTGGGCTAGGGAAAGGGCAAGGAACCGGATAGAGAAAATCCCACTTCGAGTATTTATTTGTCTTAATAGTTGACGCACCATAGCCCGTATACACAGGGCCAATAGCTCTCCAATAGAGATTTCTGCATGAATTCGTGTCTTCTGTCTCGAGGGAGGGCTTTTGACGTTCTCACCCGTCGTCACGTTCACCACGAAATCGTTAGTTGACTCAGCCAGGCCGACCAGGGCAAATGCACTAGTCCCAAGCCCCTCCACCTGAGCGACATCTCCCTAGCAAGTGCTTCTCTACTTTGTGTCTGTCTGTCTGTCTACATCCTTTGCCGACATGAGTCTCGCGGACCGTATACCTCTTCTTAATCTATCGGAGGAGAGAGACCCAGCCACGATCACCAGCATACAGAAAGCGCTGCTTCGGTATGGCGTCTTTCGCCTCTGGGCGCCGGATCTCAAGAGCGCCCATTCTCTCGAGCTACGGAAGAATGTCGGTACTTTTCTCTTTTTGTTGTCACTGTCAGCAAACTGAAGTATGCAGGCTGGTGAATTCTTTCAGCTCCCGCTTGATGTAAAAGCAAGAACGACAGGATACACTGCTTTCGACTCGGAACTTGTTCGCGGCGACACTCCTATTCCGAAAGAATCGATCTACTTCTTTCGAGGAGGCGACGTGCAACACAATCCGCCTCCTTCGGCTCTTTGCGACTCAATGTTTTGGTTGCGCGATGTACGCTTCATTAGTTTTCCCTTTTCGAAATATTCCCCAGACTAACATAGTGGCGAAAGAAATGGAAACCGTTGAAAGACACCCTCTTCGCGAGCATGTCTGATGAAATCCTCAAGTCCAGTGTCCCTTTGACCGGGAACCCTCGGCTAGATACCGAATCCTTTGGGATCAATTTCTACAACCCACGGCAGCTGGACAGTGAAATAGCCGAGTATAACCCTGCCCACATGGATCCCGGTACGTTGGTGTTATTGATTCGGGATGACAGCACCGATGATGGCTTGGAGATTGCCGATCTTCTGTCTACAACTAAATTCGGTAGCAGGGACATAGGACAAGAGGCGTATTTCTTTCCTATCCCTTCAAACCCTGGTGAAGTTCTCGTACTGGTGGGTACTCGGTTGCAACGTCTGTTGGGCAGGGACAAGGTAAGACCATGCGTTCATCGAGTTCGCGCTCGTGCTCCAGAAAGGAGACAAGAGGAAGAAGTCAGGTTGAGTTTTACGATTGCATGCGCTGCAAGTCCCCCTCCTGAAGTATAGGCTAGCGATCGTGAATGCGGCCTCTCCTCTTTTACGATTTGCGGGCGATGCAAATGTAAATCCAAGAAAAGTATGAGTATCCAGCTCGAATTATAGGCCCCAACTCTGCCCTCGCACAACGGGAATAACTTAAAATAAGCGTATCACGTCGGAGGCAGCCTTGCCCGGGGTAATGTACATAATTCGGAGGCCCAACCCAAAGAGCGTGTATGATCTCGGACTTATTTATATCTGCGAGCTTCTTTCTTCTCTTTTACCCTCCCATCTTCATAGTCTAGATCAAACTAATCCTACAGCCATGCTATTCAAACTACCAAGAGAAGGGCTTACTTTGGAAGCTCTGTTCTCGCCTCTGAAAATAGTCCTCAGCCGCTTGTCACGGGTGGGCTGCTCTTGATTCTTACATGGCAACCTAAGAAATGGCATTTGCTGTCCGGCTCAGCAACTTTTGCGGAGGTTCATGCGACCCAGGAATGGTGCGCTGTTCTTTTGGGGGCCGGAATTCTCTACCAAACCAACAGATGGCTTTCGAGGCGATATCTAAACGCCTTTGCGGATAATACCGAATGGGACTCGACAAACGAACTCGTGGTCATCACCGGAGGATCTAGTGGGATCGAAGCTGCGATAAAATCTCGCTTGGCAAGCAATGGGACCAGGGTCATCATCTTGAATATACAGCCTCCCTTGGAGAAAATCGGTATCTACCCTTTTAACCTTCAGCGGATAAGAAGTCGGCTTACACTTGTTAGCAGATAATGTCTTCTTCTACGAAACGGATATATCATCATCAGCCACAATCGAGCAGGCCGCAGAGAAAATCCGCCGAGAACACGGCGATCCGACTGTTTTAATCAATAACGCCGGCACTGGAAACGACATGCTAATAGTAGACCAACCGACTGCAGAGACGGAAAGAATCTTCAACATGAATATTCTGTCCCATTTCCATCTCGTGAGGGAAATTCCTTCCCGCCATGGCCAGGCAGAATCACTGCCATATCGTGACCGTGGCGAGCATGGCATCCTTCGTTACCCAAGGGAAGAACGTGAGCTATGCGTGTACAAAGGCAGCCGCCTTGGCCTTCCACGAAGGGCTTACGCAGGAGTTAAAACATCGGTACAATGCTCCGAAGGTTCGCACAACGTACGTACATGTCTATTGCTGCTCATGTGGTACGCCTGGATCCGGCTTGGTCCGTGAATTGACTTTAATCTAGGATTTTCCACCCTACACTTACTCATACTCCTCTTGTGGACCATATCACTAGATCTCAGAAGTCGAGGAACTTTTATCTGGAACCAGAAACCGTTTCGGACGCTATCGTTGACCAGCTCTACTCTGCAGTGGGCGCCCAACTCATACTGCCCAGTCGATTCACGTTTGTTAGTGGCATCCGCGGGTTTCCATCCTGGCTTCAGTAATTAATCCGTGATGCGTTGACTTCTAGTCGCAAGTTGGAAGATTCTTAGCATATTGAGGCGGATGTCTCGAAAATGCTTTTAGTCCGGACCATGAGTATGTTCAATATGACGACCGACCACCTTACTATATATTTGCTAGTATACGTCTACACTGTGTGGTGTTTAGACATTTTCATTGTATTACCGTGGTTTGTCTTTTCAATCAAGTGCGACAGGTGTCGTCAATGACTCGGTGTTAAGTGTCTGCACTGTATGCACAAGTCTACATCCTTGCATGTATATATATCCGACCAGGCCAGGGTGCGCCAACTACCACCTATACACGCAGGCCACTGCAAATTCCCACCCTCCCATCACTGGGGCACAAGGGTAACACATCTTAAAAAAAAATCCAAGAGATTTAGTAAAGATCCGAAAAAGAAAAAAAAAAATTGTTGCTTAGTAGCCAAGAAGAGGCTGCTACGTGATATATGTGGAGACAAAAAGAGAAATGAGTGATAAGAGTGAGATTCGAACTCACGCCCCGTAAACGAGATCAGGATTTTATGTTAAGGTGGACCTTAACCTGACGCCTTAGACCAACTCGGCCATCTTACCAGCTTCGATATATAACAGGTCAGCCTTTTACACTATAGACCGCGTTTATGCTTTGAAGGGGAATGTTACCAGTTGGTTGGACTCTACTCCGTACTCTATGCGGGTAAAGCATAGGAATAGGTAGCCGCCTGTAGACTCATGATACGTATCTGACATCCATCTCGGAAAGTATCGTTTCAAAGTACCATACAAACATACATATAAGCCTCAAAATACCATCACGTAACTCATCACAGTCTTAATACCCCGTAGTATTGAAGACTAGCGCGCGGTAAACAACGATGACCTCAGATCCCCTGAAGGCGGACAACGGACACGGACACGGACAGCGGGCCAGTCCGTCGTCACCCTCCAAACTCCCGGATCATCCAACCTCCAACCCCAATTCCTACACCCACACCATGTCGAATAAGAAGATTGAGCAATGGGAGATAGAGCGATATTGGGAGATCTTCTCCTCGCTCTCAAACGGCCAGACACACCTGAACAGTTCGCAGGCCGCCTCGGTGCTGCGCAACAGTGGTCTGCGCGATGACCAGCTGGAGAAGGTCTGGGATATCGCGGACGTGGACGGCGATGGAGAGCTGGACTTTGAGGAATTCTGTGTCGCAATGCGCTTAGTGTTCGACCTTGTTAATGGCGTACGTACCGCATGGGAATTACAATTTGCGAGGCAGGACGACAAAGCTAACGAGGCCGTGCCCAACTGCAGGAGCTCCAAGAAGTCCCGCCCGTGCTGCCAGACTGGCTCGTCCCCGAATCCAAATCACATCTCGTCCAAGCCACGCGGGCATTGCACCGCCCGGAACAGTTCGAGCGGATAGAAGACGAAGACGAATCTCTCGGATTGAAGGATGGCTTTGACTGGTACATGAAGCCCGGCGATAGGTCAAAGTACGAGGAGATCTACAACTCCAGCCGAACCCAACGCGGCGATATTACCTGTGAGATTCCCGAGTCCCTGCAAGACTTGCGCCCTTTCGGACCGAACCGCTAACCAAAGACTGTCCAGTTGAATCCCTACAACCACTCTACGAATCCCTCGATGTCCCAGACACTGACATCCGCTCTGCATGGAACCTCGTCAACCCCTCCGCATCCCAAGCCATCAATAAAGATGCCACCCTCGCATTCCTCCACATCCTCAACTACCGCCACGAGGGCTTCCGCATCCCGCGCACGATCCCGGCCTCCCTGCGATCATCCTTCGAGAGCAACCAGATCGACTACCAAATCGATAATAATGACCGTCCCGCACAGCGCTGGGGTGCCGACGGCAGCCAGGAGACAAGGACCGGCCGTAAGGCCAAGTTCGGCGATACCTATCTGAGCCGGTTGGGCGTTGGCGGCAAAGGCTCGTATCAACCCAAGGGTACGGACTTTAGCGAAACGATCCAGGACGAGGAGTGGGAGAAGGTCCGACTACGCCGCGAGCTTGCTGAGATGGAGGCTAAGCTGCAATCTGCCCGCGAAGCATCCGAGACTCGACGGGATCGGCCGCGTAATGACGGTCGGCCTAACTGGGTCTTGATCAAGAAGGAGGCGCTTCAGCTGTTGGAGTACAAGGAGCGGGAGCTCCGGGACCTGCGGGAGGGTGTTGGTCGGGCGAAGGATGGCCAGGATTTGGAGCGGGCTCGGGAGGATGTGAAGACCGTGGGCGAACAGGTTGAGAGTTTGAAGACTCACCTTGCTCAGCGGCAAGGTGTGCTTGCTGACCTGCGGCATGAGATTGAGGAGGAGAGGTCTCGACGCTGAGCATTGAAATATTCTGGTCACTCATATTGGCACGCTTCATTCTACACATCTTTACCCTTGACCGTTGATCTTCATGTACAGCCATAGTTCTGGCGAGGAGCTCCAGGCGCATAATGGAATTATCTTATTGTCAGCGAAGACAGAATTAGCTATGCATCTCTAGAGAAGTCTAAAATCCGCTATTGTACAACAATGTAACCCTCCAACTGCCGCAATTCCCTCAACTGCCGCAACTTCCAGCGAGAAAGACATAACATCAGCGAAAAGCCCAAAAAAGCCACCCACGCCGTTGGAAAAAAGCCCAAATCCCTTTTGCAACAGACCCCAGTCACAGTAAAAAGCTCCCGAATAAAACAGAGACCACCGGGCTTGAGCCGAAGACCATACCAAAGAAAACCGCAAAATATGAATGTAGTCTTAGGACATCAAAGACTCGCCAGCATCACGCTTAGTCTCGACAGAAACAAAAGCCGGTCCACTCTGTGCGAGACCCTTTTCGGCACGGACATAAGCCTCCTCGCTCCGATCCGTAAGGATCTGAAGATCCGCATCCGAAAGGATGGCCGCCGGATCGGCGCCAGTTTCGAAGCGCTCAAATTCATCTTCACCGAGGGCCTTCCTTAGTTCTTCGACGTCATGGGCGCTACCAGTGTCGAGGAGAGATCGGAATTTGCCCTTCTGGATGACGAGACGCTCAAGGCGGCGCTTGGAATCTGCTTTCTCAAGAAGAGTTTGTTCGACGGTACCCTTCGTCGCGAGTCTGTACACGATCACGGGCTTGGTCTGTCCGATACGGTGTGCTCGGTCCTGAGCTTGGAGATCTTGTTGTGGGTTCCAGTCAGAGTCGAATAGGATGACTGTATCCGCAGCGACGAGGTTAATGCCTTGTCCGCCAGCACGAGTGCTCAGCAAGAAGATCTTGTGACGCTTGTCCGTATTGAATGCCTTGATCTGCGCCTGACGGTCGGCCTGGGCGATTGCGCCGTCGATGCGGCAGCAAGGCCATTTGCGTAAATGCGTAGCCCAATCTTGTAGGATGTCCAGCTGTGTCTTGAATTGTGAGAAGATGAGGATCTTGTGTCCCTTTTTGAAGAGATATGGTACTAGACGGTCAAGGAGAAGCATCTTGCCGGATGCAGTCACGAGAGTTTCGTCCACCATTGAGGATTCGTCCATCCAAGGCCAGTAGAAGTTGTGGGGAGAGTTGCAAGCAAGGCGGGCTTGCATGATGGGATTCATCATCTTCTTCTGGCTGATTTCTTTCTCTGTAGTGTTTGTTAGCTGGCAAAGCATGATAAGCATGAATAGCTGTAGCCAACGTACTTGCAAGTTTGAGATTGTTTGCCCGCTCAATTTCCTCAATCTCGGTGTCATTGGGCTCACTTATCTCCTCTTCTTCCTCCTCGACTCCTTGTTCAAGCTTCCGCAGTTTTGAATTGAACTCTCGGTCGCTGATATCTTTATAATTCTGAGGACCTCTGCGCCGTCTGGCCGAAGCCGTGCCGCTGGCCGGTTCACTGTCTCGGGCTGTGCGCCGACTTTTGTTGGGCGTCTCTGATGCATCACTGCTGCGACGACGTTTCAGGCTGCGAGAGCGAGTAGGAGTAGAGCTCTTGCTCTTGGCCGTTAAACGCTCCAACGCCTTCCCTTCAAGATATTGACGTCCAGTGCCACTCAAAATCTCTCTGTAAAGCTCTTTCTGTTCAGGAGTAAGCGGTGCATACAGAATGTACTCTCGCTTCTTCGGCAGAGAGTGCTCCACGTCGGTCTTGACACGCCGCAGAAGGAACGGCTTCAAGATGGAATGCATGGTAGTCACCAAGTTGCGCTTTCGGCGCTCGATGACTTCTGCCTTGCCCGAATCATCCAAGACAGATGAGAAGTCGAACCAGCTCTCGAAGCTCTTCAGATCATTAAAAACCTCGGGAAGCAAAAAGTGCAATAGCGACCATAGCTCAGAAATGTTGTTTTGCAATGGGGTGCCAGTAATGAGCAATCGATTAGCAGAGTTGTAAGTCATTAATTCTTTGATGAGCTTGCAATTCATGTTCTTGAGGCGATGGCCCTCATCCTGTGAACTCAATTAGCTTTGTTCATTTTAGCGCAAGTATTTTAGGACATACCACGACAATGTACCTCCACTGATACTGTCCAAGGAACTTGGAATCATTGATGCAAATGTCGTAAGACGTACAGATGATTGGGAAATCCATCTTTCCCTGATCACGCGTCTTCATATACTTATTTCGGATGGCCGCACGCTCCTCCTTAGTACCGTGATAAAGAACAGTTTTGATGTCGGGAGTCCATCTCTTGAACTCGTCAATCCAATTGCTCAGGGTACTGAGCGGCGCTGCAATAAGATAAGGACCCGAGACATTGTTCTCCTTCAAGAAAGCAAGCATTGAAATAGACTGAACGGTCTTTCCGAGACCCATCTCATCTGCAAGAATGCCGCAAAGTCCATTCATCCAGAGGGTCTTCATCCACTCCAAACCCTCCAATTGGTAGGTGCGCATCTTGCCGCCAGTTACCAGAGCTGGCTGCTGGGTGGCGACAAGCTCTTGTTCACCAAGAGCAGTCGGATTGGCCTCATAATCCTCCGCTGCCTGCTCAAGTGCTTCTTGAACGGTGGGATTTCCCTCGTCGACTTTGACATCGGCTTTTTGAAAGTAGCAAGAAATTGTGCTCCCATTGGCTCCGCTCTTGCGAGAGCGGCCTCTTCGCTTCGCGACAGGATCATTTCCGGTAGAAGTTTCCTCAGCAGTGGGTTCCTCTTTGACTTTATTCCGAGTCTCTCGTCGAGTACTCGCGGCGGGCTTTGGCTTGGGCTTTTGATCGGTGTCATCTCGTTTCTGGGTGGCGGCCCGTTGTCTGGCCTCTTCCTGTTGTTTCTTCATCTTTTCTGACATGATGGCAACGAATACCTATAGGCGGAGGATGGTTAGCTATCGGCGCTAAGAAGACGGTCACACAATAGTCGCAACTTACCGAGCTCGTCTTGAGAAGATGCATCAAGGCCTTTGCCTTAACATCCATGCCTTCCGTATCGTCCGCATCTTCTGTCGCCCCTGTGGCATCGCCATCCCGTGCTTCTGTCTCTTTCTCTCCAGCTGCATGTGTCTCCGCATCTGTCGCCTTGGATAAGGAATCTTTCGGGTCCTGATCGGTAGTCTCGGTCATCGGCGAAGAGGGCACGGTCGACTCGGGCTGGATCGTCCCAGCCCGGGAATCGGTAGGCGTTATGGGCGAGTCTACCGCAGACATTGCGAGCAGAGCGAGGGAGAGAGAGGTCTTCGAAAGCGGTTGCACGAGCGACGAGATATGAAATGTGCAAGTCAGAAAGAGTGTGTAAACGAGTGTGTGTCAGATCTCGATCCAGGAGAGGCCAGACGTCATCCCCAGGGGTGAGAATCTGTCAAAAAACCAGATTCTTCGAAGTCGTAGAGAAGACAGCAACTCCCCAAGTGATAGCCACAGCAGTTCTTTCACAACCTTCTGCACTTCTATGGACTCTGATCGCATTCAACTGTATTCTCGGTGAGTACTTAGTTTCGGGGGACAAGTCTACGCGTATCTGACGCGGATTTTCGCGTCGGGTGCACGGACCAAGTTTTAATCGAAGGCAAGTACATTCGTGCAAGACTCCGAAGTACTCCGTACATAGTTTCATGATGAGTAGAGCTCTTACATAGCCGAATTAGAGCTTCGCGCTGATCTGTACCACTCGGGCTGAGTTCGATACTAATATTTGAGAACAGATTGCTACGAATGACACCTCACGTACCCTTCCACATACAGTATCCTGATATCAGGGTGTTGACTACATCTAGAGCTGTAATAGTCTGTCGGAGCAGTCGAATCCTGAGGCCGGATCCCTACTAACATGGATAAGCTACGTGACATGAATAAGTCTTCAAAACAGTATCCTTCCTGATATCTTGCGGTTATCTTGCGGCACAAACTGGGAAGCCTCGTATCCAGGATTCCGCCCACGTGAATTTAGTACGATGGAACTAATATTTGGTACGTTTAAAAAGAGGAAGCACGATTTCGAGGTTCTAGTGCATACGAGAATCTGTGATGACTAAAGTTGCAATAGATCAGGAAAAGATATCCCTCAGCCTCACACCTTCACCATAACATTCCCAGCTTCCAGGTTCCCGAAAAGCTACATCTTTCCAATCCTTCATGAAGGTTTACATCGCCCTGGTTCCTTGATGAACAAGCCTTCAGAGTGATGAGCCCACCATGTCCTCGGATGGAAAGCCGATAGATCCCGGACATTCAACGCATGTAAATCAGTAACAAGTAGATGGACAGAAGTCATATCGTCACCCATGTTATCTGCAAAATTGCACACGATTCGAATCAACAGATACTCTCATGGCCGTTCACTTCTGCTTCCTTTGCCGTTCAATTTTGGCAAGCAGACGAAAACTCCATGTTCACAGGAGAGTCCTGGGACTGCGAATTGGACCCATCCTCTAAGAGAGCCCGGAGGTTCTCATCAAATTCGCTGGCCTCTACCAGCACCTCCTCCAAACTCTTCTCGTCGAGTTCTGAGTTCTCCTCATACTCGATGTCGGGGCGGGATTCATAGCTGAGGAAGAGCTTCTGACAATCGTTGGCCAGCTTCTCGTACCGGGCCTCCAGCTTCTGCTCCCAGGTTCTCTCCGTGATGTCGCGGGCCGTGAAAGGAAGAGGGTTTGCCTCTGCAGCCCGCTTCTCGGCCTCAACGTCAAGCTTGGCTCGCTCGATCCGCTGATTAAACCGGTATTGGGTGACGGCAGGCTCTGGTAGCGCGGGCCCATCCTGATTAGCGGTGATAGCAGCCGCACCATCTTTGCCCAAGGCCAACTGCAATCTTCTCTCCTGAGTAAGGTGGGCTTGGTTCTCATCCGACTCAGTGAAGAGCTGCTCCCAGTCTTGCCAATGTTGCTGCAAAGTCTCCATTGGGTGCACGGTATCAGCAGCCCCGGCGATTGAGCTACCTCGGCAGACATGATTGATAACGGCTGTCTTCTCAGCCAGAGACCGCTGCTTTGTAGAACCGGCATACATGGCCATGACTGAACGCCCCTCGGTAGTCGCAAGAGGATGGCTCCACTTGACTCGCTTGGCAATAGGCTCATTGTTTTCTTTGGGTTGCATACTTTTGTCTCCATTGCCCCAGTTCCCAGCCAGTCCCCGTGGTAGCCCATGCTGCTGAAGAAAGTGCCAAGCCTTGCGAAGATCTCCAGTTTTGCACGAGTTGAAGCGTCGCTCTGGGTCGTCAAGGATTTGCTGATGAGATCTGGCAGCAATGTTGCCTAGAACGAGCTCGTCCTGCCCACGTTTGCGCCGGCTGAGATCCACGCTCAGCAGATATCTGAGCTGCTTTTCTCTCATGATTCCCAGTTCTTTGTCCTCTCGAACGATCGTTTTGTGGCGTCTCTTCGCGGACTCTTCGGCCTTTTTCTGTTGCTTTCGAGTGAGGCCAAGCTTCTGCATGGCATAATCCCAGTTACCTTGCTCCAGCAGGTTGTCCGTGATCTCCACTCTGAGTGATTCGTGTAGATCATCCCATGTAGGAACAGGAGGGTTTGGCTGAGTTTCAACGGTACTGTCCGAAAAGTCCATATCCGATCTATTTGCAAGGTTCCGAGTATTAGCATCAGCTGACTCTTTCGGTCCTGCACTGGCCACGGTTTCTAAATTTCTCATAATGATCTGGCCTAGCTCAAGGTTTCTGGCTTTCCAATCCACACGAACTCCTTCGGGTGCTTCATACTCGGCATCGAATGTACTGGCATCCAGAGGCTTCTGACTCGCAGACTGCTGGAATGCTGCCTCGTTGGCTTTGAATGCATCATTCTGACCACCGATTCTGATGATTGGTTTTGGGTGATATGATTCACGAGGAAGAGGCTCAAGACCTTGAAGGCATCTCTCACGGTCTTCCTTGACACGACGTAAGTGTCCTTCTCTGGTTCCGGTAGGTATCGGCTGGCCAATGGTTGAAAGGCTTGGGAAAGTGGCAGGAGGAAGGCTAGGATCGAATGACGGGATGGACGGCTTCGGAGGACCCTTCTTTCTGGGCTGGGGGCGCGATAGTTGATAGTCCATTCCAGCCTTCGCGGCGCGGGCCTTTCGAATGCGCCCAATTAATTCTTCTCGAGTCAGACCTTCCTCATGGTCCTTGAGAGGCTCCTCTGCGCGGACAGAAGGACGCGACTTTTTCTCTGAGGTCGACTTCTTCGTGGCCATTTCGAAGTCTCTCGCGGACGATACAGCAAAATTCGGCCGAGGGCGTTAGCTTTCCACAAGACTAGTGAGGCAGTGGCAGTCCAACGGAAATACCAACAGGAGGGCTTCCCGCGAATATGGCTTGTGAAAGATACAAATGAACGTGGAAGAAAGTAGTGGACGGGATGTGCAGTAGTCGTTATTTCTCAGAGAGAGACAGCAAGAGGCTGGCGCCTCGAGTTGCCTCCCAAGTAAGAGGTGTGTTGAACTGAAGATACAAAACGGGATCTCACAAGGATATTCGGACTGGTAAAGAGAGAACAAGAAGAGCGTGACGGTGTAAAATAAAGCAGGGGGAAGATAGTCAGAAGAGGAGGGGGTTGTGAAAGGATGGAGAGAGAGAGGGAGAGAGAGAAAAGCAGAGATTGTTGATGTTGTGGATGGACACGCTCGCATGAGTTGGTGTCAAAGTTACTCATGCGCAGTCTATCGAGTTTTATTTTTTTGACTGACATGGCAAGTGTAGATCAAGACTGACGAATTTGTTGGATATCTGAATATTAGCCAGTAATAAATATGAACCATCTACCAAATGGGTATTCCCGTCGACGACGACTAAAGCCATAGATAAACTGACCCTTGCTCTCTAAAACGAAAAGAAGTCGACAAAGCGACCACATAACCATATTAAAACAGATCTCCCACATTGCAAGCTATGATGTAGACGTGTTATGCCCGTTCTATCCACCTTAGGTTTGTCGGACATAATAAGAACCGTCGAGTTGTGGGAACAGAATATTCGCTCTTCTTTCAGCAAGCAAGTGAGCTTTGATCTAAGCTACTCGATCCTGGAAGGGTGCCCGCGGCATTCGATCCAGGGATGAATGGCCCTCGCTGTCGATTTCCATATCACTATCGGCCATATCGATATCGTTCTCCTGTCGATCCGCAAAGTTTCGTTTCTTTGCTAGGAGCACAGGCGGGACGGGAGGAGGTGCCAGAGTCGTAGCTCCACTTTGGATGTTGGCACGCTTGGCATTTTCGACGTCACGTTTAGCCATCAGGATAGACTCGAAGGCTGCAAGAATGCGTTTCATGGGATCTTCAATGGAGACACAGAATCGGTGCTGCTGAACTGTATGCGTGGCACGAACAGCGTCCAGGTTAAGCATGACCATGATGTAAGCAATGACCACACCAGCCGAGCGTTCATTTCCCGATTCACAGAAGACCAGGACCTTCCTCTTGCGCAACGAGTCCTCGGCCATTGGGGAGCTCAAGTGGGAATCGCTGTTGTCGTCCATTCCAGCGAGATGATCATTGATACGGCGGATGGCCCGAGGAAATGCGGAAATCAACTCTTGGTTATCAAGGACGTCGATGGTATCAGCCTTGATGCCGAGTTGAGTGGCGGCCTTGTCTGCAGACAAGAGTCGTGCATGAGCAGATTGGCGATTGCGAATCGCTAAAAGGAGAGTAAAGCCCTGACTGCGGAGAAACTCAAGGTCCCGGACACATGAAAATGGGCCCAGCGACAAGAATGGAAGAATGGGCTGAGCCTCACGGCGCATCTCGTAGCTCCATTGTGAGTGGTTGAAGCGACGCGTGAACCCGTCGAGATACGCGAGGTTGAAAAATCCTGGGCAGACAAAGTCACCATCGGCAAATTGGTGTGTTTCCCGGCTGAAGGCCTTCTTGTCGACCACCACCGTGTCGTCGTCGTCCCCGAATTGCCCGGAGCCGAAGTAGCCTAATGCTGGGCTCATACCAACCGAGGGAGGGTATTTCGGAGCAGAGGTGTACTCCTGCGTACGGACATAATGAGCTTGTATATCCTGGGACATTGGAACTTCACTCGATGGAGAGAATTTGGACATGATGTCGGACATGGCCTGTTATGTCAGAGACGCGTGGTTGTTGAAAGCAGTTGAGGCTACTGCTGCAGTGGGACTGTATGGAAAGAAGAAGGAAGGCCAAGCTCTCAGCAGAGCAACTCAGAATTCGGCTTGCAAGCTGGAGGAGCGCTCCACATATCTAGAGTGCTGCCGGATAAAGCCTGCACTGTGCCGGAAAGATTCACGTGGTAGTACAGCCCGTGGACAATAGCGGGTGTTCCCGTCACCACTGCCTAGCCGTTCTGGAATCGCTTCAATTGTGAAACAGACTAGATTCCCAAGAAAGAATTGACACGTGCTGTGGGTTCCTGAAACCTTCTGAAGGGCTCTTCACGTGCTGAAAGGATAATCCTACTAGCGGGTCTAGAGGTGAGGTCGATATAACCTACCTGGGGAAGCAGCCGACAGATTATGTAAGGCACGTTTTTGAGCCGCATGCGGTTGGTCCCAAATTCACCGATCTATGCACAGAGAACATATACATCTGTTTCTTTATTCTATGTGGTAAATGAATATCTTATTACTGATTTGTTGGACAAATGAATATATTTGGGCAACAGTGAGAGACCGGTTGTGTTACCCATTTGTCTATAAATCGGAATCAAGTCGATATCGAATGACGTGCATTCCCTGTACGAAAGCAGGGCAGGCTTTCAGATTAAAAGAAATCATGGAAGAAGTATTGTTTTTATCCTTGAATGATACATAGAGAAAAACAAAGAAGCTCCGAAACCGCTCCACCCAGGCAGGTTTCCGTCAGCTAACTTCCCCCTACTAACCATCGGGTTATTAGACTAGATGAGTATGGGTAGAGTGGTATCAATTAGGCGGGTGCATTGACATCGCCCGGTTTCGACTCTCGCTTGCCAGAGCTTCACTGTAAATCTAGTGTTTTACCACTAGGTTACCAAGGGGCCTTTCTTGCCAATTTTGACCTCGAGTCTCTACATAGCTTCTCATGCCCAAACAAATTGACCTTATTTGGAACCCCGCTCAGTTCTGACTACTTGTGGAGGGCTTTCGGTCCCACCCAGTGGCATGATGTTATTGGTTGATATTCATTTCTAGACGAGTACCCCATGGGGTTGATTTCGATATTGGTGGGAGCCCACAGTTATGGACCAGATTCATACCCTCCCATGGCTCTGGAAATATCTAAACATTGGCATAGTATTGCGAGAGTGCTATATACACCGTACAATACTTTCCCTCCATATGTCGACAACATATCCACCCACAAGCCTCTTTATGACCTCCGTGTTATAGACGTGCCATGCTCTTCTACCGGAGCTATAAACCACCAGCGATCGATGTTGTGCATTTCTACACATCCCAGTGGAAATTCGGAGTACCCCAGGCCGGACCGTACCCACCATGACGCCCTTTGGATAGTCTGTGCTGACATTTGGTCTTTTGCAGCAGGATCCGACATGATATCCGAGCCATGAACCGGCACACCGGCACAGCCTTTCATATCCTGTCATCCTACATACACCTGAGAGATTCAAGGCATCTGCAGCTCCATGACGCCCGGGGAGACGGGATTCTAGATAGTCCATGCGACATGCTGATGCTGACATCCCATCTATCCGACGACAAATCACCCGATTACCCCCACACACCTAACGCCGCCGTCGAACGCGCAAGCCAAACCATCTTCCTCGATTATAAATCCACCCAAAGCATACCAACTCCCACCGAAGACCGGAACTCCGACCTACTAACTCCGAACAACACCCCTACACATGACTCGAAAGCCCCCTAACCAACACAAGGCTCACGATGACCATGACGAATCCGCCATCAACCATGACTCATTCGTATCCCGGAGATCCGGCGGTAGCCTTGTATGAATCGGGTGCCCGCGGACGGAGACCAAATCCACCATGAGGCTCATGCGCCGCTAGGCGGATTTACTAGATGGGGCCTGGCGGGAAGTTTACGAAGGTAAGGGTCTAGATCTCGACGGGGTGGATGGCCTTAATGGAGTGGGGGGGCCTCAGGTGCCGATGGTTGCCTGGCGCGCTGTGGCTGGTGGGTTTTTTGGCCCCCATTTAGGATCGACGGATCTACGGATGCCTTGTTTGCGAGGCTGCGAGGTACGGGAGTATACGATCGGGAGCTACGGGAGGCAATACGAAATGCCATGCAAGTGTGTGGTAAACATGTTATTCATCAAGGGATGTTACACAGAGAGTAGCAGATTGGGACCTGAAGGATCGGAGGCGTTAGGAGCTGCGAAGACTAGGGATGGAATGAAATGAAAATGGCAAACGATTCCGTCAAATAAAAGCTTGGGAATAGAAAGGTACGAAAATGGTACAACTGGGGTATAGGAGTCGATGGATACACCTCTTGGAAAGAAAACCGCCCGTCCCATTGAAAGCCAATGTCAAGCAAAACGCCTTAGGTCCCTAACAGCTAGCTTGACGGCCATCGACCCCGGCCATCATCAACAAAACCCAGATGCAGTATAAGGAAGCAGAAACGACGAATAGAGAACAAAAGCAAGTAAGATTGCAGACCTCTGCTCGAGAGGAGGAACGCCCATAGAAATGCAACAACAAACATAACAAGAAGAGATTTGCCATCCCACATGATTAAACGATAGAGTAGAGAGGAGTGGAACCTAAAGTTGAGGCGCCGCAACCTGGGGCGCGGGGGGTGGCATCGCCTGCGTAAGCTGAGGGTCGTGTTCGGGCACTGGCTGCTGAGGGATAGCTTGCTGGAGATCGGCGACGATGCGCTCTAGCTGCTCTAGGCGGCGATCCTTCTCCTGGACCTCGCGACGCAGTCGCTTTACTTCGTTGTGCAGATCATCGCCATTCTCATGGGGATCGGGGAGGTCACCATCGGGCGAATCGTGTCTGCGCTTAAGACCAGTGGCTGGGAGGGAGTTGGCGCGAACGCCCTCCAGCTCGTTGGCGCGCTCCCATGGCATGTCAACGAGAATAGAGGCCGTTGGACCCTCCTCCGTGTGCATATGGCGACGGCGCAAGTGCTCTCGAAGATTTTCCTGGCGCGTGAATCCGTTGCCGGTGCTGCGGTTGCAATCGGTATAGGGACACATCAAGGGCTTCTTAGCATCGTTATTCTTCTTGTGGACCTCGCGCTGGTGGCGCAAGAGACCACCAGAGTAGGTAAAGCCTTGAATCTTATCGCAACCTGGTTCGTAGCACTTGTAAGGGCGATCGTGTTTATCCATGTGTTTACTGATGACGACGAGTTAGTATGACGAAGCGCCAGCGACGGTCGGGTAGAAAGGGAAACCAAAGACTTACTTCCATTCACAAGGACGACGGAAAGTAGGCGGAGCAGCCTGACAATCGGTGTGATCGCAATAAATTTGGCCTTCGGTGTTCTTGGGAGGATCGCGGGCGCGTCGGACAGAGAGGCGTGGGCGCGCACTCTCCATACCACCATAACCGAGGGCAACAGCTTGTTCGTTCATTCTGGCAATTGAGGAAAGAGACTCTGTAGCAGAGGCGAGGGCAGAGGCTACAGTAACCGCGTGAGGAGCTTCACTTCGTGGACTAGGATAGTCAGATCCGTCGCCCATAGTATCGTGTCGACCCCACTCCAACTGAGGGGATTTGTAGTGGAATAGAGATACCGGCAAGACGCGTCCACCGATCTCTCACAACCACACTGGGAGTTGGTTCACGAGGGGGGAGGTGGAAAACAAAGCAGAAACAATTCCTGAAGATCAGGAAAAGAGAAGATTCAAATAAAATTGACCGAAGTCGAGAGGAAAGATAGCTGATGGCGACGAGTTGGGGTTGGTACTGGTAGATGGGGGGAGAGCGGAAAAAGTGCCCAAATTTTCAGGTCTCAAGGCACCCTCGCCCCTTTTATACCTGAGGCCGCCCGCGTGCGTCAAACAAGAACCGCCACTGTGGCGCAGATTTGCCGCGCTTCTCGGACTTTCTGTTCGTCCACGACAGTCCCGGAGTTACCGACCAGCTGAATGAGGGTCTCTGGTTTCTTGTTCAGCAGGGCAAATTCGTCACTGGGCCGGGGGAATTTATATACTACTGCATAGATGCAGGCATCAACCAGGGAGAATGCGTTGGCTTTTTAATGCTTTTCTTGGTTTGGGCGTTTTCTTCCCACCCCACCATAGCCGATCTTGGATGGACTGTGGCCACAGGCTCTAGTTGGTACCTCGAGCTGTTGTCATGAATGACTCACACGATTGAACGAGCCCGCCTTCGACCACCGCTATATGGGTACCAATAAGAATCGCTTTATTCGCTTCGATCGACCCAGTCTTGGGTTTCCAGTGCTAAGGAAAATCAAGTCAGGCAGCCATCCTGGTAGGAGGCCTGCGTACCTGCGAAGCCTGTTCTTGCTGCACTTCAGCCCAGAGCTATCGCCACAATTGGTGCCTTACAAATCTACACGCAAATGGGAACCCCACGGAGTTGCCTACGAAGTGACCTACGGCGTCTCCTACAGGATGAGTGAGTGGATGTCTCCGTACAGCGTGTACAAGGCTTGTGGCGGTGAATGCCCTGCATGGTCACGGGATTTGATGATCAACCCTAAGATCACGTGGAAACATTAGATAAGCCACATAAGGCAGAGGCTGTGCTAGATGGAGGAGACTCTTGACTGGCTCCTGCTTTTCTAGGCTGCAGAATATTTAGAGCTTTTCCCTCGTGGGATTCTGCTATCTAAAGATAGCATGGATACTGATCTGATCGACATGCAGAGTGCTTGCGAATCTTCAGGCGAAGCACCTTATTTATAGCCAAAATGCATTAGATCAAGTCTTAGAGTATTTATGGCAGTGGCAGTGATTCCTCGACGTTTCTTGGTATTCAACGATTTACACAAACCCATGGGCCAGAAACAAAGCAGCACCTGTACCAAAGTGGATCTTCAACCAGGATTGATGAACATTGAACAAGCTACATGAAATCATGTATCATGATCTACCGGACTAAGACACCATCAAAGCAACGCATCACCCCGCGGATTCCGCAGCTGATCTAATGCCCAACGAATCTCGTCAGCCACTATATCCGGCCGTATCAAATGCACGTTATGTCCGCAGTCCGGCAAATGCACTAGATGCGTGGTCGAGGAAAGTTGGAGCTGTTCCTCCTTCATCTTCCGGTCTATCGCCTCCCATCGATCCAGGAGGTCCCGGAAAGCTCGTTGCTGCTGTGGCGTCCCATTCCCTGCCTCAACGCCATTCTCATAGATTCGCTCGTAGTCCATAGCGCTATTACAGCGAATTACACTGACCGGTCGATGCCCCATCGCCCGGTTCTGAAACTGCTTTTTCTCCGCGAGTGTATGGCAAACGCCCACAAACGAATCAACTTCGACTCGTGCTGCGGCTGCCCCGCGCGCAATATCGATGGCTCGATCTCTCCATTCATCTCTTTGAAGTTTCGAGTCCGCTCGTAGACCCGTCACCTGCGCCACTTTGAGATTCCCCAGCACTGCATTGATATTGGCATCCGGAAGCTCAAAATAGTCACATTGTCGCTCGGTGGAGCCATCCGCGAATACGATCCCGGCAACTTCGTCATTGTACAAATGTAGATACTCGCGCGCAACGATAGCGCCGTAAGAGTGGGCTACTAGAACCAACGGTGAGCGCAAGTTTGTCGTTACGAGAAGGCTGTGTAGTTCCTCGGCGGCCGTAACGGCCGTAGTAGTCGTGGGATCTGTGGATTTCGGTAAGCTCGGTCTCGGTTCACTGCGACCGAGTCCGGAACGATCATAGAGCAGAATCCGGGAGAATTGAGATACGAGAGGTGCGAGGGCTGTGTAGGAGGACGCGACGTCCCCGGCGCCGGCAAGAACCACGACGAGGGGATTTTGGGGTGTGCGAGGAGGTCCACTGATTGAAGTATACAGGCAATGGGTACCAATAGATACCATTGCGGAGCCTGTATCTCTAGCCCAGTCCTGAGGCGCAGTATTCATGATGCGTGATTGACGGATTGCTCCACAAAGCAATCAGTAGTTCTGCGTCGTATACAGTCGTATAAATCCACGTTGAGCGGGGCAGCGGGGTAGAGCATCAGCCCCGGTCTCCTCTTGAACCCTAATTACAGAATGTCAGCACATATCCAGGACCCTGCTGCGGCAGCTCCTGGAACTTACCTCGATAATTACTTAGCATAGCAGATCTTTCTTAAGTTTTAGACCTACACTAATCAAGTAGACACAAAATGCCCCACAAAACTAGCTTTATTCCTCAGTATCTTAGATACCGAATGGTGTGTCATTCCACAGGAGTGTCTCAGCCTCTAACTCCTCGTCATAGCTTTGCTCTGAGAACACCTGACGAATGACCTGCCGGAATTCGGGAAACATTTCAGCCCCATACATCAGTTTTGTAAATTCCCAATACTCAGGGTAGAACCCTGCGCATTCCCAATCCACAATTCCCGACAGCCGTCCGCGATCAATAATAATGTTGCTCGGGTGTAAGTCCGCATGGGTGAAAAAAGATCGGTAGGTACGAGCGTGAACAGTAGAAATCTTTTTAATTGTCTCCTGACGCAGGTAGGCATGGACAAGGAAGGCATTGAAATCAAAGATTGAGCTGAACGGACCGCATGTGCCAGACGGGAACCGATGATTCCTTAATGGGCCGCCATGACTATTGCCGAAGATGTTAGGGGTCTGATTTGGCATACGGCATAGTTGTGACACCAGGCTTTTCAAGTCTTTCGATAATTGCTCGCGCTCGAAACATGAGAGCCGATGGAAGACTTTGTCCAAAGTTTGACCAGGGACCGCCGTCACGATGAGAATAGGGTGCGTCTGCTGGTAATCATCCACCCATAATGGTGCCGGGATTGATGTGTACTTTTCGACCAGGTGCAACGCCTCGGCTTCGTTGCGAGAAGAGCCAGCGCATTCCTTCGCGTAGAGTCCGAACGGCAGCCGATGAACGAGACCTGTGAAGGACCGTGGATAGAGATAGCTTCCAAGTTTGATAAGCAAAGTATAGCATTGAGTTCGTATATATCTGGGCATGAGATGCCAGAGAGAGCGCAATGCTTTTTGTGTCGTTAAATTCCACTGAACTAATCAAAGCGAGTCAATTAGATTTAGAGTCTCAAATTCAGAGGATCGCTGGTCCATACTCAATGGGAACCATCCCGGTTTGCGACTAGTTTTGTGATTCGTGGGGGACAGGGTCACGCCGAGCCACTGACTTGGTGGTTAGCGTGTACTTGAAAGCCAATACATGGTCTTCGTCCGACTGACACTTGGAGACGACTTGCTTCCATTCAAGCTTTATTTCTATTAGAATTTGCTCCACGGATCGACCGGTATGGTCATGGATCCTCTCCCAAATGTATTGAGCCGTATACTCTCGATCGACGGACACGTTGAGAAACGCTCTCCAGAGGGAGTGCTCAGTGGGTGTCAGCCGAGCGGATCCAATTAGCCGAGCCGTTTCGTTGAACCTTCCACAAGATGACTGCATGTTTGGGGACAGTACAAGCTTGACTTGAGATCCCAATGTTCAATCCAGTACTTCTAAAGTAGGGTGACATGAAAGACACGACAGAGAAGTTCAGGGCACGACAAGGCTAGTCCTAATGAGGTACGCCCTCCCCCCCGGCCTTCAATACGAAGCTACATTCGAGATTTATAAAATAGTTACCTGCTGCATCAGTATGAATGTATGATTCACATTAACGCTTCTCGTAAATATCGTTAGCGGCCGTATACGCGACCGCTATCTATTTAGCTTTAGTCTAACAGACTAAGTTATTATTCCACTCCCCTGCCCTAGTATCCCCTTCCTACTATCACCCTTTCCTATGTTCTTTTCTAAGGTCTTGGTAACAGTAAAGGAGCGAGCGATACGATCCATGTTCGCGGCGATCCGCTCATCATTAACTTCGAAAAACTCTTCCTCCGATCACCAAGCTGTCCAATAGAAGTCAACATATGCTTCGACAGGTCTATGTTGGAAGAATTCGCTACGAATGTTTGGGAAGAGCAAAAATATTGAATGAAACGGGGCTCCTGCGGACTAAAGAGGGGAGAAGGCCATAACCTTTTGTCGCAATTTAAGAATCGGTAAAATCTCATTTTTAGACATTTCCCCCCCCCCCATATAATCTACTTTTATCTTTATACCCTTTGTTAGATGCGATTTCCCGCACCGAAACAATCGAAATCGATATAGATCAAATGACTGATAAGACTACTGGAGCTATGTTTGTAGATATAAAATCCGTATCCTGATGTTGAATCCTCTCACGGCCAATTTACTTTACCTCATCCTCAAAATTATTGCGATCATAGATAAAATAGAAGGGTAGAGCTTAAGGCTTATATATAATCAAGTCCTAGGCGGTGATACCATCGAATTAGTCCTTAAGTTAATCCGCCTAAGGCTTCGGTTTATATGCATAATTTCCTGGTTGATTTCCTGGGCCGTTACCTAGACGGGTGCTTAAATGGTTTCCTTAACGGTTTCCTTAACGGTTTCCTAGACAGTTTCCTAGACGATTTCTTAAACAAGGGCTTGAGATGGTTTTCTACTTAATCCCTACGTTGATCTCTTAGCGATGTAGTAAGCACGAAATGTACTTGGGGCGGAAGAAAATGGGTGAATGGTCTCCAAAAACCTTCAAGGTCATGGCCTTCTCCCCCTTATAGTCCGCCGTACGGGGCTAGGGAATAGTCACGTGCGGGCGCTCATGGCATACTCCATCTTATAGGACTACAGTTTGGGTTACAGAAGCATAAAATGTCTCGATTTTTCAGGGCAACAACATTGTGAATACCTAGGTAAAGACTGTTAGGAAGAATCGAGCCTGAAGAAGGATCAGGGTAAAATTGCAAAGCTGCCCGATAGATGACTACCGGGCCCAGCTGGGCGGGTGAGTGAAACCCAGCCATTGCATGTTCAGACAGCAGGCCCAGATGCAGAAGAGCTGCAAGGCCAATGCTTGTCGCCTCAACCCATCGACAACCGCACGTGATGGAACGTCACGGCGACGATAAAGCCTCAAAGGAGTGAAAAAGAGTTGCCCCCTTCAGACTAACTGAGGATATCGGTGGTCTTGAGTGAATCATTCAGTAAGGTGGCAGCGCCCAGAAAAGTAGCGGGGCCAGCCTGGCCTTACCGAACTGACGTCCTGATCGGCATGGAAGAATGGACGGGTAAGACTCTGGTGGAAGGGACTCTAACGTTTCGTGCGAGACTCTGCTTCCTCGAGATGAACATGATGAGAAGGCAAGCCTGTTGGAGGCCAGCCCTAGCATAAAGTAGCGATAAAGCATGTCACTCAGTCATAGTTGCCACCAACCTGGCTAGCGAAAGCGGTCGAAACGCTGCGAGCATCATCGTCGTCAACGGTGTTATGTCCGGGGACGCCGCGAGTAACGCGGATGCTGGCCGAGCTACCGCCAAAGATGCTGCCATTGTCGGGGACCCCACCACGATAAGGCTCGCGGCCGCCAGACTCCACATAGCGCTTCAGACGATCGGAGTGGCTGAAACTCGTTTGCTTACCCATGTCGTTGATGCTCAATCCAGCAAGGCTAACACCACCTTGATCAACACTGCGACCATCAATGATGCTTCCGGTGACATCGGACTCGGTAGCAGCAATGGACTCTCCAGCAACGCTAGGAGCACCCTTGGCCCGACCACCATTCGCACGCCGACCGCCCGAAAGAGAAGGCCACTGATCGGTAAAATTCTGGAACATCGGAGGGTATCCGGAAGGAAGACCGACTCCACCAACCGCAGAGGAGTGAACCGAGGAGACATCGTCTGGGATGTAACCAACAACAGAGCCAGTGTCCTGATAATCATTGCGCTGGCCGTTGCGGGCATTCATGTTGCCCGAGACGGCAGTGGCACCTCCTTGGGTGAAGGCTGACGACATGTGGAAGCGCTGAGGACCACGGTAAGCCTGCTTGGGGCGGCTGAACTGAATCAGAGACTCCTGCAGGTTCGACAAGGGTCCCTCGACGAGACAATGGCGTTCCTTGAAGTGCTGCAGCAGGCAGTTCCACAGAGGATGCTTAGAAAGCACCTTGGGATTTCCAAGAATGACCAGACCGAATCGAGCACGAGTAAGAGCGACGTTGAGACGGCGTGGGTCGCTCAAGAAACCAATACCCTGGTGGTCATTAGAACGAACACAGGAGAGAATGATGTAATCCTTCTCTCGTCCTTGGAATGCATCCACGGATGCCACCTCGATTTCCTTGTAGTGTTCCTTCTTGAAGGTGCCAGTGGCCTGCATGGAGCTGACAATGTAGCTTCGCTGTCCCTCGTACGGGGTGATAATACCAATGCCACTTGGCTGCACGCCAGCCTTGAAGAAGCGAGTGACAATCTTCTCGACGTTGGTAGCCTCGGTGCGGTTGAGGTACGAAGTTCCAGAGGCGGAAATTTCTTCGTTGCCAAGGTTTGACCAGAACATCATGGGGTTATCCATCATGGGCCAAGGGAAGTCGACATCGCGGCGAAGACGGTCATGAATGGTGATACCGTTCTGCAGCGAACCCTCGTAGAACATGTTGGATGGGAAGTCCGAGAGACACGGGTGCATACGATACTGGACGTTCAGGCGAATGGGCGAGCAGCCTAGAATGACAAGACGCTCGAAAAGAGATTGGTTCAAGCCAGCCTTGGCGGCCTTCTTGTTCATAATCACGGGTCCAAGCTGCTGGTGATCGCCAACCAGGACCACTTGTTTGCAACCAAGGACCAAGGGGATCATACACTCTGGCTCTGCAGACTGAGTTGACTCGTCAATCAAGACAGTGCGGAACTTGAATTTGGCCAAGCGAGGATCACCAGCACCAACGCAAGTACAGCAGATGACATCGGCATTGGTCAGGACTTCGCGCTCAGCGGCCCGAGTCAGTTGCTTCAGCCGCTTTTCATCTTGACTGGACAATTCACCGAGCTCCGCCTTCAGTTGATTGAGCTTCACTAATTCAATATTGCTATCGTTCATGCGGACTTGCTCGTGTAGGGAGAGGAAGGCAACTGGAGATTCGACGTCTTCGCGAGACTTGGCAGTGACACGAACAGTCTTCAGGCCTGTGCGGTGAATGCGCTCACAGAGCTGATCGACCGCAACGTTGGAGGGAGCACACACCAGAACCTGGCCTCCGTTGATCTTTGCCAGGTGGTAGATGATGGTAGCGGAAGTGACCGTCTTACCAGTTCCTGGAGGACCCTGAATCAGACTCAAGGGACGCTGCAAGACACTCTTCACGGCGTTGATCTGGCTGCCATTCAGATCGGGCAGTCCAGGGACACTGAACTTCTTCGGGATCTGCGTCTTCATGGGGGCGGCGGCAACCTCGTGACCGAGGAGACGGTGGAAGATGTAGCCGGAAACGCTCAATTCGTCAACAGCGAAGGTCTTCATAGCGAGCTGCATACGGTCAAACGAGGTCGACTTCCAAACATAGTCAGCTGTGAAGTTGTGAGTGCATTCAGTAGGAACCGACTTGTGGTCGCCCTTGGAGCGCAACTCAATGGTGACTTCATCAGACTGATTGTTAGGGATCTTCATAACGTATCCAACACCTTCCCACTTGGAGCGCAGTTCACCAGTGTACTTCAGGCGCATTTCGTCACCGACCGCCAGTTTGACATCTCCAAGCTCGAGCTTGGGAAGGACAAAGCTTGCAAGGTGCTTATTGTTCAGACCGAGATCCCATCGAACAATAAGTCCATCCTGCGACTGTGATTCCTTGAGCTTTCGGTCGTAGTCGGCCTCGATCTTGACAAGGGGTCCGAAGATGTTCTGATACTGGAAGGCATCGTCATAGCGCAGTAACACAGGCGCTGGCTCATCGTCGACGGCAGTAGCTTTTTCCAAATCCTCCAAAGTCGCCTGCGAATTCTCCTTCCACATTTCCTCCAGCTTTGCGATCAACTGCGGGCTGAGATGGCGGGCACGTAGCTGCTCCTGATCAGTAGGGGCGGACACGAGCCAGGGCAAGAAGGAGCGGTCTTCGATGAGTGGCTGCCATCGAGAGGTATCCCAGTTCATATCTTTGGAAGATGGCATAGCTGCACAAGGCTGTCGGCAAAGAAGGACCACAACGGTATCGGACTTGGCAGGAATAAAACCGAGTAGAAAAACGTTCTTGGTGCCGCAATTGTAGCATTCGAGAATAGTGTCACCGAGCGAAGAGGCCGGGTGAAGTTGTACCTCCTTGTGGCGAGCCCGCACAAGGTGATTGACGATATGCGAAGAGGAAGTGTTGCCTCGGGCACTACAGAACCACTTGTTGCAAGAGAGACACTTCACCACACTGCTAGGGTTATGGATGCCACAGTATCTGACAAGTATCAACTATTAGTATACAGACAGACGGGCCAATAATAGGGGAATCACTCACGCGCATGCATGGGCGGGAAGCTCTTTCTCTTCTTCGCCGTTTCCATGGCCCTTGTGATGGCCCGAGACTGCTCCACCAACCTGGCTTTCCAGGTCATCATCCTCCAGGATATCGGAGCCCTCGTCTTCATCGTCATGGCGGCGTGGCCATGCGCGACCCATGTTACCAATATGGTTGTCGTCTTGGTCTGCCATCACCGAGGCATCATCTGCCAATCCTGGATGGTAGTTATCCATGATAGATGCGAGTTTTCAAGGATGGTGATAAGGGAATTTGGGACCGTGAACCAAAAGCGAAATCAAGTTAGGAGCGACATGCGGGTAAGTTGAAATTCTAATATCGTGTCCGTGGTCAAAAGAGCGTAGAAGACGATCCGATCGTCCTTGTGCGGTTCTTGAAAGCCCAGTCCGTCTGTGTGGCTGAGGGGCAAATCAACGGGATTCTGAAAGTCCAAAGATCGAGTTAGTAAAGCAATCAATAGCGGATAGGACAGCACCTACATCCAAACCACCTCTTTATCTCCAAGACCTTATAAAAGAGAGTGCAAAAGTTTGGGAGAACGCAAACCAACCTCCGCATTGCGATCCGCATTCTCTATCGGTGGGATCCCACTACGGTGGTGGCGGCGGACCACTTGCGCAGCCCCGGAGTTTAGAAAAAAAAAAGTTACCCGCTGCCATCGGCTGGAAATCATCTGCAAGCAACATTTACATTCATTCGCCAAAGATGCTGGTAAGCTTCTCCTTGAACATTATAAGCCTATCCAGTAAATACTCAACTTGCTAACTTCTTTGCTAGCGCCGTCAAACCCGTGAGCGTCGCGATTACCTTTATCGGCGAGCGTTGCAGCTTCGCGATGCTTCAATCGCCGAAAAGCGCGCCCAGTTGAAAGCCTCTTTGGCCTCTGGAAAACCTCTTGACCCCTCCATTGCAAACGACAAATCACTCCGTGAAGATTTCAAATACGATGAATCAAAGGATGAGGTGGATGTGGATGACGAATATGCCCTGACATCCGGTCTGATTGACCCTCGTCCGCTGGTTACTACGTCTCGCTCGCCTTCTGCTCGCCTAGGAGCTTTCGCCAAAGAAATCCGATTGCTTCTCCCGACTTCGATCCGTTTGAACCGTGGTAATCTCGTCATGCCCGACCTGGTGTCCAGCGCAACCTCCGCCTCCTTGACCGATATGATTCTTCTGCACGAACACCGTGGTACACCCACCGCCCTGACAGTCTCGCACCTGCCCCACGGTCCGACTGCCAGCTTCTCTCTTCACAATGTCGTCCTGCGAGCGGATATTCCCAATGCCGACCGAGGCACCGTTTCCGAGAGCTACCCTCACCTGATCTTCGAGGGCTTCACGACTAAGCTGGGCCAGCGCGTTGTCCAGATCTTGAAGCACCTCTTCCCACCCCGTGAACCTGGCAAGGTTGGCACCCGCGTTGTCAGCTTTGTGAATAAAGAGGACAGCATTGAGGTGCGTCATCACGTTTTCGTGAAGAGTAGCTACCGGGATGTTGAACTCGCAGAGGTCGGTCCTCGGATGACAATGCGTCTCTTCGAGATTCGTGGCGGTACCATGGAGAAGGGTTCCACGGGCGACGTGGAGTGGGCTCTTACCCAGTACACGAGGACCAGCAAAAAGAAGGACTACCTTTAGATTTCTCACGAGGTTGCATTTTGGTGTCGGCTGCAGGCGCGCAAAGTTATGGTACAGTTGGTCTGGTTTTTCTTTGGGGGCAAGCTTTGGCTTAGTCCATTGGTGCATTGGAGTTTAACGGTCAACTAAAAAGGCATTTTCGCCAGTTCATGTATATCATTGTTGGTGCTGTCCCTATACCCTGTTGAGAGTGCGAGGGCAATTTCAAGCTTCAAACGAATAAAGAACCAATTATCAAAGCACAACGAAAATCCATCCTTCATCTCCATGTAAAACTTCTGCTTGAAAAAAATACCCTGAGTGGTGATATAGTCACTTTTGCTCATCCAAGCCCTTCTGAAGTTCCGACTCGGGCTTGGTATCAGTATCCACTGTTGTTCCAGACTTGGCAGGTTCACATGCGTCAGCGGTTGGTTTGTCAGAATCAACATCAGCATTATTGCCGCTACCTTCCTCTGGCTGTGCAGTGACTTCTGCAACAACCACCTCAGTTTGAGAGGTGCCGGTCTCTGGTCCAACGGGTGCATCTCGATGGTCGACAGCTTTAGTACTGCGTGTACCTCCACCAGACGGCCCGGCTTGCATCAGGTAGCTTGTGAACATGTTGTCCTGACTTTTGTAGAAATACCAGCCCTCGTGAGGGGGTAGAACATTGCCTTGGCTATCTGTCTTGGGGTAAGGAAGTTTGGCATCATCTTTATCCTCCCAATCCTTTCCTGTCTCAGCCTTGAAGAATTGCTTGAAGGCATCCACAGCAGTAGCCACGTCACTCTTCAAAGGAGCCAGTTCTTCAACGCGAGATATCCCAACGCGGCTATACTTTGCCCACGTCGAGTAGGTAGATGGTTGAGAGGAGTCTTCGAAGATCTATGTCTCACGTTAGCTCAACCATCATATGCAAATTATGGACGGGGCTCTACTTACAGCCAAACGGTATTTGTCTCGAAGACGGGCTGTTTTACCCTCGCGCACAAGTACGGCGTCCCAGGCAGCACCTGTCTGGGGGTCACGAAATATGACCTTCTTCGCTATGTCCCCATTTGTTAGTGATGGCCTATCTCAAAAACTCATGTGCGGATCAACGTCAACATACGCGGAGTCATGTTCTTCGAGCCCTTGGGTGATTTCTTTTGGACGAAGGGATCATCTATATCAGTGATATAAATCAACAATCATTCCTGAGTAAACGTTCATAAGACTGTCGACATACTTAGGCGAATCCCGGACTTCGTTCCAGAGTCTGTCTTCTTATCCATGCCAATTCTGTTCTCGGACTTCTTCTTCGCCGGCTTGATGAGGTTCTCCAGAAGAAAGGGTCTATCTGGAACGGGGCGAATGGGATTGGCGTGCAGTGAAGCCGTGAGCCAGTCACGAGACACAATTTTGATTTTCCCCAAAGCCTTTGCTTTTTGTACTATATTGACTCAGTATTGATTTCTCCGGCCATTGTTCATTGCCGGACCATGGAAGGTACGGGGAACATAGTGAGACCCATATTGCTTACCCTCTTCTGCGTTCTGCTCATAGGCCTCTTCCGAGGCAATCAGATGCGTGACTTTGTCAGACACCTTGTCGTGGAATTCTCCACCATTTCGACGCACCCACTGTGGGACTAGATTCCCCTGGTGGAAATCCCCGACCATGGCGGCACGAATGCGCCGAAATGCCTTCCCCGTTTTGGGGGCTTTGGCGTTCTTTTTGGAGGGAGACGGCATGGCGCGTTTCTGCAGAAGCTTCTTCACATAGGGAAGGAGAATGATTGATGTGAGATGAGAGCGAATTGTAGGTGAGGATCCGTTGCGGTTTATAGAGGGGTTAAGTGAAAGTCTTCGCTTGGCAAGGCACCAATCTGGGAGAATATGTGGTGCAAAGAGAAGATAGTTGTTCGAAGTTGAAAGATGAGGCCAGGTGATTCGAGGGACTGGTAGGAGGTGCTGGTCGCAGCAAGATTCTTAAATAACACCTAGATGAGTAGGGTATGATGCAGCGAGGAATCAGGATAGTGCCGAGCAGACGAAAGATCTTCGAGAAACCGAGAGTAGTAGGAGATGGTTCTGTGAGAAATAAGAATCAAAAGAGACGAGCAGTTGGTGGTTAGATATCCCGGGCTGCAGGCCACACTGTGGCAAACGGAGCGAGGGACTAATTTGGGTGATTGAATGCTAGTTATAGTAAAGGACAGCGATGTGGAGAGACGAAAATAGCTCAAGTTGGACTGTCCATGATCTCCTATTGAGCAGTCGGCTCAATACCAAGCCGAAATCTCATCCATCAAGGATGCTGTGGGGTTCTCTAGATGTTCCGGAATGATGATTTCGTCAATGTTTTTACATATATACAAAAGATGCATTATAGTATGTGTACTGATCTGGCTTTTCTTTGTCCAGGTGTATCATCATATTGCAATGGATGCTGTCAAGTTGTGGGGTGATAAGAGAAGTCACCTTCACAGCAGATCTAATAAAACCGAAATCTCGAACCGTCTGAAGAAATCATGCACGAACACTTTTGGCTGCCTTCACAAAGGCGCGGATCTTCTCCAAATCCTGAGCACCGTTGGTCTCCACTCCGGAGCTGACGTCTAATCCCACCACCTTGGATCCCGCCTTGCCCAACTTGTTGACGATATCGACAACATTATCGGGGTTCAAACCACCTGCCAGAATCACTCGCAGCCCTTCATCACTGTCGAGGACCTTTTGCACGCCTGCTTCCTCGAGCAATTGTCCGGAACCTCCCGCGCCAGAATCCAAAAGAGGAAGAGTGTGGTAGGCTCTGCGAGCAATGCCAAGATCACCTGGAGCAAACTTCCGGATCACCGGCACGGGAATCAAGCTGGCCCACTCCAAGGGCTCGGAGCCGTGGAGTTGCACCACGTCGAGGCCCAGTTTCTGTTGCTGGGAAAGGACGTATGACAACGGTTGGTTCATAAAGACACCAACAAGCAATGCACGAGTAGGATGACGCAGGACCTTGCGAGAATGCTCAAACCATTCGGAAGAAGTGGTTTTTGATATTTGCTCAGATAAGTCAGTTGACTGCACACCTGGTCGTGGTGTCGACTTGACTGTCTGTGAAATGCGCAAAGCCACATCGTCAGCAACCAGCCTTGATCGGCCCTGAACCATGATGATTCCAATGAGGTCAGCACCAGCCTCGATAGCAGCCTTGGCGGCTTCCTCAGATCGTGTGCCACAAATCTTGACCAAAGGCGCGCTTGGCGACGGCGAGGCAATCTTCTCGGATGACCCACCCAGAAGCTGTGCCACGAATGCAGAAGTATCGGGTGCCCGCATAAGGGCTTCGCCAACAAGGATAGCCTTCACACCCTCCTTCTTATAAGCTTCCACATCCTGGGGGCCGGTGATGCCACTGAGAGCACAGACAATCGTGGTCTCAGGCACCTGGTCCATCAGACGGCTGGTGGTACCGAGATCAACCTCAAAGCTAGTCAGGTCGCGGTTGTTGACACCAATAACCTCGGATCCTAGGTCAACGGCAATCTTCATCTCCTTGGGAGTGTTGACTTCCACAAGAGGTTCCATGCCGAGGCTGCGAGAGTACTTGTACAACCTCGTCAGAAGCTCGATACTGAGCATTTTTACAATGAGGAGAACGGTATCGGCACCCGCGAGACGTGCCTCCAAGATTTGGTACTCGTCAAAGACAAACTCTTTGCGCAGGAGAGCGGGTCGGTTGGTGAGACCCTCCAGGCTTTGGCGCACCGCCCGAAGGTCGTCAATGGTACCCTTGAACCACTCAGGCTCGGTAAGGACGGAGATGACGCTAGCACCAGCCTTGGCGTACTCGCGTGCTTGGGCAGGCGCGCACACATCAGCCGAGATGATTCCCTTGGAAGGAGATGCACGCTTGATCTCCGCCATCAGAGACAGGGGATAATCAGACTGTCTCAACCGAGCGGGAAAAGAGATTTGTGGGGGTGCAATGTTCAAATTGTAAGCAGCTTGAAGAGCTTCCGGACGCAGGGCGGGTATCTTCTTCTGCTCCTCAACGGCGTTCCTCCGGTGGGCATAGATCTTGTCCAAAATGGACAGCTTCTTGTCCACAGGAGCAGGAGCAGCGGCAGCCTTGGGGTCAGAGCTGCTCTTGTTGCCAGCCCAGGTGCCAGCTGTAAGCTTCAAGAAGTTTCTGAACATAGTACGCCCATACTCGGTCAGGATACTCTCAGGGTGGAACTGCACACCCTCCACCGCAAGCTCCTTGTGCCTTACACCCATGATGACACTGTTGCCGGAGCCATTCTCAAGTTCCGCCCACGAAGTCACTTCCATGCACTCGGGCACTGTTGAGTGTGTTCCAGCAAGCGAGTGATACCGAGTGACAGAGAGGTCGGCTGGCAGTCCTTCATAGACACCCTTTGAGTCATGCTTCAAGACCGAGGTCTTGCCGTGGAGGATCTCGCCAGTCACATCGACCTTGCCCCCAAAAGTTGTGATCATACATTGTTGACCCATGCATACACCAAAGACTGGAATCTTTCCGCTGAAGTGTTTGATTGCCGCATTGCTGATTCCTGCGTCGGTCTCGGGATGGCCAGGTCCGGGGCTGATAACCAGCTGGGTCGGATTCTTCGCAACTAGGTCTTCCACGGTAACTTCGTCATTTCGGAACACAGTGACTGTTGCGCCCTCGAGAACAAGGTATTGATAGACATTCCAGGTGAATGAGTCGTAGTTATCGATCAAGATAACGTTCGAGGCACTGCTGAGCTTCGCAGATCGGGTGGGATGGTGGGGTGAGTGGTCGACGAGGTCCGCCATAACCGCTGTAGTGAACGAGGAAGCCGAAGTTGTACACTTAAGAAGGTAGAGGCTGCGAGAGATCAATTGCCACAAGGCTCCACGCACAATTCCGTCGGTTCAGCAGGGACAGCAGCTATTAATCCCGACGGTGACTCAAGAGTACAAGGAAAGGCGGGCGACTTTGCAAGGACTCACCGCCCGGCAGTAAACTGCACTAAACCCAGATAGGAAGTGCGGATTGTTGACCGCAGACGCGCAGAAAGAAAGTGCAGGTTCTGTTTGGAGCTGCCTCAAAGCTTTAAGAGCTGACCCCGGGGAGATTCCATCACTCTCTCATTCAGACCTTCTTCAATCTACCTCTTCAGTCTTATGATGATCTAATTGTCTCGCCAAATGGCTCCCGTCCCGGAGGCCTATTTCCCGTCCCTGGACAAGTGCTTCTCTGGGGACGTTCAACTCTTGTACGCCATACCGAGTCCATTTGCTTGTTTGGTATGATGCTGACTTAAGACAGGTCTTGGAGACGCGCATTTGTTTATGTCAACGACCCAAAATCACCCGCCGACAATGGGGGCATTATCACAGCCTTCCTGTCGCATCCCGAAAGCATCCAGCTGCTGTCGCGCAGCGTGAGCTCTTTCCCCGAACCTTCCACCCAATCCAAAACCGAGTTCAATTCAAAGACGGCCGCGATTCATGTCGAAACGAATGCGAAGAAATCCTTCGATCTCCAGGAAATCAAGGCCGATGCACAATGGCTCAGTGAAAAAGCAAGAATCGACGAGATCACCGCTCTGCGTATCGTCGTCCTCGAATGGCAGAACCGCCCTGCGGCTCGCCTAACAACAACATTCTCTAGCGAAGAGGCTACGAGCTTGCAAAGTGCAGCAGGCTCGGATAACCTGCGAGTGTCGGTGGCTGGCCCTAACTTGGCGAGCATCTTGAAGCAGACCGCTGGCGATGCAGGATCGTCCACTTTCGACACAGAGGAAAGCAGGCGCTTACGACTGCGCGTCTTGTATCTGTCAGAGAGAAGTCATCTCTTGAAGACATCTCGCAAGCTACTCGCGCTATCGTACCATACGCCGACCCCCCTCAACACATGTGAAAATGAGTTGGTCAAGCTGGGAACTGCAATTTTCCAAGAGAAATCTACGGGTCAAGGTCTATACAAGCTTCTTGAAGCATGCATCACCGCGGTCCAGAGTCGGCTACAAGAGCTGGAGTCAAGTGGCTCCTGGCTGGGAGCCGCGGAAAGTAATGAAGAGACGGAGGATATCTGGAGAACTACCCTGGTGGAGGAAATTGTTCACATTCTTCAGATCATGTTCCACCAACTGCGTGCATCGCAGGCTGTTCCTTGTGGGGCTCTTCTACTTTCATGGCTCGAACTCATGACTGAGTATGATTTCTTGGAGAGGCTACAAGTGGTGAGTTATCGCACAATTCCTCTATTTGAAAAGTCTCTCAAATTACTGACCCTTAGATCTAGCCCTGTGAACAACCGACAGAAGTCTTGATGCCCGTTCAATCATTCGTTTCATTGACCACCTTGGCGTTCTTAAAAGTCCCAGTGGCCTTCGATTCAATTCTCAACAAAAAAGTGCCCGAGACAATCCCTTCAGGAGAAGCGGCCTATTTCCTGTCGAAGGATACTATTTCCAAGACTAGTGAAATCCTGGTGGGCGCTTCCCTCCACCAGCTGAGCACTGTTCACCCTGCCGGCTTTTCTTGGGGGTTGCTTCTCAATACTATGAGCGAGGTGGCCTTGAATGATAAGAACGCTCGAGAACTCGAGCAGTGCAACCATGCCGTGAACTCTTTCAACGCCAACAGACGTAACTCTGCACCTTCTCAGGGATCCGAGGATTCCTTGTATGACACTCTCCTGGACTGTGCTCAAACGCCTCAATTCGGTGGCGCGGAGACCGCGATTGCGGAGATGACATGTGATATTGTCAAGGAGTCTGTATTTAACTCAATTGTCGCACTGTCCGTCAAGGCAGGTTCCATTTCAGCAGTGGATGACGAGTTGTCAGCTCGATGGGTCCGGTTGGAGCTCCTCGACCTCATTGAAGTAGCAACGGAATTCCTGGACTATTCACCGGAGATCATGGAGTCGGTACTGGGAATATTAACAGGTACTTCAAATGGCCTCACATGGCTTTCCACGAAATCCCTGGGGCCTGAAACTGATCCTAAGATCGCCTTTGTCAACAATGACCGATTAATGGAGAAGATTTTCCACATCGCGCGATCTCGGTTCCCCTACGAAACCGTTCCTTTCCTGAGGCTTTGTCGCGCGCTGGTCAGCGGCCACTCTGTGAATGATGATGGGCTGCCTCGAGTGCTAGAAGAGCTGGAAAACATGGGGACCTTCACTCAAGTCGTCCCTCCAGCATTTCAAGGATATGAAACCATTCGCGAGGATGAAAACGCCAACTTTGTGTCCCTTACCCGGTCTCTTCCGATGTTTGAAGGCTCCTCGCAAAACCATTTCCTCGAAACCGAGACAAGCAATGCCTTGGTTGTCAGCGGATCGTCTGAACTCCCAGCTTCAACCGTTGGTCAAGTCATTTCTGAGTCAAGGCCTGCAGTTATCATGTGGCAGCATCAGTATTCCTGCCTGAGCTATCTCGGCAGCTGGCTTGAGGAGTGGAGTGAAAGTGGTGCGGTCTCCTCGGGCTGGGATGCTGAGTCTGCTACGGAGATCATTGGGCTCCTAGCGGATCTCGTCGCCAGTGCAAGGGATGTTCGCACCCAGGATTTGGCAGGCACGACTGCTAAACGGATCCTGGAGATGGCCAGTGACGGTCTTTCTCGGCAGGGCGATATCATTTCTGTTGTTTTGGACATCTTCGAACGGAACTTGCAAAGCATTGGCACTCAGAGTGATGCTGCTAGTACCTTGGATCCTATCATGGCTTGCATGCGGTTCATCCAAGAGGTAATCAAGGTTCTCCCCAGCCGAGTCTGGCCCTTCTTCAGCCGCAGTAGCTTCATTGGATCGGATGGACAGGGAGGGGTCATGTCTGGAGTGATCTCGTCAATGGAAATACCCTCTGGAGAATATCCGTTCCTCGTTAGCTGCGTCAACTTGTTCGAAGCAGCCATAGAAGACGCGGCATCTCGTGCTGTGCTGCGAAAGAGTCCCGGCAGCATTGCTGGAAAGTCGACGATAGTGTCCGACTCCAGCGCTGGAATCCCTTCCCATGTCATGAGGAGTATCTTGCTCAACTTCACCCGGATAATGGTCGAGATCTTTAACAGCAACGGTAACTGGAGGTTCAATTTCCCGGAACAGCGATTCAAGATCAACAGCATGTTGGCTACCTCTTTTGACCGCATTCTTTACTACGCCTACGGAGTCAACGATAGCTCCAAGCTCGAAACCAAAATTACCGGCGTTTTCTCCGCATCAGCAGGATACATCCTCGACCTGCTTCGCCCTCGATCTACCGCCGACCTCCCATTCAACCCGATCCTGCGGTTAATCTCGGATGGTCTCCAAACCCCGCCTACCCTCCATATGCGCTATCTTGCCCTGATGGAAACCCAGGTCAATTCCACCTTGAACCTCTGCATCAAGCTCGTACAGGCAGCGCGGCTTTCAGAACAGCCTGCATCTCTGTTGGAAGAACAATTGTTCAAGGCTGTCCCGGTTCTGGTGAAGCTGTATGCACTACATGATGCCTTCCGGCTGCCGGTTGTGGGACTGCTAGAGATTCTTATTACCACCGCTGCATCAAATGCGAACAATGAGCCACCGTCGCTTGTTGGTCACCTCGGCGCCCAGTCATCATGCCTTTTCCTTGATGTGCTCTCGCAACTCGGCAAGCCGCTTGTCGATGATGCCCTGTTGCTTTCGGTCTGGCGCCTTCTAGCAACTTTCGTGAGCAAGCGCCAACAGTGGCTTGCAGTCTTCATTCTCACCGGCGCATCTCCCCGTCAAACCTTGAAGAAATCTGACAAGGTGGAAGGCCCAGCTATGCGGGGTACTCCGTTCTTACAGATGGCCCTTGATAAGCTTGCCAACATTGACAAGGAAGAGCCCCAAGTCGCACTGGCTTTGCTGGAGTTTGTGTCCCGCGCGCAGGAGAACTGGCCATGGGCTACCCCCCATTTGAAGAATCACCCTCAGTTCTTCACCAGCATCGTAAACTATGTTTCGAAGCTGCAGATTTCGTCCTTGCCTGTTACAGACCAGATCTTTGTCACCCGGATTGCCGCTGTCGTTGCCGATATCTCTGCAGTCTATCTCCACTCGGCCAAGGAATCAAGGGACTGGAGCTTCGTCAAGACTCTTATTCCCCTCGTTCAGTGGTACGCCAAAGATGCCGTGGAAGTTTCTGCTTACAATTATTCCTTGCATGCCAACCTGAAGAAGAATTTCGAGAGCCGCTACACTGGCTGCAAGATGCTTGACTTTAAGCGGACCCCACTCGCCAGTCGTAGCCTGGGAAGTGATTACTATTACGACCTTGGCATGGGTCAAAAGTTACTGTCTTTCGACTTTGCCTGGACTGGAGGAAGTAGAAACCAGGGTTTCTCTGAAGAGTTTGCGCGTGCGAACATCAACTTGTCGCTAGTTGAAGCACAAGTAGTAAGTTCTACGTTTTAACCTGTCCGCTTTTTGATGAATATCGCTGACCCCCTCGCAGTCTCTTCTAAATAGCTGGAAATTCTTTGCCATCGAGCACTGTGCAGATTTCATGCCGGATCGCGAAATTCAAAAATCTATGGCAGTCGTGGCGCAGAATTGTCTTGAAGCCAACACCCGCCACGTGCCCCCGGAGGCTATCTTTGAGCGAATCCAACAAGTCCGGGTTGACTTTGCCCAGGCTCTCCTTCAGCGCCTCGTAGAAGTGGAGTCCCATGGAGCTGAAGTATTCCGGTTGCTTGACGTTGTCTTTAGCACACTGCGTGCCCGGCATCGGACATACGAAGAAGCACTTATCAGTGATGACACCGAGTATTACCGGTCTCTCCTCAATGTGCTCTTCCTGGCCCTCCAGTTCCATTTGCCAGGGCCCAACCGCGCCAGCCCTGAAGCCCTCAACAAGCAACCGAGCGTCTCGTCCGACTTGAGCGTGGTGGTTGATATCGTGAAGACCGTTGTAGCACAGGGATTCAAGTCGCTTACTACGTATCTGCACGAGCAGCCTGAGAAGTGCGCGCCCAAGGACTTTGCCATTATCATCGCCATTCTTCAAACCTGTCTACAAGTCAAGAATGCGGATCGGTTCTATGAGCACATTGCATTCCATATTGCTGAGAATGACATTGCTCGCCATGCCACTACCTTGTTCTCCTGGGCAGACCAGTTGACTGTGGCGGGAGACCCGATCTACGGTGATCTCAGCATCTCGATTCTCGTCAAGATGTCCACACTTCCTCTACTAGCTGAGCATCTTGCCGTGGAGGGCGTTTTGATGAAATTGTCAACGTGCCGTCTCACCAACGTCCTTCGGCAACCCAAGGGCTTCGGCCCCTTCGACCCTATCCCCCGACTGTACACTATCTGGACCGGTGGTTTCCTCCCTCTGTGCCTGAACCTGCTCTACAGTGTCGTTCGGGCGGCGCCGGAAGTTGCCGCCTTCCTCAACCAGTTTGAAGGCCAGCTTAACTGGGCATCAGAGTGCTTCTCCTCACCTCATGCAACAGTGGCCACCCCGAGTCCATCGGCACAGTGGATTAGCCTGAGCATGGCCTCCGAGGCATACTCGCTTGCCTTGATCTCATTCATCCTCACTCGCTTCCGCGAAGCAGGTGCCAGTGCCGGGCTGGACGCACAGTCCATCCAGGACCTGAAATGGGACAAGACCCAGGTCAAGGAGGACATTGAGGAGTTACTAGGTCGCCGCCCTGCGCTGCGGGCTCGTATTGTCGCTACCAATGAGAAGGAGGTGGAATGGTCGCGACAGAAGCCGGCCGACTCGGGATCTGGAGCCGAGAACCGGCTGGAAGAGAAGGTTGTGAGCGAGCTACGGGCCGCGGTGGCTTGTCTCGGGGGCGAGGAGGATTCATGATAACCATGTTGATTTTATAGCCTTTCAAAGTGTTTTTTTCTTATAGGTTTGACTATTCGCACGACAAATAATCTTCTCGCACGACGAGGTTGGCCTAGTAATACCGGCAATCACTCAAATCTGCTATGTCCTTGATTATTCTAGATTGTATACGTCAACGCTTTTCTGGTTACCCTCGTTGAGAGTGATACGTGATGTGGAGTACTAGTAGCATGACCCATTCGTATATCATTGGACATTCTGAATAAGATAATCGCGGTAGTCGTTTTAGTGATCCGAGGGAGTCAACGGGGCTCCTCTGTTGTTTGTCCCTTTTCTTCGTTCCGAGAACCCAGCGAGGCGAGATGGAGCAAAAAACTACCTTTACAAACTCTTCTTTCATCTTCTTTTTAGTTCCCTCTGTGTTCCTCTTCTCTTTTCTTCTTTTTGCCTCTAATCTCTCTCTGTTCCGATAGAGTGGAAGAAGTACCAGATTAGTAGGACTAGCTCAGATTGAAATCCACTACTTCAAAGCAAACCATATGCTTAGTCACTCTGTCTTTGTCCAGATCATTTCACCAAGTATAAGCAAGATGAGTACTAAGCCTCCTAAGCTGGAAAGGCTCTGTATACACTTTTCAGATAGCCGCGAGCTATCCTTTAGGAATAGTACATTGATGTGGATCCTGTATAATTCTCGATCGTATTCTGGGGCCTACAATTTAGAGATTCAAGTGCATTGTAGATTAGGTTCCACTCAATTGAATGCTTTGCATAAATCGTTCCACTGATGTTTAGCCGTACCTCGGTCATGAAGGATTGTGTTAAGCATGCATAACAATGACAATATTGCCCATATAACCTTGTTTCATTATCTCACCAAATCTGTGTCTTGAACATCAAAATGCGGTAGAATTGGATCAGACCAGAGGTATATCATCCAATTTATGCTTTGTTTTCACTATTCATGGTTATCACCACTTATACATTCCTCGAATTTCTCTACCAGCACACCCGAGGCATCGCTACTGGCGCCTCGGATTTCCCCGCATGCATAACCGATTTATGCGGGGGAAGCTCCAACGACGGGCCCCGGCACGCAATTTGATTCGATCGCAACTCGGTCCTTTCCTGGTTCTACGGCAATATGGGCATTGATGAGCGTGGTTCGAGTGTTCAGCGATCGGGAATGCCCCCAAGCGCATGCGTTTTCCAGTTCTGTTGGAATCGAATAAGTAAGCACGACTCGCACGCTGATACCAGCACAGCACACCTGTAGTCCTTTCTCTGAGTTCTTACCGTCCACTTCCCCACACTACATTCCCTATAGAACCAAATTCCCCCTCCCTCCTCCTCTTCCACGATGCCATACAAATCCCGCTGGCAGATCAACGTCCCCAACACTCACCTGGCCTCCCTCCTCCTCACCTCTCCCACAGCACCACTCTCCCAAACAAAACGATGCTACCTCGAAGCCGCCCGCCCAGACACCCATTACTTCACGCCCCATGATTTCCGCCTCTGGAGTCAACGCTTCGCAGCCGGTCTGCGCAAAGCCGGTCTCAAACGGGGCGATCGAGTGCTCCTCTTCTCGGGAAACGACCTATTCTTCCCCGTCGTGTTTATGGGCATCGTCATGGCGGGTGGTGTCTTCACCGGCGCAAATCCGACCTACGTCAGCCGCGAATTAGCTTTCCAGCTACAAGATAGCGGTGCAACGTTCCTCATCTGCGCGGCTGCCAGTCTAGACACGGGCATTGAAGCTGCGCAGATGGCAGGATTGCCGCAGGAGAAGGTCTTTGTCTTTGACAATGCGATATACAACGGCCACGGGCAGGGCCAGAAGGGGTGTCCGTATTGGGGGGACTTGGTTGCATCTGCAGAGGAAGGACGGGGTTTCGCCTGGGAGGTGTTTGATACTCCTGCGCTGGCCGATACAACGCTCGCACTGAACTATTCATCCGGCACGACGGGGCGGCCCAAGGGCGTGGAGATCACGCATAAGAATTACGTGTCGAACATGTTGCAATACACGCATATGAGCACTCTATACCCAGATTACCTGCAGCGACTGGCTCGTGCGCGCTGGCTCTGCTTCCTGCCCATGTATCACGCGATGGCGCAGAATATCTTCATTGCGGCGGCGCTGTATCGCCAGACGCCCGTTTATATCATGCCCAAGTTTGACTTTATCCAGATGCTGGAGTATACGCAGAAGTTTCGGATTACGGATTTCATTCTTGTGCCGCCGGTGGTGGTTGCGTTGGCGAAGCATCCTGCGGTCAAGAAGTATGATCTGAGCAGTGTGGAGAGTGTGGGGAGTGGTGCGGCGCCGTTGGGACGGGAGGTTTGTGTCGAGGTGGAGAAGTTGTGGCCAGAGGGGAAGATCAATATCAAGCAGGGCTGGGGGATGACAGAGTGAGTGGTTCTTTTTTCTCATTTTGGAGATGTGATATTGCATATCATCTAGATGGACTGTTGCTTGTAAAGAGTTTGGACAAAGGCTAACTGTGGGCTATAGAGCAACCTGTTCTATTCTGGGATGGGACCCAAGAGAGAAGAGTTTCTCGGCCTCTGTCGGCGAACTCAATGCTAACTGCGAGGCCAAGATCATGGCTGAGGATGGACTCACCGAGATCCTTGAACGCAACAAGCGGGGTGAGCTGTGGGTGCGCGCACAGAATGTCATGAAGGGATACTGGCATAACCCCAAGGCAACGGAGGAGACCAAGACCGCGGATGGATGGCTTCGGACTGGAGATATTGCCTATGTGGATGACCGGGGCAAGTTCCATGTCGTGGACCGGATGAAGGTAAGCAGCTATGCTGTGCAGTCTAATGTGGAGAAAGACAGCTCCAGCCAGGACCCCTTGTTCCAGATTGCTAATGAGGTTCTGCTGCAGGAGTTAATCAAGGTCAAGGGTAACCAGGTTGCCCCCGCAGAATTGGAAGCGCTACTCCTCGAGCATCCGGCTGTGGCAGACGTGGCTGTCATTGGCGTCACAGTGTGAGTAGACCCCGGCATCACTTTCTTCACCCCCTGTCATGCCCCGGCCTATGTTTCGCTTCTTCTTTCCTTCTTTGCCTGCCACCAATATTGCTTTTTTTGTCTCGTCAACTCTTTCCACCTCCCAATACTGACAGCTAACACCGACCACAGTAACAATGACGAACGTCCCCGTGCGTATATTACCCTCAAACCCGGTCAGTCTGCCAGTGCCGAAGAGATAGTTCAATTCATGGCCAGCAAAGTCTCCGCAACCAAGCGGATCACCGGTGGAGTCGTTTTCCGCGACGCGATTCCGAAGAACCCCTCTGGCAAGATCCTGCGCAAGGCGCTCCGCGAAGAAGCAGCGGCGGAGCTGAAGCGAGAGAGTGCCACGGCTAAATTGTAGAGGGGTTTAGCTTTTTGTCGAAGCCTAAAGTGTGGAAGGTGTGAGGTGTGGAGTTTGAACTATTTACCGGGGTGGCGACCCTTTTACTCCTATAGAAGTATACCGAAGCCTGAGATATGTCGAATGACAACATTCATATCCATTTCTTTCTTTCCCCTTGATTCCATGCTCTTTGTTTTTCTTATCTAGCATAATTCCCTAGGGTCGCTAGTTACTTCCATCCAATTTCTCCTTCAAGACAGACAGCCCCCACCACCCGCAGACACGCAGACGTGCAGGCGGGCGTGCAGACCAGGATGTATCGTGTAGATAGCGTCGATCCCTCCCGGAGATCCATGGCCCCGGTAACGAGGGCGCCGTCAAAGCACTCCAAAAAGCAGAGACGCCCGAATGCCAGATAGCCAACCGGTGTGGCCTGTGTAGCATGATTCGCCGGCGCGGGCCAGCCCTAGCCAGTTAGCGCGGGGCCCTAAATCCAGCGGCCAGCTGAAAGGTCCCCAAGGCGATGGAGATCGTGATCCACGATCGGAGACTGGCGTGAGACTAGAGAGCCCGAACCTGGAAGCATTCCTTTGATTTCAGTTTGGCGGTGGGGCTATAGTTTAATGAGCTTATGAGTAAAAAGGCCCTTTTTTTCTTCTTTTGAACGAGAGTCTAAGACTCATCAGCTCCCATTCATGCTAGATGAGCTTGGCTTGCTGCAGATAGGGACAGTCCACAGTCCAGCCCAGCCTTGCACGAAGGATCGACGTCGCAGGCGAGGATTTGGGGGGGGGTTCTCTCGCAAACCATGGCCGTGGCCGTGGGTCGTGAATTCCTGTCTTGACTGTAGCCTGTAGATAATTACGACGGTCAACAGAAAGTTCGGAATAGGACTCTTCGAATTTTGCGGCTCGGAATGCGAGTCTGTGCGGTGCAGTATCGTACTTTGCAGGGGACATCAAGACCATCGCTTATTAGTGCCGCTCGTCTAAATTGAGCAAATTGAAGGAGCCCCACGGGCAGACTCTTAGACTCTTCGTCCATTAGTCCAGACCTCAGATGTAGATCCTTGGCATTTCTGCTGTCAGTGGCGCCTGGGGAGTGCAGCTGAATCCCTCGCACAGAACCACGTCGTGGCTTGGCTGGAGTGTACCCTCGCCTTAGCGGGCTTACCCACTTGACTTGCCCTTTGGGGAAATGGATTCACGTAATCTCAAATCAGCGCGGCTGGAGACGCGCTAAGAGCAGCGCGATGAGGTGGGGTCGATGGTTTTAGTTTGGAACGAGTATATGCAGAAATCAGGATGGAGGGATTTAGTTGAAGGGCTCGCTTGGAATGGACCTATTGCGGCAGCCTCTCGAATATGATTTGAGAATCTATTTCTGCCCGTATTATGGCTCATTTTGCTGGTCATTCGCGAGCCGTCATTACTTTTGAGTTTGACTTTTGTGATGGATCATAGGGAGGTTTATAACTTGGAGGAACCATCCCGGCATGGTTGACGACCGTCCTATCATGGACATCAACTCTGGGACAGTGCAGTATAACTGCATGGATATAGATACTTTTGCGAACCACCGTGTCACCCTGCCATTCTGGGTGATCACCTAGCAGGTCATATCTACCGTTGTGCATACTTTATACATTATCTTCCCATACTTGAATCCCTTTTGTACCTTTGGCTTCCTGCTAGATCGATCAGATCGGGATCTTACCAGGGCGGTTCTTATTCTGGTCCAAGTGATATATAGATCTGCCTTGGTGTCCGTTTAGTGTGCCCACACCCCGTCAGGCTCTCCCTGTCTCTCTTTGCCCCGCCATTGCTTTCTATCATTCATCTCCTCTTCTTCGTCCCATCCTCAGGCCGCCATGCCTTGACACCATCGACACCTCAACGCCCCTCTTCTCTGGGTTTACACTATAAATATAGACTACGGCCCTTGTACCCTTCCCCGTAGTCAGATTTCTCTACTCCCGTCCTCCCGTCTTTGAGAATCTCCTCTCATCCCATAAAGATCGTGGACCCTGGACCCCTACCCTAGTCCTTCCAACCCAACATCCCGGTTGTCGGGTCCTACACCATCATCATCCCAATCGACCAGACCAGTCCGGCATTCAGCTCGCTGTCCTTCAGCTCCACGTTATTCCTCCCATCAATTGAGCTCTGCCCGGGGGCTTTCAGCACACAACCAACACATACCAACCCCAGGAGGATCGAACCACCAAACCCCCCTCAAGCGCAATGCTCCCCATCGGACCAGAACACATACAACCTCCGTGCCCGTACAAACTCCCACACATCTTCATCCAAACCTTCTCACTAGCCCTCGGCCTCGCACTCACCACCCTAGCCCTCCTGCTCATCCAGCGCATCGCGCGCCGCCACTATCAGCCGACACATACGCACCCTGCAACCCTTGCGCAACCAGACCGAACGGACGCCATGGAAAAGGGCAAATTGACGAGTCCAACACCGAGCACGAGCGTGACCGTCTCGCCGCCACCAGCCACAGCCTGCGACGTGTTGAAACCTCTCTCGCAGAGTGGCGCGTTCCCATCCAGCGGGGCGGTGGCGGCTAGGGCTCGTGAGCTGATGCAGATGCAGCCGGGTAAGGCATCTCCGTCTTCTCCGGAAATGGATGCGACGGTGATGGCAATGGTCATGGCGAGGGCGCTAGGGGAGACTGAGCAGGGGAGTAGTGAGACTTGTGGGTCGGTGCAGAAGCGTAGTGAGTCGGCACGGGAGATGAGCGAGGTTGATGGGGATGGGCTGCGGACTTGGAGGCGGGTGGTTACTGAGTATAGTTAGTTTGGTGGCGAATGTCGTGGACTTTGGAGAGATTTGTCTGGTTGATTCATGTCTTGTTGCTTTTTTTTCTGTGATCCTCGATGCTCGTTTGTTGTTTAGCCTGGAGGTTCTCTCATTTTTCTTGTTGCTCGTTGTTAGCTTGGTCGGGTTGTTGACTTTCTCCTGATTATCATTGTTGTCTCTCTTCGGGTGGTTCGTTTGATCAATTTGCTCTTGTTTTGTGTTTGTGCGCTTCGAGAATAAATGCCTGATAATTCAGCAGTGTAGTCGATAGCCGAGAAAAAGTCGACCTAGTATGTATGTGGTTTGAGATCATCTGGTCAGTTCTGAGTGGTTGATCGAAAAGATCTACAATCGATGGTTTTTTGGTTCTCCCTGGGCAGCCCGAAAGTGCTGAGTCATCATTGACATCTCGCGGTCTGTTGGCATCTTCGGACTTGACCTGTGTAGTCTTTCGCTGATTTGCTTGAATAACATCAACACTGCCTTGCACGCTCAAAGTCATTCACTACAATGGCAGTCTCGGCATTCCCTTCAACGGAGGAATCTCCCGATCTCACCCTCCTCAACGTGGCACGACTGTTTACCCGACTAGAACACAACCTACTCTCCCCGGGTTCGGAGCTCCGCACCTTGCGCAAGTCTGAGCTCCAACGTCTGCGAGTAGCCAAGGTATGGGTCAATTTCAGGGTCTCACCTAATAGCTACTGGTCATAACTATCCCTATGCAAGATAGCCATGGCTATGCGCTACCTTTATGATAACTCCTAACGTCACCTTATAGAACGTCGACTATGCCCGGACCCTACTATCCCAACTAGAACGCGCTCTCCCACAGATCAAACCACTCGACCGACGACACGAAGCGCAGGCCGAGATTGCCCGTGACAGACAGCTCCTAAAGCGTATGCAAAGCGTCCTCGACGAGGAAGAGTCCCGCGCCGAAGAAGACGACGATGCCGAGGACGAGGACTCACTCGACGATGAGTGGAAGGATTTATTCTCGAAACCAGTCGCGGTCGAATCGACCCAGGCGCCTATCACAGAAGAGTCCAAACCCGCCGCAAAGGAGCCGACAACTACCCCAATGCCTCCAACAACATCAACATCGTCATCTCCGCCCTCAAGTACGGCTTCAGCCATCCCACAATCAACTCTCCGCAGCCGTAACGCCCCCCAAACCAAACAAAATCCAGCACCTCCCGCTAAAACAACTGGCTTCAACACCAGCGCCTCATCCTCCTCAGACATCACCAAAGAAGACGCCCTCTCAACCTCCCGCCTCGAACAAGAAGACCTAACAACTTCCCTCCTCAGCCTTGCAAGCCAACTCAAGACCTCAACGCAACTCTTCCAGTCCACACTCGAAAACGAAAAGTCCGTGCTAGACCGTGCGGTTTCGGGCATCGATAAGACGAGTTCTACCATGGAAGCTGCGGGGCAGCGGATGGGAATGTTGAGGCGGATGACGGAGGGGAAGGGGTGGTGGGGGCGGATGATGCTCTATGCATGGATCTTTGGATTGTGGGTTGTTGCGGTGCTGATTGTCTTTGTTGGGCCTAAGTTGAGGTTTTGATGGATTGAAGAAGGGGATTGTGTTGGTTGAATAATTGTGCCTTTGTTCTTGATACCCTGAATACTTGATGAATTTTGGATTTGATTTGATATTGCCAATTTTGGATGGATGGCTATTAGAGTTGGATTGCGATACTGTACAAGATAGTTGGTAATGGATCTTTACCTGAACTAGTCTTCACCATATCAACTAGGTTCTACACGGCCCAAGAAGGAGCATGAAATCAAAGGTCGGAAACCCGAAGATTCAATTCCTGTCTGACTATAACCTAACGACCGACCTGGCATGACACATGAGAAGAGACATGAGAACTCCGCGGATCCTGTCCATTTCCCCGTGCCCTATTGCCCAGATGGTCGCTCGAGGCTTCCAACGGACGCGAGACCAAGGAAATGAGAAAGGGGGTGACGGTATGGTTACATACAAGATCGACAATAAAAAAAAGAGAACAAGGAAATGGGAACAAAACGGGGGGAGGGCAGTGATGGGCAAACGTGCAAATCAAGAGATAGATGATAGGATATCCAGCATTTCAAATCAGACACAAGGGGTAAGACATGGAGAAAAAAGAGGAAGAAAGAAAAATAGGACTGTAGAGAACAAGTAAAAAGTAAAGCGGAAGAGGTCCAAAAACAGATAGAGTTCCTGTTCCGCGTCGTCGAGAGCAGGAAGATAAGAACCGGCTGGAGAGAGAGAGAGAGAGAGAGAGAGAGAGAGAGAAAGAAATCGTGTCAATGTGAACGGGCGGACGCAATTAAAAAGAGACACACAAGAAGGAAATGGTGACAAATGAAGAAAGAAAAGTAAGGAAAATGTTCAACGCCGGAAATTCTGGGAACGAGGACGAGGCTTTTGATCACATCCCGGCGAGATCAGATTACAAGCCGAAAGAAATGACACATGCGATCTACTTTCAACACACTGCGACACCCGGGGTTTGGGTATTCATTAGATCAAACCACAGAGACGGAGGTTCTCTTGGATGATGATATCTGGGAGACAAGTCAGCGAGAGCACATAATAAGAGCCGGGCGGAACAAAGGCGAGGGGCATCCCGCTTTCTTGATGAGGACTTACCGTTGACGGCGGCCATGACGAAGCGGATCTGGGTAGTGTCGGTGGCGCAGGTGAAGTGGGTGTAGATCTGCTTCTGCTCGGCCTGGTTCAGAGACACGAAGCGGTTGAGGATGTAGTCGCAGGCGGCGGCATAGTCGGCACCGCCCTCGTAGTCGGGGAAGTAGTTCTTCATGGGGCTGACGGGGAGCTTCTCCTTGAAGCGATCGATCTTGTTGAGGAAGAGAATGATCGAGGTCTTGACGAACCAGCGAGAGTTGCAGATGGAGTCGAACAGAGTGAGTGCTTCTTGCATACGGTTGACGGTCTCGTCCTCGAACAACAGCTGGTCATACTCGGAAATGGCGACCAGGAAGAGGATAGTAGTGACGTTCTCGAAGCAGTGAATCCACTTCTTACGCTCGGATCGCTGACCACCGACATCGAACATGCGGTAGGTCAGATCGCCAATGATGAAGGTAGTCTCGGTGATACCGGTGGTCTTGACACGGGAGCGAAGGACATCCTGGTCAGTGGGCAGGTAGTCGGGCTGAGCAATACGGTCAACAGCATCGAAGTAGCTGAAAAAAGTGATGGGTTAGCAATTGTTCGGGCAATATGAGGTGGGCCCCCTCATGCGAGCAAACGAAAGACATGAAATATTGAGATCTCCACTTACTACTTGGCGGAGTCGTTCAGCTGGTATTCACGTGAACGCTTGAAGCAGTCCTGAACACCAGTGTCGCGCCAGAGGGCACCGATAGCGTTGCCGACCTCGGGGGGGATGCTGTCGCCCTCAATCTGAGCGGGCTGCATGAAGATAGTCTGGACGTGGTACTCGTTGCGCGCATCCTCCAGAGGCAACTCAAGAGACTCCATGGCCTCGAGAATGACTCGCATAGACTGAACAGTGTTGCTGTAGATAATTTCCTTGAACGACTCACGCTCATCGCGGGAGTAACCACCCTCGTGAATGAGCTTCATCTGCTTGAGAATGGTGGATTTTCCAGACTCTCCGGCACCTGCGTGTATCAAAGAACCCCTTTTCGTCAGCTAACCAGTTTTCTCACTCAATCGCGAATCATCACGTCCATCGCGCTTTTCCTTCCGAATTGTATCCAGGTGTAATCATACCGAGCAGCAGCATCTTAATCTCGTTTCTTTGCAGCATCTTGTCGCGCTTGAGCTGGTTCTCAATCTCCTCGTTCCGCGCCTTCCCCTCCTTATCCTCGGTGCTCATGCCACAACCCATGATGGCGGTAGTACGGGTTCGGTGTAAACGATAGTGGGTAGGGGTAGTGCGAGTCCAATCGACTCGTTAATGGTGGTAGTCGATGATGGAAACTGATGCAGCGCGGGAGATAGTCAGCACGACGGTCCTCGATGGTGTAAGTTTGCTCTCTCTGGCTTTTTTTCTCTAGCTCCCGATCCCGGATCGCATCAAACAACCGACACAGACTCGGCGAATGTCGTACAAGCCGTCGAAAGCCGACGTTTCAGGATTGCAATCGGGTAGACGCAAGGGTGAAACGGATGGGGGTGGAGAAGAAGAAAGTCGGATTTCCCATGAGAAGCAGAGGGGGGAAAGCTGCCGATAGGAGAGGGCAAAAAAACGAGGCAACCAGGAGGGAGAAGAGATCGATGATACGCACCGGGATATGCCCTGATAGATGGCGGAGCACGAATAACGATAAAAACACGCGCACGAAAGGAATGGAATCAAGGGCCTTGAGTATAGAGGGGAGGGAGAAAGGACAGAAAGAAGCCGATAGGCGAGCTGAGAGAGAAGGGGAGGTTTAAGGTAAGGGGGTTGAGAAGGAGGAGGGGAAATTGGGAAGTTTCAGTAGGGAAAAGGGGATACGCTCGTATTACCAGGCAGTCGGAGACGCGCCGGGGGAACCATCGAGGAAAGAGCGGGCTAGTAATGCAGCGTGGATTCAGTGAGAATCGGGCGAGAATGACGATGCCATGATCAGCCGCGTATTGAAAATTACCAGGCGTGACCAGTTTTGGTACCCGCTGGTCGATTCTGGCATCGCTGGGTCGGTCGGGAATGCTGATTGGCCGAACTCCGGGCGCGAAAAAGAGGTGGGTCTACATTCGGAGCCAATAAGAAACCTCATGGGCCCCCTTTTGCTGAACTGCCTTCGATGGATGCCCACAACTCGCCGGGTGTTTCGTTTTCTCGTCACTACCGGGACCTTGTTTGGCTTGAATCAGGAGGCTTGCCCCATCGGCGTATCTGGTGCCAAGTGAGATTCCGGCCTCATTATTCAGTCTTGGCCAATCTTACGACTGGGCATCTAGACAATGTCACATCCCATAACATCTAATTAGATTCTTCTTTGATGTTCAATTGCAATTGACATCCCTATGAACACCTGTAATACTCCCCTCCTATCTATCATCCTTCGCTAGTATCGCATTCTCCGCTTTAGGGGACCACCAGCAGGGAAACCACTTCCTTTGCAGATCTTCGTGTGGGGGGCCCAGTCAGACTAATGTTATTGTCCGACAATGATGGCTCCTCTCCACGCTCAAAGCTCCATTGTGATTCAGTGTTCCAAGATGACGATCATAAGCCCAGACTGTCCCAAAGCAGGACATTTGATGTACACGGGCCATCCTCTGTCATATTTCTGGCTAACTATAGTTACTTCACGACCTAGATGACATACAATACTACTAACAACCCCTATGGTAACGAACTCGTGGCCACAGTATACTTATGATCAAAAGCTGATCGCCATCCCTCAGCACAGTTCAGAGTCGGCCGTACTCTTCTCGGCCCTGGACCCGCCTGCATGAGACTGACCGGACCGTTGTGCAGCCTCAAAACCAGTATGATTCCTTCTCAGACTGCCACTGCCTCAGCCTGGAACCCGATTAGAGAAAGATCCGAAACCTGCGCCACATACTCCATATTCCCGAACTCATGAAGTATGAACTGGAGATCCGAACTGACCTACAGTGTCTTTACTTTGCGACTCTACTCGTGCCAGGCGGGTTCTAGGAAAATAAAGCATCTTTGTCGCCCCGTGACGTTGAAACGTTGCAAGTTGTGATATCCAAGTCAACGACCCGCTCTCAAGAGCAAACTCCACAGAGACCTGGAGTCTGAGCACTAGGCTCTGCCGATCAGTAGGGGTATGGGGAGGGGAACAGTACGGAGCACGGAGTATAGAATACTGTACGAAGCAAGAGTTCAATAACTTGTCTTTTTTTTCTTCGCTTGTTGAGTCCTGTACGGAATACAAGCATCGGCATCACAGCTATTAACCTTTTTTTTCGCCTCTAATAATGGTATGCAGCTGTTTTGTGGGAGGGCAACATCGGGCGACCCGCCGGGGTACCTGAAACCGGGCCAAAAAGGAGAAGTCGTATTGATCGTACTGTACGGAGTATTCAGCACTTCCCATGTGGTAAAACATGTAATAGGCCGTAATTTTATGCCCATAATGATGAATCGTACAGAGTCGGTTTATAATCAACTTGGAGCTTAACTAACTAGTTATCGCTACGTTATGTACGTGCGTCCTTGTTTTCTTGATTTTCCCCCTCCTTTTCGCACATGGCTTCTTAGATAACTATGGGGCCCCCCTGAAATCGTGGAATTTCTGGAATTCCCACATCGTTCGGCGCTATCGCCCCCTGACCCACTATCTAGTGTTTCTAGCCGCTTTTTCGCCGCCATGCTTTCTCCTAGGGTGAAAAGCTAGGTGACTATGGGATTGAGGAGGCAAAGGCGTAGCAATTTCCATAAACAACAATTGATTGTTGGCAACCTTTGTAAGCATTAATCTCGAGCTCATCTTAGGTCGACTGTACTATTGGAAACGTAATGACTGTATCGCAATACGGACTATACTAAGGGAGGTACGGAGTTAACGATTAGCCGAAGATTGGCAGAGCAGAGCTTATGCACATACTATACATACTCTATGAGCCTGTCCTCCGTGCACACTTTCTTGATCTGTACGGAGTAGTGGTTGATACCTTTTCAAAAGGCCCCGCTCGACCTGGACCTCCGGCCGACGATTGGTTGGGACTCATACTGCCTGTCTATCTACCAGGCAAATTTTGACTACGTTTTTGTAAGCGTAGCTGGTTAAGCAGCGAAGCATGATAAGTTCCTATGGATTGACAAAAGCCTCTCGAGTTTCGTGCAACAATTGGGGCTGATCGTCGAACATGTACGACCCAAAGACCTCGGTCCTCGGGGATTCCTGTTAGCCCCATGTCACGGGAAACGGTTCTTCTACCAGGAAGTTCCTTCATTTTTCCTCTTACCAAATCAGCTCACGGCATATGCTCGAAATTTCTCCAGTGGCAAAATTCAAGTTTTCTCAGAGCTCGGACTCGAATCTCCTCCTTCAGACAAATACAATTCTTGGCTATAGATTCCCAGCAATGCTCACACCTAACGAATATCCGGACTATACAATTATCAACAGCAATGAACCCTCTTTGGACGGATATGCACAGAACTTTAATTGAGACTGTTACTATGATGCCAGAAATAATTCCGAAATGCACAAGCGTCTAATTGTAGGGGGCAGATCTGTACGTACTGTCGCCAGCAGATAGAACAAACTTTCCCCGCACAACTGCTAAAGGGCTCCACAGAAGCTTCATCACACGTCCCCGGTGGTTTATCCATCAATGGAAAGCTTCCAGACCGCTTAATTTGCGTTACCGAGAGTTACAGGAAGTTGTTGAGGACACGCATTATAGAGGGGGGTAGAAACTGAGCCCCATTTTCTACCTCTGAGCTGGCAAAGGCCTAAAGGGGGTAGAAAAGCCCTTTTACATCAGTAAACATCAGTAAAATTCTAGGCTAAGAGGGCATTCTAAGTGACACCTTCGAAATCTGCCGAGATTAATATAACTCTACAGCTGTTTTGATAATGATAATCGACGTGTGAACGTGATCGAATTTAACTGGTTTCTTCCTTAATCATCCTGACATGAACCAATAAATGAAAAGATTCACAAAGGCAGACCATTCATCATAATAAGGAAGATCCTCAGTTAGAGGACTTCATTATCGATGCTGGTATCTGACAAGGATATCTACATATATATAATGGAACACTGCACAAAACATCACAGAATAGATAATGATTTCAATGATTTCTACTCCTCTGTAGCTACTGTAACTCGAGCTATTGATCACTTACGGTTGGGTATAGATGAATTTGGGGGATGCCTGGCATAATTATCATGGATCTCACGGAAGAGGATCAAAGATGGTTCTGCATACAGTAGCAAGGATGATGTTGAAGATGAATTTGAGATTGTCTTGTATACATCAGAGACTGAGGCCCACCGGGCCAAATGCCCCAAGTTTCATTCGATGCTTTTTCTTATTCATTGTTTCGTAGACCAGAATCATCCGCCGTGGTGTCATTCAAGTGGATCTCAAATGTTTAGGCTATCTGAACTCTAGAATCGTGGCTTCTGACGGCCCAAAGAACGAGAAACTTGTGTGAACTCACATCCAAAACCAGAGCATTCTTTTCGGTGATTGCCTTTTCAGCGCTCATCTATGCCTGAATTGATGATTACAGCCTCATCGGGATCGATGATGGCCAAAGGCAACCTGAAGTGTGTTGATACGGGTGTTGTTGAAAAGAATTGACTCCACTGGGATTCCCCACCGGAGTACCAATAGTGCGAAGACTATTACGGCGGTCAGAGGTTCATGGGTATCGTTCGTTCAACCGCTACAGGAGAAATCTTATCGGCCTGGGTGAACACTGCTAATGTCAGTGGCATGAACCTCCGACAAGGCTATTGTACGTATTGAGTGTATTCAACAAAAATTCTTCTAACCAATGGTGGATCTTTTATGGCTTTGATAATCCTCCCGACCCACGGTTCCTCGATTAATCGATCTTCGGAGGCAACCCAAAGAGATCGGGATCTCAATATTTGCTTTTTCGGGTCCCTTCATTGGATGGTTCCCCACTCGAACGAGCCCTTTAAGCTCGCCCTGTCCCTATCCTGCCCTGCCCCTGCGCGAGTCCCCTAGGAACCTCCATCTCCAGCCATTCTGCCCTCACCGTCGTCGTCGCCGCCGCTGTCCCACCATAATAACCATGTCCTACCAAATGTCTCACCTGGGCCCTCGGGGTATGTAGCTCGTCGCCCAAAGCCCCAATTTGCGCTTCTGTCGTTCCCCCCGACCATCTCCAGCTGACTCGAACTCTACAGCCTTCAACCACGACCAGAGCAGCGACGCCGAGCAGGAATACGACCGCCTCCGCGACCTCGCACGGCAGGAGGCCTCTAAGCGCGGCGATTGTTACTCACGGGTATGCGCGCCCAATTGTCCCCTTCCAACTTTCCTCCGGCGCTTTCAGCACACCACAAGTGCGTCCGGCAGAGACAAAGTGCTAATTCCTCTTCGAACAGTCCAAGGAAGCCTACGCCAGCGGCGATGGAGCGCGCGCCAAACAATTGTCGGAGGAGGGCAAGGTGCACGGGCGCAAGATGGAGGAATACAACAAGCAAGCTTCCGAGTTCATCTTCCGCGAGAACAATGCCAGTGGGCGCGTTGCGGACGACACGATTGATTTGCACGGACAATTCGTCGAAGAGGCCGAGGAGATTTTGGAGGAGCGCATCAAATACGCCAAAGCGCATGGACAGAATCACTTGCATGTGTACGTTGCAACATTCGTCCCCGAAAACCCGGACTGCGCTCTGGACACGAGAATACATTTCACTAACTGCCCTCCCAGTATCGTCGGCAAGGGTAACCACTCCGCCGGCCACATTCAAAAGATCAAGCCGCGCGTCGAACAAGTCTGCCAGGAACTTGGTCTGCAGTATGCCACCGAGGATAACGCCGGTCGGATCTACGTGAACCTGACCGGCGGCGAGGCCGTTATGCCTTCCTATCCTTCGCACCAGGCACCGCATCACGGTGGGGGTGGCCAATCTTACCCCGGCCACCAACAACAACAGCATCACCAACAACAACAGCAACATCAGCAACAGCCGCAGCAGCAGGACGAGATCGAGAAGGTTGTCAACGCGCTGTTGCCCAAGGTTATGCGCAAGTTGGAGAAGGCGTGCTGTGTTGTTATGTAAAGTGGTTTATATTGAAATTTCGGATTCCTTGCGTTATACGCATTGGGTGTTATGATTTTTGGAGAATAGAGCGGTGAACAGTGGTATTCGTGGACATGGCCTTATGTTGTGATACAATTTTGGATATGTTCGGGTCTACAGCTACCTAAGTAATACAGACTAGAGCTACGACTCACGACAGCGGGGGTTTGGCTATTACCTCATGCATGAATATTGGTTATGAATTTTCGAGTTGCCAGTCCACCTACAGCGTTTTTGAATCGAAGTAAGGGTCGTTCATGGAGATGCAAGCTGCAATTATGTGCCAAGACTATACGCTATTCAATGAGATCATGACACCGTATATTTCAGCTCGCTTTATATAGCCAACAGACGTCGAACAATGAGGGTATATCAAAGCGCCAATACACCAAGCCCTAAGCAGAAGCAACCTCGAATGGGCAAGGTTCAATCATAATGCGTCCAAAATCGAAACCAAAAAGCCACAGGACCCCGAACTACACACGTGCAGCCTCGTCCGATGACAACGTAGAGTCCACAATCTTATTCAACACCGCCCGCACCAATTCCCCGTCGCCCGCGCCATTAATTCGTGGCGTGGCATCGATCATTTCAATCAACGACAACGCCCGATCTCTCAACTCCCGCACAACCTGACAAGTATGCGTAAAGCTCCCCGTGCTCTCCATATACTGCACCGCATACCGCTTCACCTCCTCGTCCTGCGTCTTCTGCTTCAAAATACTCAACAGCTGATGATTACCCGGGTTCGAGCGAATACTATGAATAATCGGGAACGAGAACTTGCCCTCCGTCAGATCCTCGCACAACCCCTTATTCTGCGTATACGTCGTATTGGAAAGATTCAGGTAGTCGTCGCAAATTTGGAAAATGAGACCCATGACGTTCACGAGGGCGACGCAGTCCTTGCCCGTCGCGCTTTCGGCTTGCATGAGTTTTACGGCTAGTCGGAAGAGTCCGCCCGTTTTGTTGCCGACCATTTCGAGGTATTCGTCTTCCGTGGGGCAGGTCAGGGTGTCGCGCCAGAAAAGATCCATGCCTTGGCCGCGGTGGAGGTTGAGGAGTTCTTTGACATAGATGTCGATTGCGACGGGGTTGTGGAGCTGTTGGATTTCTTGTAGGGCGAGGAAGTAGACGTAGTTGGCTGAGTTGATTGTCTGGGCTGTGCCGAAGATGTTGTGGGCAACGGGGATGCCGCGACGTAGGACGGAGGAGTCTTCGACGTCGTCGACTCTGTTTGAGGTGGAGAGTTAGCGAAGAGGGTCCGGGAGAAAAGAGCGATCACTACAGAGCGACCATGCTCCTGGTACTTACAGTAGCGACGCCGTATGCAGCATCGTCACCACCTTATCTATAATCGCCAAACTATCCGGCGGAACCTGAAGCCATGAATTAAACGCCTGGATCATCTGGCGACGCACATCCTTGCCAGGATGCTGGTGCATATATTCATAAGGACCCATCAAGATCTTCTCATTCTTCGGCGACCATGTCCCATCCTTGTACTTTGTCCCATCGACACTGGACTTGTTGCGGCGGTGCTTCGATTTAGGCGGCAACTCGGTCGCAGACAGCTCGCCCTCTATGGCGGACTTTCTGTGCCGGTGGGAGGGTGGACTCGTAGCGCCATTTGCAGCGCCAGCGGAGCTCGTCCGCGGTGGAATCGGACTCGGTGGTTGGAAGGAGGAGTTCATTGCTGAGGAGGGAAGTTGAAACGGTTGAGCTTGTGATGAGGGGAAATTTGGAGTGGAGGGGTTGCGGAGAGCGGATGACATCAAACACGAGGAGGGGAGCTTTAGGCTTTTCTATGTACCACGGCCGCTTATCGAGAGTCGGCGATTACGATTTGTCAAATTCTTCCATGATTATTTCTTCGTTTTCTTGGTTCTATCGACTAAGCGAGCAGGATACGGAGCTGGCCGGAGCTTGAACATTGAGTCGATCGGGCATGGTCGCGGAGGGGCCGGGACCGATCTATTGTAGATCGATCGATCGATAGCTCGAATGAGGAGGTGAGGAGGGCCAAGAAAATTTAGAAGGGAGGGGAGGGGGCCAAAGGAAGGGGAAATAGACAGATCATATATCAAGGGATTAAAGTTGGCCGAGCAAAAAATTGCCTACCGACCGGGGTTCCCCCCTTCCGTTTTGGTGCTCAGACTCTCGCCGCTTTTGCTCGCTGAGTAGATCTGAGCACATCTCTGAACCCTCTGATCTGATCAGTGGATATTACGTAAGCACTCTGATCAGCTCACTGAGCACCTCAATGAAACGTGAACACGCTAGTCGTATCCATAAGATCAGAAAAGCACTGGCATCAATAATTTGATATTCCGTCCTGGACGCTTGCTGTAATTCATTGCATCACAATGAAGCCTATTGGATCATCATACTATTAACTGAACTACGTACTCCTAGGAACCCTTCGTCTACTGGCTCTACTATGGGCCTCTTATAATAGTATTAGTGTTATGATATTTCGATGAGACTATTCACACACTGATATTGGGGCCTCAGGCATGCGTGGACCGAGGGTTCTGCCAAGGCGGTAGCCATCCGGCGGTCAGTCGGTGGCCCCTCGGCCGCGATACGCGACAGCCACGCTGCATGCAGGCCGCACCCATAGTATGTGCCATGCGTTGGCCATGCGGTGGCCTTTCGCTATGGTTTCCCCCTTACTTCGTGTTTGATTCCTGTTTGCACAAAAGATGATGTATTTAAACAGATGCTTGAGGAAGTGGGATTCATCTTCCTCAAGAAACAGTCTTTGTCTCAATCTGACTTGGTGCTTTCCTCTCCTACCTAGTTGACAGGCCATCTACCCTGTAAAGTAGATACTTCCTTAACAATTAGTCTTGATATATTTTTAGACGAGTATGCTCTATAATAGAATAGCTTGCCCGAAGTAACTGTCCGCTAGAGAAGAGCTATCTTATAAGTGCCAAGTCTATTATCTTACGTTTAAGCGTATGTGTTAAAATCCTATTCTTGCGATCTCTTTTACACCGAGTATTACTATTCCGATTATATTACTCCTAGGAACCCAGGGGGCTCTGTTCTACTCTACTACGCTATAAGCTGTCTTTGGTTTAGTTGCCCAGAATTTTTTAAGCTCCTAGGATATCGAGCTAATTCACTGCCCCTAAAGTGTGCCAAAATTGGAAAATTAAGATAATATAAAGTTAGAGATTCTAGCCCTTGAATTACCGTTCTAGACCCCCTACCCTAATAAGAAATTGATTAGGTCAAGAACTCTATATAGGTACCACACTGTATTCTACCTTATATTATTAAGAAGCGTTATCTTATATTCATCAAGGCTTTCAACTATCATAGCTGAACTCATGAAGGCGGACATCTTTAATAGAGATGCGGCTATCGCAACACGTGACAGCGCATTGTTCAACTGAGACGACTAGAATCGGTTAAGAACGAAAATAAAGCCCTTCAATGCCTTTGCGATCAATTATCTTGCGTTGAAAATATTCTAGAAGCCTTTACGGCGACTTTTGACAAACCGGGCACCTGCAAACCCAGCCTCAAAGCTTAGCATCAACTTCGAACAGTAGTTAAGAGCAACCAAAACGTCTGTGCAAGATACCAGGTGCAGGACCGTTTCCTTGAGCAGAGCCGTAGACCTACACTTTAGTGTAGTACCTCTCAAACCACTAAACGTGAACAGGCGAGATATTTTAGTCCGCCTGCGCTGTTTTCAAACTCTTAACCATCTCATGAAAAGCCTCTATCGAGTCCGCTGCAACTTCATCCCTCATGCTAAAGATCTGTGGGTGTTTTACCAGCTTTTTAGCTAGCCACCAGAACTCCAACGCATAAACCATAAACCCCGATGGGCCCATCGATGAGAGATGATGTTCTGTATATTTCGAGTCCCATATCAGCTTCCATCTGTCCAAAGCACGCTCCACAGGTTTCAAAGTTTCGGGGGTATTGATGATGGGCACCAGTGCTTGGAGGTCAAATAAAACGCAGTGAAGTGCTAAATTAAATGATTAGTTCAGTTGATGTCAAAGATGAATGGATACGGTCATCCGACCACTCAAGATAAGGAAAAGCCCAAAGAGACTGTCAATCTGCAGTTCCTCCCCTTCCAGATCGAATGGCTTATCATCCATTAATCGTTGCACTACCGATCGAAGAGTCAGTGGTGCAGCTTGGGATGTCTTCTTTACAATAACATCTGCTTCAGCTGGGTTGATCGCGTCGAATATAGCGTCGTGCATTGGCAGACCGAACCGTGCTTCAAAGAGTCTGAGCTGAGAAGGCGAGTGGTAGAAGATGACGCAATGAGCGTCAAGGAGATAAACCCACGCCGTGAGCCTATATATTTCATCAGCAAGTCTTGATTGCAGGAATTGACGGCATAACTAACCTCACAAGGGTCTCTTTGTGCAAATATTCCTCCAAAGTGGTGATGTGGCCATCGGGAACGATATCATTGACCACCTTTGTGAGATTCAACAGTCGTACCACAAGTATCAAGGTCGGCAGCCTCTGGAATCGAATTCGTCTCTTTATTTCCACATTAGAATGTGAGCCCTGTAGCTCTATCATGAGTATTGCCGCTTGAATTAGTTGTATGGTTTCCTTAGCAATGACTGGATGTTCCCTCTGTCGTAAAAGCTGCTGAAACTCAGGTCCCTCAAAGACAAGAAACTCAACAACATCAAAATACTCATTGTAATCTGAAGTATTCTCGCGGGAAGCATAAGTCAAGCCGAAGAGTAGTACAGCCAGGACGAGATACCGCGACGCAGTATTGACGTTGAAATAGGCGTTATGGATGAATGGATTGCTGCTATATGCATATTGGAAAAATGCATCCACGAAGCGCATGATATTGGTCTCCGAGACAAATGCACGGGTTCTCGTGCGGTAAGACTCTATGTCCTGAGCGCATGTGAGAGGAGCCTGGTCGAAACAACGAAACAGCTCGTCGCTTGTTCTTGACAAACTCAAATAGTCGTCTAGTCCGTATAACAGGCCGGAATGTTGAGAAGTAGTGTCTAACGCAGACGGATTTATAAAATCTTGAAATAGGATTGGCCATGTTTCTGTGAAATGGCCTGACGGGCTCGTGGGCCCGAAAAGATTATCCTCGTGTTGCTCTGCTAATAGTCGGTGAAAGTCGTGGGGACAGTTGAGAAGGAAAGAGATTGAGATTCGCCGCTGAGAGCGTTGACGAGTTTCCACGCATGATTTATGACTTGTGTGGTCTGGCGGGTGTAATTCGGAGGTTCCCTGATCATAGGTGCCTTGGCTGGTCTCTTGCAGTTGCTCTACGCAACTGTATAAGCAATCAAGACCCTTAAACAGACAAGTCTCACAAGGGGAATCCCCATCACAAGCCACACGTCCGAGTGCGCATGTATCGCAAGCTTTGCGCTTCCTGCCGCGTTTTACCGGTCCAAGTGGACGGTCGTCTTTCTGTTTACAGGTTTTCGAATGACGAAGCAGGACGTCACTGAAGGGCGATGTTAGTGAAAAAGAACAGAAATGAATCAATTCATAGGAGAAACATACCTTCGCACAAACCGGCGGTCACAGAATGTACATACGGCAGGTCTTTTAGAAGAGTCTGGAGCAGCTGTCAGTCTTAGGAGGTACAACTGAGATCTTTAAGTCTTACGGGTCGCCTCGTGTCGTCGTAAATGACTTGGACTAGAAAATTGTCGCGCACAATGGCGACATCGTAATTCTCGCCTTGAAACAGAATTAGGCATGGTGGGAGTTACATTGGAGCCCGTGAAGGAAAGGGAAGACGAAGAAATTGTCACACGTGACCGCTTCTCTCACCGACCAGCCCTTGCCATGAAGCGCAGATGAAATTCTCGAGGTCCCAACAAGTTCCATTCTAATCATTAGTCAGTTAGTACTTACTCTCTATGGAAAATGATCAGATTCAAGAATAATTCTGCTTTATCATTGGGACTAGTACAGACCCACTTGAATTTTAGTCGGGAAAACCCACATGGTTCGGGGAAACCCACATCGTTGTAAGGGGAGTATATAACGACTCTAAGTGAATTTTTCTTCCCTCAAAACACAAGATTTGTACTTCATTTCAAACAAAGCTTGATTAGCTTCAGTGTTCACACTTGTTTATTCCTTTACATCGATCTTGTCAAGTCTCTCGAGTACAGTCCTCATCTTCCCCGAGCGTTGATACACTCGATCTGGAGAAATGCCTCTGAAGTTCCGTTCCGCAACACTTCATCGTAGGTATTCTGATCTACATATAGAGCTCTAGTGACTAACGATTCCTTTCAAGTGTTCCTCCGTACGAAGAACTCGAATGCCCTGTTACACTCGCAGCACTCTGTATTGAGAAGCATCCTCGATAACAACAGTCAACAGCGACAGCAATCAAGCTTCAAAGCGATCGAGGCCCGCAAGTCATTAAAGAAACAATTCCCAGGTTCCAAGACCGCCATATCAACCTCTCCAATCTCCCCAAACAACACAGTAGAGCATGTCTTGTCAGTACCCATTCCCCCAATCACCATTCCCTCAAACGACCCGCTAACATAACCTTCCGACAGAACTTCCTTCGACCAAATAGTAAATTGGGCCCGTCAAAGCTCCCTCTGGCCCCTCAGCTTCGGCCTCGCCTGTTGCGCCATTGAAATGATGCAAGTCTCCATGCCACGCTACGACCAAGACAGACTAGGAATCATCTTCCGCGCATCCCCCCGACAAGCAGACGTGATGATCGTAGCCGGCACCGTGACGAATAAAATGGGCCCAGCACTTCGGCAGTGCTACGACCAGATGCCGGATCCAAAATGGGTTATCAGTATGGGCAGTTGTGCGAATGGAGGCGGGTATTATCATTACAGTTATAGTGTTGTTAGGGGTGTGGATCGAATTGTGCCGGTCGATGTTTATGTACCTGGTTGTCCGCCTACACCGGAGGCGTTTTTGTATGGTGTTTTCCAGTTGCAGAAGAAGATGAGGAGGACTAGGGTTACGAGGATGTGGTATAGACGGTGATGGGTTGGGATCTTTTGGTGGATAGAGGCTGGGTGGGAATGCATTTTTATTAGTTTATCTTTATCTTGATTCTCTAGAGTTGATTGGGTGATGCTGTGATATTCCCACAGAGAGAATAGTGAAAGTCTTAGTGCAAGTAGTATGTGATATGGCATGTCCCACGGGCTAGTCCTAATGAGGAAACCCCCTCTTTCAATACAAAATGCTACATTCGAAATACACAAGTTACCTATCTGCCCTTCCAGTCGTAGTCCTTCCAATCCTCCACTCAAGGCTGATTGACCCAAGGGTTGAATAATCACCAGACGAAGCGAGGAGGAGGATGCAGAGGCTGGCTGTAAGGCGCGTATTTGCCAGGGCAACGTGGTCGGCGACTCCGTATATCACAGTCATCTTGTGACATTATGCTTTCCAGGATTCCAGAGGACAGAGTTTCTGTATAATCATCACAGACCGCTCTGGGCTCCAGTGTGAAAACAAATTTGATTACTACCCATTCTCTAATCTTAGGTGTAGTACTCCATGGTCTGGCCAGCAGTAAACAGTGATTCCCCCGGACTCCAAAACCGGTTTTTGGTCGCCTGTCAGAATAACCTTGAACTGACGCCATGGAGATCCGAGGCACCCAGGGAACCAAGCTCTGCACGATCTCCCCTTGAAACCGGGAAACTAGGCAAAGCTAAGCGCTTCGCAAGGAGGCTGGAGGAGGCTGAAATGCCCCAAAGCGGTTTAGCGGGTGCGTTCCGTTGGTGGGTCGTCCGGGGCAACCGCGCAGATTGCCCGTTCGGGCGGCTTTATTTACCACATTTATTATTTCGATTTATTATTGTTATCATTTCTGATATGATAATACGACGGTTCAGTTGGGACGGCCCGACTGACCTCATCGGCCTGACGGACCACACCGACTGGATTTTCCTCGGGTTTTCTATGATGCTTTTCCAGCCTCCTCAGCTGAGCTGATCGCGGTTTTCGCTCTACAAGGCCCACGGCCGATCTCTTTTGGACTCTCTTCTTTCCTCTTCAAGTCTCGCCATCCTTTATTTCTACCCTTTCTCCTCCCTCCATTCACTTCCTCACTCCACTTTCCATCCATCCACCTTCTGCCCAGATCCTCATGGAGACTCTTTTGGCGCATTCATTCGACTATCTTTCCTCGTACGAGCCCAGCAAAGTCCGCAAAGGATTACGCCAGGTCGAGGGCCTGTTGGCCCAAATATGCCTGTCTAAATCAAAATGCACAGCCGACCGGCGCCGGTCATATTTGGCTACCGAGGCCCAACCGGCTCCCAAGGCGCTGGCCGAATTGCGAGATGATCCCGCTTTCAGAGAATTCTTCAAGCTACAAGAAAGCTTTAAGTGGAATGGTATGCCTTTCCCCGGACTCGAGTTTATGACCCAAATTATCATCTATTCTAACATCCAATGTTTTTCGTTATCTTCTAGTCGCCATGCGCCTAGTATCCTGTCTTGAGCACTTGCTCGGCCGTGGCAGTAACGGCACCAACGACATGCTCATCGTCTGTACGCTCGACCTAATCCAAGGCGCACTCCTCCTCCACCCACCTTCACGCACTCTCTTCGCCCGCGAAATCTACATGAACCTCCTCCTCGACCTCCTAGACCCAATCAACTGCCCAGCCATTCAATCAGCTACCCTTCTCACTCTCGTCACCGCCCTCCTCGACTGCCCAGCCAATACCCGCACCTTTGAAGACCTAGACGGCCTTCTCACAGTAACATCTCTGTTCAAGCAACGCGCCACCTCCCGGGAGGTCAAGCTCAAGCTAGTGGAGTTCCTGTACTTCTACCTCATGCCTGAAACACCGATTCTGGGGCCGGGCGCCAGTCCACCGGGTCTGCAGCGCAGCCCCAGCAAGATCTCCTCACGACCCATGTCTCAGAGCTCACATACATCTGCGGGGCCGGGCAAGATGATTCGTGATACGCGAACGACGGATGAAAAGCAGGCTTTGTTGGGTCGGTATTTGAATAATGTGGAGGATTTGGTCGAGGACCTCAAAGAGACTGCTCCGTTTGGAGCAACGGTTTACTGAAGAGTGAACTGCGGGACGTTGAATCTGATTTTTATGGCGATGATGGCAGGCCCTCCTGCCATGGTGACGAGACTGCGACATGACCGCATTGATGTGGTTGACATTCGATATATTTTTTTTTTCTCTTCTTCTTTTTCCTTGGGGACTCTTTTCTTTCTCTTCCCCTCTCTCCTCGTTCAGCCTTTCTTTTTTCTTCTATTCTTCATGAGCTTTATGTTCCGTCCGGTACGGCGTGATTATGTGGTCAAGACCTTGATGCTGCTTTCCCGCTCCCTGGTTCTCTTTTTGTTCGATTTGGGACTCTACCTTTTTTACTGGTCTTTTTTATAACTCTCTTTTTTCCTTGGCTCTTTTTAAACTCTTTCTTTCTTTTTCCGAATTTGGAATTGTGTCGACCGCTCCTCGAACGGCCCTGGGCCTTCGTTTTCTTTATTTGTCTCTAATGGCGACATGATAATGTATGATTCTTCTCTACCAATTATATCTCCAGCATATAATGGTATTGAAAATGGAATCTCAATTTTGATCATTCCTTTCTTCTTTCTATCCTGCAACCATCCGTAGATACATGGCTTCTCGTCCGATTCGTAAGTCGCCCATGCCAACCTCATAGCCAACCCCGATTTAAGCCTATCTCGCATCTCCGTCCACTTATCAGTTTTGCTACGATAGCATTGCCGAGGCTTTCTCGTTTGTGGGCTTTGAGTCACTTCCCCCATTAGATCAATAAAGGCACAGAATGAGTCAATCCCAAATTCGGGGTCTACTTTGGGACCGGTCCGAGATGTGGGGTGGACAAATCCAAAGTTAGCGTGACAAAGTTCGCAAGTATATCTCTCCACTCTGCCCCTCTTAGATCGGACCCTTGTTGCATCAGATCCATCACCATTTTTACAAAGTCTTCCATCGAAGCTATGAAGACTATTCAGGAATTGCTGGCCGAGAAGCCTAATAATGATGATACCCAGCCAGTTCAGTATGTTGGAACAGTAGAAGCATATGATAAGTGGGCAGAGGTATGTAGTCAACAATCATCCAAGTCCGTAGTTGATCAACACTAACTTGTTTCGAACAGGTCTACGATACAGATGGAAATTTTCTCCAGCGCCTCGACACGATCGAGATGCGCGCACTTCTGCCTCAATTCCTGCACCGTGTGTATTCCCGTTTCCAGGCCTCGGGGCAATTGACACTGTTGGACGTGGGATGTGGTACCGGGCGGAATACGATCCAGCTACTCGAAGCACTGGCACAGTATCAAAAGGATACTACCTCCATGGCCAAAGTTGATATCGTCGGTCTTGATGCGTCCCCAGGTATGTTGGAGGTAGCACGATCTGCCATCCACTCAGCCACCCGGCGAGAAGATCTTAAGAAGAGCCCCGAGGTCTCTCTAGACACTATCGATCTACGTCAGCCGGCCACTGTGCGGGCGAATCTACCTCCATCTCTACAAAACTCCGGTGCAGCGGGTGTGATTTCCACGCTTGTACTAGAGCACATTCCAACAAAGGAGTTCTTTGAAGCCGTGTCTGCCACGATGCGCCCCGGCGGGTATCTACTAGTCACCAATATGCACGCAAATATGGGAATGCGCAGTCAGGCTGGCTTCACGGATCCACAGACAGGGGTCAAGATCCGGCCGACCAGCTATTGCCACTCCGTCTCAGAGGTGCTGGCAGCAGCCGAGCAGGCCGGGTTCCAGGTGGAGGATATAGTTGGCGAGGAGGGCCAGAACGGGGTCCTGGAACGGGATCTGGATGAGCAGTTGGCCGAAAAATTAGGTGCGCGGGCCAAGAAGTGGATTGGTATCAGGGTGTGGTTTGGGATATGTTTCAGCAAGAAAGAATGAATGTAATTAAAGATGGAAGCACCCCTCGAATAGTGAGGTGATCAGGGGGGAGAATATGATTTCAGTCACTTTTGGTCGCTCAATAATACAAGTCTAGAAGAATCCCAGAAGTCTTTCCCGGTGTTGTACAAGATTGGTGTGCTGTTTGAGCAGCTGTGCCAATCGGTTATGTTTCCATCCCATCCCCTCGTCCAGAATTAGATGCGTGTAGGCGAATACGGTGGCATCGAACAGGCCAGGGTTCGGCCGGCCGAAGAAGTGCTCGTCCTCGGCGAGTAGGGTTGATAGCGCCTCGAATGCATTCTGTGCATCTCCCTCTAGGGCAGCCACGTCGATATACGGAGAGAGCTTGAGGAGCTCGTCACGCGCCGCTTGTTGCAGCTGGAATCCAAGGGCTGCCCGAACGAGGGAGGAGGTTGTTGAGGGGTTGACGTAGAGTCGTTGCGCCACGGCCTTGAAATTGTCGTCATCTAGATACATCATGTACAGCTTGGAGAGTGTTAGTAAGCTCAGTGGCATGAACATGGTCCCTCAGCGTCTGAGGTGCATGGAATTGTAACATACCCAGGCACTGCGTATCCGGTGGTCCAACAGGGATGCATATACTTCGAAGCGCAAGTTCAATTGCTGTTCCTCCTCGCAGTGGACCTGCTCAATGGCCCATTTTTGGAGCTTGTGCGAGGGAATTGTGACCGCTGCATCGACGGGGAATGCTGGAAGGAGGAACGGGAGAGCGCCCGTTGGCGAAGCATGATTGTTCGAAGGTGTGATCTCGAAGTCAATACCGACAAATTTCAGGTACGCCTGTAGACACCGTGTCAGAGAAAGCCAATCTTTCAGCAGCCGCAAACCGAGCGCCAACTGACCTGCCATTTAAGACATTGCGGGTTGAATGATGGCCGCCCACGTCGTGCACTTGCTGCATCGCTAAAGACAAATAGCTGGTTGGCCGCGCGCCCGGACGGAGTCCGTTGCGGCAAGTCGTTGGCAGGGTACGTGGTCAATGGGAACCGATCGAAGAGTTGTTTAATAGGAGGCGGAACTCTGAAGAAGGACGGGGCATTCCCATCCGTCTGTGCGCCCTCAGTGGCCTGTGGCGGCATTGCGAAGCCTTCGATGTTGATCGGAGCAACAAGGAAGCGGCCTCGGCGAATGCCAACTTGTCCGCAACGCCAAGCCCCATGCGGCTTAGGTAATCCGTCACCTCCCCGCATCGTTTTCTTCTTTGGTCTTTTCGCCGATGAAACATCGTACACTCATACAGCCCTGGCATTCCGATCAACCCTCCTCCCTCGAATCTACGTTGTCACATTACCCCCGGTTACCGTTGAACCAAAGTGCTCGTTCCGCTGCGCAAAATCACCGAATCGTACTCGACTTCCGCCGAAGTTCCGCCCGACCCCGCTCTCAAAGCCCATAGATCTGACAAACGTCGTGCACATGGCTTGAAGACCTGGTATCTCTACAAGGGATCTGCAACTTCGCAAGCCAAGTCAGGTTGCTCAGAAAACTGGGAATAAGATACCCGCAAAGGCCATTTCAAGTTCACGCCAAGCCTGTGGTATAGCGCTTGCGCCAGCGCGGACTCTGTTATCGTCATCCGACGATCATCTCAGCCTCTTTCCGACTGGACACTGCCCCTTCCGAATATTGGACACTTACAACCATGCCTTTGGACGAAGAAGGGGCCAAGTGGTCTTGGTAAAGATGCCTACCGACATCTATTCCTGAATGTGTCACTGACAAGACTAAAATTAGCGAACCATGCATTCGTGGCCATCGATCCTCAAAATGCCAGCACTTCGACAGACTTATGATGAAAGTGCCCAAGGCAGGTCGTCCGTTGGCCAAGTGCCCTCATCCCAAGGGGACTTGCAGCTGTCAAAAAACCTACGCCTTTATGGTTCGGATACCCAAAGGTAGGAGAATTTTACACATTTCTGGCTCGATTGTCAAAATTATTGACATCATCCCAGGCTCTAGCTGCTTGTGTCGACCAGTGTACAAGGTGCCTGCCGGCACGAACGATTCATCACAATCCACTCCGGTCTCCATGGTCTCAGTGTCATCCCCTTCATCTGGCAAGGTCCAAAAGCCCGGGAGGAGACAGAGCAACATTCAAGCCACACCAGAGAGCATCGCCAAGGCCTTGGAAGCGATGCCCGAGAATCTCAAATTTGAAGACGGGACCTTCAACTATTTGGGAAATCTGTCTTCCCACCAACCGGAGCAAGATGAATTTAACGACACTGGTGCCGAACAAGGTGCTTCTATGCCCCAAAGATCCACTGACGCTACGAACGGATCTAGCTGCTGCTCGCAGAAGCCGCAACCCGCGCCGATCCCACCAACAGCATCGCAAGGTTCGGGTTCTTGCTGCAGTGGGAAAACCCAGGTCGCCAATTCTGTCTCCGAAGGTGTCTCTAATACCCAGGGATCAAAAGTAAATCAGCCAACATCATGGAACGACATGACTTACATGAATTTCTCGGCGCAACAGATGCCCTCCTGGCAGAACTCCATGACCTCTTCACAGCAGTCCTTTGTTCCCCCTTTCGGAATATCGAACTCTGGGGCTCAGTCATTCTACACGAACGAATACACAGGGAACGGGTCCTCTACCTATTCGACCTCCATGAACGGACTCGAAATCACGCCACATCACACGACACCATTCACCATGGACCATTCTCAGAGCTCTGCCTATGGACCCATCAATCTCGCCAAAAGTCCTAGCCACGACTGTAGCTGTGGAGATGAATGCCAGTGTCTAGGCTGCGCAGCCCATCCCTTCAACAACACTACCCGTCAACATGTCCAAGAAATGGGTGTCATGATGACATTTGATGGAGACGATTCAGCACCCGACTCCATGGCTAATGCCTACAATCCTCCATCTTTCCCAAAAAACACCGCAACGAACCCAATGAACTTCTTCATGCAACAGACGCAATCGATGAACCATGGCATGAATCAAAATTCCTTTGAGCCATATTCCGATCCCAACTCGGCGATGCCCAGTGGCTACTCGTCCCCTCTCCCCGCAGGACACCACTTCAATCAGCAATTGATGCATCCATCCGAATACTACACAATCGAATATCCAGTTGGTATCCCGAGTGCTTGCTCAGACGTGACGGGCAGCTGTCAATGCGGCAACGACTGCAGTTGCGTCGGTTGTCTCACACACAGCGGGCACAATGGTGTAGCTCTGGAGGCCCCAATCCCAGAGACTCCCGTCACCAGCACCGCGCAAAATGCCCCTGCATCCGCATCCCACGGCGTGCCGACAACGACTGCTGGCAGCCACATTTCTCGAATTCCGGTCCTGGAAAATGTGTCAATGCCCTGTCTCAGCCCACGCACATTCGAAACATCCATGATTTGAAATTAGCTGCTGGCTGGCTCGCTATCACGGTTCCTCTTTCCATCTCTTCCTCTATCCTGTTTCCACGTTCGCATGATTTACGATCTTCAATGATACCCCTTAGATATCTCTACTCTAGACGGCTGCTGGCTGGAAGTCAGCCAGCTCATTTGCTATTATGAATTCAAATTTCCGACCTTGCTTTCCGTCTACTGGCTTCATTTCTTTTCTCTCTCTCTTTTCTATTCGAGACATGTCTCTCTCATTGGAGTCAAAGTTCAATATCTCTATCGATCAGAATAACATGTTCATGAAGATGATTTTAGCATCAATGCATTCGGGGATATCATGATTCTATGGAGTACAGGTAATGTAGGTATGGTACAGAAGAACGGAGAGTAAGAATATGGCCAAGTCACGCATGTCTTTCCAAGACACGATCAAGCCTTATTCCACTTTCCAAATTTCACATAGTCATCATAAAGAGACTTGAACACAGCACGACCCGAAGCATCCAGACCGGCGTTCATCGCACGCATCGACTCCCGAGACATCACATCCAGCGCCGCATACAAACCGGGCATCAGGGCGGCCTTGACGTCTGGTACCAAGGACCCGCGCAGCGAGCATTGCGCGTACGCCATGATCACGTATTGCAGGTATTGGCCAGCGATGCGCTTGGCTTTCTTGGTTTCATCGGTCAGATTCTCGCGAGACATGCCAGGCTGGGAGCGCAGTACGGCGGAGACAGTCGGGTCACTGAGAGAGGTGAGGAGGCGGGTGAAATTGGATGTGTGAGAGGCATCGAGGGGGGCGAGCCAGAAGGGGTGGGAGATGACTGCGGCCCGGTTGGAGCGTGAGCGCTTTCGAGACCGTGCGAAGAGACAGCCTAGTAGCCGTTGCATAGCAGTGACGACGAGGTGGAAGCGACCGCCAATCTTGATTCGCTGTAGACCCAGGATGATGCCCATCAAGCGACACAATCGGGTGTAGATAGTCGGAGCGTACTCGGGTGAGATGCGAGGGCCACTTTTGGAGGCGGCCGTAGCGATGGCAGCCAGCATATCGTCGACGTTACACTGAGCAATGCTGCGAGTGTGCACGCGGAGAAGGAGAGCCATGGTCTCGGCCGTGAAACAGAACTGATCGATGGAAGTGCTATGGACGAGTGCCTCTGCGAGAGACTGGCTGAGCAGAGAGAGTTCGCGAGAGACGGGGCTGTCCTTGTCTTCGACGGGTTGGAGGGAGATGACCGCGAGATAGACCACGAGAAGTCGATATGCAGCCTGCTGACCCTTGAAGCCGAGTTCACGGATCTCCTGAATTGCTTCACTGATCTGTTCTCCAGTCATTGAGCGGAACCGCTCAGTGGTGGCCCGGATGAAGAGCTGTTGATCCTCAGCGTAGAGCGACTGGAGGGCAAGCGTCTCGGCGCATTGCAATACGGGTTCAGTAGACTTCTTCTCGGATCCCTTGGTAGCCATTAGGCGCCGTCGAATCAGGCGCGACGGTGCTGAATCGATTGACGTCTCCATGTAGCGCTCGAGCTTGGAGAGGAACTTTTCGACCTCGATGTTGTTTGTCGCCAGATCCTCGAAGTCTTCGAGGGCATCGATAGTTTTGATGAGGGTGATGGTCTCCTCTAGTTTCTGCTTCCTACACTGATCCTTGAGGAATTTCATATCTGCCAACACCATGCCAAACACTCGTTGACGGCAGGATGCCAGCTCATCTTCAGAGAATACCTTGGCCAATTGCTTGCGGTGAGCCCAGAGCTCCGACAAAGATAGACGAAGTAGGAAACAAGCCATGGAGTCACGGTCAATTTGTCGAAGCTTGGATGCCTGCTTGGAGACTCTGGAATAAAGCTTCTTGAATGTCTCATATCGATCATCCGGTGAAAGAACCAGCAGCTTGGCAATAATAGCGCGATATAAGCTGCGGAAAGCCTTCATGATTTGCAAATCCAAATCCGTGCCTACGAGGTGGATGGAGCGAGCCTCTGTCCAGATCAACTCCCAGTCGCTCGTGACACCAGCATCGCACTTGGGCATAGCTGCAAGTTTTGCCATCGTGGTCAAAAGGCCAAGAGTCACCTCAGTAGCACTGTCCTCTTTGACGATGACATCGTGCAGCTTATCCAAAAGGCTGGCTCTAAGGCCACGAGTGATCAAGGCAGCAGGAATTCGCTGCAAGCTCTCCACGTGGAGGCGGCGATTTGAAACGTCGTCTTCCATGCTCTTAGTGAGCAGAAGAATCAAATCAGGCACAATGAATGGCACGTTGAGCAGATACTCATGACAAACAATACTCGCCCATGCTTGAAGGAATCGCGCATTATCTGCAACAGTCTCCAGAGGCAACGAGGACGAGTGGTACTGCGAAGCAGCCAGAGACATGAGCTGCTTGAACAAGCTCGACCGGTACTCGGGCTTGACCTTCTCCCAGGCATCAGGCTCCCTGACCAGCGCCAACGTGTAAGCCAAAGCCAGTGTAGTTGGTGAGCAGAGAGTATCGACCCGACCATCCCAGGGAGACTCCGTCGAGGCTCGAGCGTCTTCCGCGGTTATGGATGAGACCAATTTTGTCACATCCTTGGAAATATCAGTGAATCCATCCAGTTGCTCATCACTAGGCTTTCCCGTGACAACCAACAGGGCAAACCGATAGATCTCCCATGACTCCAGAGGAGCAAGTGGCACTTTGGCCAAGTTCTTTTGGTTGCGGTGAAGGGACTTTGCACCAATGCTCACGAGAGGCTTCGTCTTCTTGACAAGAACACTATCAGTGGCGAGCAAATTGTTCTGCAGGAGATTCCGCACGAACCGCCACAAGCGCCAGCGCCAGTGGGGCGTTTGCTTTGACGACAGAGTCGACGTCAAGGTGTCAAGGAATTGTGCCAAAGTTTCCTCCGAATCGGCCGTCGGTACCCTGCTTCGGAATGTGGCCTCCATTACAACGAATTTCGCATAAGATTGCGAGGACTCGAAAATCTTCCCGTTTTCATCCCGAGTTGCCATTGCGGCAGTCTGCAGCTGTGCGGCAAAGTTGACACCGGTAAGTGAAGTCCGCGCCAACTCAGAAAAGGCATCGCACAGATCATCATCTTCCCAGACAGAGAAAAATGGTAGATTCTGGTTGCTGACGCGAGCTTCTTCCAGGATGACAAGCTGGTCATGCCAGACTTCCATGAAAGATATCAAATCTCTCGCGCCTGCAAAGCCCCGTAGAAGCGGGATAATGATGTCGTTCTTGATTGTGCTGTAGTCATTTGAGGTTTTGGAAGAATCGCTGCGCCACTGAAGCATAATCTTGTCAAGTAGTGCATCCAGCAGCTTGCTTGCATCACGTAGTCCTGAGTTAGGCAGGAAAACATCAACTCCAAGACTGATAATCAAAGCTGTGACATTCCACTGAACCTGCTCTAAGCCTTGCTCGAGGAGACCGGTATACCCGGCATGGGTAAGGATAGTCTGCAGAGACAGACCGACATTTCGGTCGAGAGCAATGCGCAAGAGGTCCTCCAACACGGAGACAAATCTGGCGGAGAAGGTGGCGGGCTCTTCCTCCTTTGCGGTAGAATAGGCTAGCTCCGCAACGGCCACGAACAGAGTCTCCAACCAAGGAGCCTCGTGTATCTGACGTCTGAAGTCATCTCTTGGGACGGCGCGCACGGCATTATCGAACAGTTCGGGAAGGAGCTCGATTGATCGCCACGAAGGGTGGAACGAGCGATTGGTAGCCTTGGTAGGCGTCATTTGGATGGCTGACAGTTCACTAGTAATGGGCCTCAATGTATCAGTCACTGGCTTGACCGAGCTCCAATCTGGTTCTTCCTTGGAGTAGTCAATGCCAGAACCGCCGCGGGCAAAGAAAGCCTCCCGAGCTGGAATCAACACGTGAAGAGCGACGATACGTTCGATCGCATGGAGGAGATGTGCCCTCTCGTCAGTGTCGAATTTGACGTTCCGAAGACAAAGCTGAAGCCGGAGAGCATGAGAGAAGCAAGACTTGGCAAACCATTCATGGCTTGAATTGTTGTTCGTGTCGTCTTGGCGGTATGATCTTAACTCCCACAATTCAAGCATTGCCGGGAAGACAAGCAGTAGGTGCTGCAGATCGGTTGTTCTACCTGCTTGCGAGAACTGCGTGACGGCAACGGCAGCCAGCTGAAGCGACCTTCCCAACAATCCTGCAACTCCCTCGGGCTCCCCTCTGAGTACCAACTTGAGGTGAGAGTTGGCCACATCATCCACGCCAAGTGTGCGCTGAGCCAGGGTCACAACGCCATGGAGGCAGTCTAGAGCACGAATGAATGCAAGGAAGCACGAGACGGGGTTCTGCGGCTTTTCGTCTAGGTCCGTAGATTCAGTATCATTCTCCCCGGCGATCCTCTTCCTCTTGGTTCCCTTCGTGCCTCGAGGTTCCTCCCGATTGGGATGTACGTCCAAGGTATTGCTAGAGTCGGACTCGAAATTCGAGGTGGATGCATCATTTCCCAGCGTCGCAAAGATGTCATTCTCCAAATCCGTGACCGTGTCGCATAGAATAGAGAAAAACTTTTGGTCCTTCAGAATTGTCGCCAGATTCTTGGGCGAGATGAGGCCAATGAGCTGTCGCAGCAACAGGAAAGAAGCTGGATCCACGCGGTAGTTCTTCCCAGTCCGGATCCTCTTCAATAACCAACGGAGCACCCACTCCTCCTTGGGAGTGGCCTTTGTCTGGATTTTCGCACTTCGATGTGTCTCCGGATGACTCTCACAGATATTGAGGTCCAAGCCGAGGATCTGCGCCGCTTCGTGAAGTTGGGTAGTTGGCGATGCGCTGCTACCTTTTTCAAGGCGGAGGAGCGCCTCTTGCGACGAGCTCGAGGGCTACATGAAACGAGAAGTTAGATACTAGTCGGAATGAAGGGAGTGTGAATCATCAGTTTGGACTTACCCCCGCAAGCAAAGGCATTTCGAAAACCAAGCAAAATCGCTGATATGAGGGGTTGGTTTACTTGAAAGGAAAAAAAAAGTGACCCAAATGAGAAAAATACCGCGGCGAAATTCCCCGACCGCCTTTGCCCGACCTTCAACTCGTAACTTCCGACTCCTTGCACTCTGCACCTTCCGACAAACAACCTCTTCAATTCACCCTCCCTATTTTACTGTACGCACTTAGTCCTCGTGAAGCTATGTGCTCGACCTGAAGCTAACCCATGGCTGCCTAGATACATCGCAATGGCCGATTCCAGCGAGACCCGGCCGGTCGCGCGGGCTACCAAGCCCGTGAGCGAGGCTCTGCTTAACGAGAAGGTATGGACCGGCCACTGAATCCTACCACCTACACCGGCTTTATCCGAACTGCGTCTCTGTCACATCTGCTTTGGAGAGACTGAAAACTGCGTTCCGTGGCTTGCAGCTATTACAGTGGGCTAATTCATCGACTGCTTGTATAGTGGGACCGCGCCATTTCCTCGATGATCATCAAGTCCTCCCTCGGCCTGTCCTTCGGTGTTGTTTTCTCCGTCCTTCTGTTCAAGCGGAGGGCCTGGCCTGCCTGGGTTGGCCTTGGCTTCGGTGCTGGCCGTGCCTGGGAGGAGGCTGACGGTATGTTTATTATGCCCTCATATCATGATGTCAAGTCGCCCAAGAATCGCTTTGAAGAGATCCAATTATTGTCTGCTGCTTCTGGGGCTGCTCATTCAGCTCCAGCACTGTGGTCCAACTGTTCCCATTAGCTTTCTGCAGAGCCTATCTCGTAATAGTCTGGCTCGCCTGAAAGCTTTGGAAGTTGGTTCCCCACCGTCAGCTGTGATAGGATTTCTGGGGGCTTCTTCAACTTGGGTGACTGGCTCTTTTTTTCCATGACACATATAAGCTAATAGACGATATAGCTTCTTTCCGCCGGGGTGATTCTCCCGTCAGAGATGCGCTGCGCCGGTAGAGAAAATATCACGGCTTCCCATCGTGTACGATACCTTGTACAGAAGTCAAATGATTGGCAGGCAGAAAGGAATCAACCTATTTTAGATCAGTTTCTCATCATTGCGGCCTAGCGGAATGGTAGCTTTCACGGCATCTCGATGAGAATGTGGAGGCTTCAGCCTCGACGATTTAAATCCTTCTGTATAGCTCTGTTTCCTTTATACCTTGCTCAAAATTAGTAGAATATGAGTCCGATTGTTAGAATTGTTCCAATCCCATGGCGTTTCTGAGCTTGACACCCCGACAACCCATCTCATCCGTAATAGACAGAGGGATCATCCCGGACATGACGCCGGAGTGGTCATAGAAGACGATTCAAAATACATGTGGAGCGTAGGTTCAAAGAGGATAAGTGGGCATACCTCGCTGAACGGTAAATTTGATGTCTCAAATCAGACATCTGTGAATTGCCACTGTAATCAAGATTCACCCTCCTGTTGTACCATCGGAATGACTCCGTAGAGAGCGTAGTATATGAACCACAACCACAACCACAACAGTTCAGCTCCCCCGGCCACGTGACCCAGTATTTACCATTACTCGATCTCATCGAGTCAACGCCCATAATCTGGGAAATCTGCAGCCCCAGTTTTTTTTCGCTCGATGATTAGATATGCGCCACGCCCGGTATCCCGCCAATCATCAAGCCCGGTCTGCTTGCGGAGAGCCCAAGTGGAGCCCGTGTGCACCCGCGTTATCGCAAGATCAACCCCGTCTGACTCGACTGACGCGGGCAGTGGGAAATGATAGGCGTTCGACCCCAACGCCCTCCGTGCTCGACCCTCCACACCTTCCAAGCTAATTAAGAAAAGATAGCAACGGGAACATCGCACATGGCAGACTCGGGCCACAGATCGTCCCACCGGGACTCTTTTGATTGCCCCTCCTTATCGCACTCTGACGGAGTGGAACGGGGATGCGACGCTCCAGGATCCGGATCTCCATCACCCATGCGACTTATTATATCATAGCTTCCCCCGGTCCATGACCCGGTCTACTTCTAAGCCTAGCAAATATCATTTCGCAAGTTGACATCACTTCATTCTGCCTGCTGGTTGATCCTTTTTTTTTTCTTGTGATTCTGCTTTTTTCTTCAGCGTGACTGTATTTTGCTTCGAGTGATTACCTTCGACCGGCATCATGTCGAGGATTAAATGGATTCTCAACAAAGCGGCCGTCTCGAGTGAGCCGGGGCTATCGAATGCCCAGTTGATGTTGACAAACGACGATTTGAGGCCAGGTGAGCCGTGATCGGAGCTACAATTGCTCGTTCCCCACGCCCGATGGCCCAAGACCAGTCAGGCTAATCATTGGGAATTTCGGAATCGCAGTCGAACCCGAACGTCGTCAGTGGAAATGGTTGAACTATATCGCATTCTGGATTGCAGACTCGCTGAACATTGTGAGTGTCCCGGGCCTCGATATTATGTCCGCATTTGGAGGAAAGTCTAACGTCACCCCCAGAACACATGGATGATTTCCTCTTCTATGATTGTCTCTGGCCTGTCCTGGTGGCAGTCATGGCTCTGTGTGTGGATTGGATATTTCATTGCCGCAGGCTTCGTTTGTCTCACCGGTCGCATCGGCGCCGTCTATCATATCTCCTTCCCAGTGACCGTCCGAGCATCGTTCGGCATCTGGGGTTCTTTTTGGCCCGTGATCAACCGTGTTGTCATGGCCATTATCTGGTATGGCGTGCAAAGCTATATTGGAGGTAAGACACAGTCACCAGGGATTTTGGGGGTCCGCATGCCATATAGAACCCGGTAACTAATCCTTGTACCGTTTCCAGGTGAATGTGTGACTTTAATGATCGAGGCGATTTGGCCCAGTTACAAGAATCTGCACAATGGACTTTCTGCCAGCGCTGGCGTTGACACCAAGAATTTCCTGAGCTTTTTCCTGTTCTGGCTACTCTCCCTCCCAGCTCTTTGGTTCCCAGTTCACAAAGTGCGACACTTGTTCACCGTCAAGGCAATCTATTCTCCCATCGCCGCCATTGCCTTCTTCGCCTGGGCCATCTCGCGGGCACACGGTATCGGCCCAATCGTCCACCAGGGTAGCACCGTCCACGGCAGCACGCTAGCCTGGGTGTTCGTGAAGGGAGTCATGAGTTGTATCGGAAACTTTGCAGCTCTGATCATGAACGATCCTGATTTTTCGCGCTTTGCACGAAAGCCCAAGGATGCCTTGTGGTCCCAGCTTCTTACCATCCCCATCGGTTTCGGTATCACCTCTTTCATCGGTATCATCGTGTCCTCTTCGTCATCGGTTATTTACAAGGGCGACCCCGTCTGGAACCCGCTTGACCTACTTGGCATGTTCCTCGAAGGAGCCAGCTCTGGTCAGCGATTCGGTATTTTCATCATCGCAACCGGATTCGCCCTCGCCCAGCTGGGAACCAACATCTCAGCCAACTCCGTCTCCGCCGGAACGGACTTGACTGCCCTGATGCCGCGGTATCTTAACATCCGCCGGGGCAGTTATATCTGCGCCGCCATCGGTCTAGCCATGTGCCCGGTACGTGTTGACGACCAACACTTTTTTTTTTTTTTCCAAAAAAAGGTTAAATCAAATAACTGACAAACGCCTTAGTGGAATCTCGTGGTAACATCCAACCAATTCACAACCTACCTCTCCGCCTACTCCCTCTTCCTCTCCGCCATCGCCGGCGTGATGATCTGCGACTACTACATCGTCCGCAAAGGCTACCTCGACATCAAAGCCCTGTACAGCGGCCGCAAAACGGACCCTTACTACTACACCCTCGGTTTCTCCTGGCGCGCCTACGCCGCCTACTTCGCCGGCATCCTCATCAACATCGTCGGATTCGCCGGTGCCGTGGGCCGCGATGTCCCCGTCGGAGCGCAGTATATCTACAACATCAACTATTTCACCGGTGTGCTCGTCTCGGGTGGGACATACTGGATCCTCACCCGTATTTTCCCCATACCGGCGACTAGTGATCGGTGGAATGAAGTTGATATTGATGATATTGAGGAATATGGCGTAGCGTATGGACAGCCCGTTAGTGACGAGGAGAATACTGGTTATGATCGTCGTTCGATTACGGATTCGTTGCCACCGGATGAGCAGAAGAAGGGCATTAATACTGCTACGAAGAGGTTTTGAGCGTCAAGGGTGGTCTGATTGCATGTTTCATGACCGTGTCATCTGGGCTTTTCTTGTCTATTCGTCTAATATTTTTGTTGGGATTGTTTATGACATGACCTTCTCTGCGCATATACCAGGTGATAAGAGTTCGGCCTTGAGTTTTATGATGTGATGACAATTTATGATCATTTGGATTCGAAAGTTGCACATGTAAGAGCTCGTGGGGTTCAAGGTCCCTTCTCACTATATGCTTGTAAAAAGACAGCACACACATCAGTGTGAAAGCACCAACTCCCTCCCTGAATATCCATGTTGAGGTAAAGATTAAAAAGAAGTCCAAATGATGGTCAAAGCCTATTTTCATTTGATTAAAAAAAAAAAAAAAAGAGACAATGCTGAGATTGATCTATACCTAGACGACCGTTCGAATGCAGACCAGAAAAAAGAAGCAAGCAGGATCAGAGCCCGCAAGTATTCCATGCGACCCAGCGCGTCATCTATTAAAAACACAGTATGAATGACAGGGAGGAATGGAAAAGTTCAACAAAGAAGAATCAAAAGACCGACGGAAGGATAGCAAGGGCGAGATCCAGCACCCAGAGAAATGAAGGTGGTAATCCTCGAATGAGTGATAAGATTCCTCAAGAAAAGAAGAAGCACAAGACAAGACCAGACAGAAAGAAACAATTTGATAGGGCGCCTCCCGGTTAATCTTCCCGATTGCCAACATAATGCGAAATATGCCCGGAGGGACGAAACCCTGCATTCCCGACCATACCATGAAGATGAGATGCCCAAATGATGAGTGAGAGATGTGCGTTACTCCGGTGAACCAGCCACGAAATGAGATGAGTGATATGAAGTGATCTTTCCCAAGTGATGACTCCCGCAAATGCGATGTAGTTGATAAGTGGTGGGTGGCTGTTCGCCCGAAGTCCACAAAAGTTCTCCGTGCCCCGACAAGAAATGACGACAGGGATAGGAGCAGAAAACAAACTAGAAAAAAAAACAATACATAGGAACACCCTGCCATATGGGATACCAAGCTAGTACAAAGAAGAATTGTCACAAAAGAAACGGGCGCAGATACAAACAGCACTAGAATATACACAAAATAAAACATTGGGGGTATCGCTGCGACGGGTATAGCAATGGTAGTAACATGCAAACTAAACAGGCAGAGATGTGATGGGAGAGAATGTCATCGAGTACAAGAAGACGCACGGGCGACCTTGCAAAAGTCGACATTGGGAGGTAGATGATGAGTGTAGATGTGACGAGGAAACCGACCGTGGGGAGGAGGGGAGGAGAAAACCATTCATTGCAGGAATGAAGAGTTGGAGGTTGTGGAGACGGTCGGGGTGAGGTTTGGAGAGCTATCCTTATCCTCAGGACTGACGGGATCACGGCGATCCGCAGATTGATCCTTTTCACGGTCAGTAGACGATGAACGCTTGAAGACAGACTGGCCAATCTGGCGGAAGATGCCCATGCGCTCGGCACGGAGTTCCTCCAAATCCAGACGCTGAACGGGAACGGGGTCCTCCTTGGAGATGCGGCAGAACAGGGTCGAGAACAGGTACTGGTCACCGCTGCCATCGTAAAGAGGCAGGTAACGATAACCCTGAGAGAGACTGGTGAGCTTAGCCGTGAAGGTAGCCAGTTGCACGCTGTTGCTGTTGCCAGCGCTGCGGCCATCCAGGGAGCTCCAGACAGTCCATCGGACAAAGACCAGATCGGGATACTTGGTCTCCAAGGAAAGCTTGAAACGATCATTGAACACAGGGCTGTAGCCATTGCTTGGCTCGATCTTGGTGCGTCGGCGGTGGGGATATCCGATACCAGACATGCCATTTCGCGCAGAAGCATCCATGCCACCCTCGCCAAAGACCAGACTCTGACCGCGGTCATCAGCACTGAACATCTCAATCTCAACATAGGGGTTGATGCTGTCCTCGGGACCAAGAGTGCGAGGTCGTGGAAGCTGCTGCGCTGAGATCACGTCGACCGCAAATCGAACCAGTCTCCGCTCCATCTTTCGCTTCGGGCCCCCGAAGTCTGACAGTGGGATACGGAGGCTCTCAGGCTTGAGGACATAACCGGTACGATCGGTTCCAGCCGCGAACATGGCCTGGTTCATCTGCATACCGATATCGTAGGTCTGCCAATTGAGCGCAGCCATCTGTACACCGCGGCGCCAGAACTTGTTCGGGTCGAAGTTGGAAGAGCGAAGGCGAAAGCCGGAGGGATACACACGAGTGAGATATTTCCGGTTGTGAGCCTCGAGTGAGACCTTGTTGTCATGGTTCTGGCAGATACTCTCAAAGGCGCGTTCAGCGAACGAGTACACGTGGTTGTATTTCCTGCTCTCCGGGGAGGAGAAGCTGTGCCACTTGTAGCCACGAGTATAAATACCAAGGTCCGAGAGGGGCTTAGTGATCTTGCTCTTCTGGCGACGACGCTTCTTCTTCTCATTGTGAATGGACACCAAAGCGCCGTCACTGTCTTCGGTGGCGCTGCTCATGCTGGTCGCGGTGAGTGACCGTCTGTCCTGGGAAATCAATGGACCGATTCCGTCCACGGAACCAATCGAGGGTGGGCTTGAGAGCGGTGGCAGGGGCATAGTGCTGGAAAGAGTCATGTCGGGAGGAGGAGTTGGGCGAACAAATGGCGAACTGGCACTGCGCTTGCGACCATGGGTGCCGACGGAGCTCACCGTATCCTGGCGAGGGTCCAGCGGAGTCTCGTCACAAGTCTTGACCTTGACCAAAATACGGCCCTTGAGCTCCTCGGGCGACGGCAGAATGTAACAGTTGGTCATCAAAGGCTCCAGGATAAGCTGCTCCTTGAAAGTATCCTTCATGATCTTGACCATTGCCAGCTGCTGCTCAGGATTGCAGTGCACTTCAAGGGAAAGGATCAGGGGAAAGTCGCAAGAGATAAAGGCGTATCGGTTGATGACCGTGATACAATCCGCAAAGAGCACGCTAGTGGTCATGGTTCGTCCATGAGACACGATTGGACGTCCGTCAGCACCATCCCAGCAGTCGATCTCCACACAGCGACATCCCTGCTGAAGCGCACTAATGTAAGCCTCGGTACTCGAGGCCCCAGCGACTTGGCGGCCCAGCAGGTAAGTGTTGTGAGAGCTGGAAATGAAGTACTCGTTCAATGGACGATCAAATCGTGACTGGGGGGCCTTGGACGCATAGATTCCGTTGTTGGGGGAAGCCAAGAAAGCCGAGAAGGTATCGAGATTCATACGAGAAGGTGGAGGGATGGCAATGTCGGACATGTCGGAAGCGTTGGACGGACGATGTCTTGATCGCTTAACAAATTTCTCGAACAAAGCAACCCAATGAGCACGATCAGCTTCAACATCCTCCTTTTGAACGTCGCGCAGAAAGTTCAAGAACTCTTCCTGGGTCAGGCCAGACTTGTGATCTTCCGCGCGACTCTTGTAGATTTCCTTCACGTCCTTCCGCTCCTTCAGTCGCGTCAGAAAGTCCTTGAACTCAGAGAAGTCCAAGCGGCCATTGCGCCCAGTGTCAGCCTTGGAGAATTGAGCTCGGAGCATGTTCTTAGAGCAGTTGATATGCAGACTGCGGCAAACACTCTCGACCGCAGTGAAATCTAGACTTTGTACCTCACCGGGACGAAGGCCTTGAGGGAACAGCCTCGACATCTCGCGCTGCCAATGAGCTTGGAGGACAGCGTCGCTCTGACCCGAAGCTGCCAGACCAGCCATCAGGCCAATCCGGTATCGAGAAATATGCTCCAGGGTCGTGGTCCACAACTCCAGGATGTGATCATCGGGGGCAATCAGGTGCAAGGTCTTGAAAGCGCGGCCCTTGAAGCGTTCCGATTCCGCGATAACAATGGTGAACCATCGACCTTCGGTATCCTCGGGAATCTGATGTTCCTCGCGGTAATTGCGGGCATCTGCGCCAACGCGGATCTCCTTGATATCGTCGATGTAAAACCGCTTGGCGGGATTTGAGACGTCCCAGAAGACCTTTGCAGCGTCCAGATCCAAGAAGAACCGAACTTGTTTGCGATGCTTTTTCGTCACTTTAGTCAAGATGGTTCCGCGCTGTACGGCCGAGTCAACCTTGGGAGCGACAGCACCACCCGCAGTGGAAACCAGTTCGCGAGCCGACATCATACGGCTTTCACTACGAAGACTTGATGGCTCTGAGCCAGCCCAAGCACCGAGTCCGTCCAAAGCTTCAATCGAGTCATCCTCGTTGCTAGATTCCAGCGCGTTGTCACGGGCGGTTTGGGCACCGTTCTTGCTGTCACTCCTTCGACGCAGGATAACGGGACCGGAGCTCCGGTCTCGTTTGTCGTTCTGCGTGGCGGATTGTCTTCTCCTTGTCAGTTTGCTGGCGGCACCCCGGGAGATTCGCCGCATCAAGCCTGGAGCTTTGGAGCTAGACGTGGATGGGTCGTTAACACCATTGCCGGTGAGATTGATGGTCTCGGGAACTGCCATCATAGATTCGCCAAGTTCGAGCGGGGCGGGAAGAGGAAGAGGATAAATTCGACCACGAGGGCCGTCACTGGGAGGCTGAAGAGGAGTACCGGCTGGGGTGAAGGCATTCGGTGTACCCGGGCCTGGGTAGATGGAGACCGGAGTAGAGGTAGGTGAGGAGGTAAACGAAGGTGCTGAAGAAGGAGTCGGACCAGAAGGGGGTAGAGAGGTAATGACATGATGTAGGGAGGTGGATCGAGTCAGAGATGTGGTGAGTTTTAAGGTGGTTTGGGGATCGGCATCCATGGCCGGAGGCGAGGTCGCGGTAGCGTAAGCCATGACGGGTATCCGTTATCAGACCGACAGCTCAGCTGTCGGTACGTGCAATGTTTAAGTGGTTTTCGTGAACCGTGCCAACTTCCGAGTCACCTGGACTCAGTCAGAGGGCGAATCGGTAACAGCGCAGGGGACCAGCCGGGCCGTTCAAAGGTTGCAAGAGGCCAGGTTGGGAAAGGGATCCGAGCCAGAAGAAGAAAAGAAAACGGAATAGCCTGACACAGTAAGCAAAGAATGGGGGTTCAGCCACGTCCTCAGCAGAAAGGATCCGTTCTTGAACTCTGCATCTTGGCCTGGCTGGAATGGAATGCGGAGAGCTCTACCGGAGAGCACCTCACGGAGAAAAGCCGAGGGGGGAGGGAGAGAGAGAGGAAGAGGTAGGCGTGACTCGAGGGAAAATACAATCAAAGAGAGGACAAGATAGAAAGGAAAAAAAAGTCCCTGATAACAATTGCAAAGGGCACTGGCCCCGTGCAACGGTTCTCGGTTTTATTTTCTTTATTTCTTTTCTTTTCTTGCCCGTTCTTCTTTTCTAGACCCAGAGGAGTTCCTCCGACGGTAGCCACTTGCTGATAGACGTCACACACGCTCTTCGAAGGATGATCTCCACGTCCAGGGTTCCGGTCCGTAAGTCTCAGAGCTGCTTCTTTGGGAACCAAGCTGATTCCCTGTCGAATCCTCCCAATGGGACCAATGCGACCCCTCTTTTCTGCTTGTCGATCTGCCGGTCCGTGGGGAAAGCTGCCGCTCTGCACGGGAGAGGGGGAGAAACGTTGCGATAATGAACCAATTGATCGCGCAACCAGTGGGCGAATCCAGGGAGAGAGGGGGGAAGGATGCGGCGCCTTATGCTCGGTAATGAGACAAAAGGAGGGGGCTGATGGCGAGTAGCGTGCGAGTCAAGAGGCTGTCGACAGCTGCACCTAGACGGGAACAATCCCAGCGTTCAGGGAAGAGCCCCAAAAAGAGATGCAGTCGCGTGTTCGAACTAGGCGGCGAACAAGGCCCAGGGTAGATTTCGCAGAGAAATAGTAACCAAAGATTATGGCCAGGGTATAATCCTAGTCGGAACGCAGCTCCACACTTTTCGATTGGCCCAGGAGACTGGCAAATGCAGCGGGCGATGGGAGTACCCGTGTGCTAGGGTGCAGGGAACTTTTTTGCGGCGCAACGGGAGGGCGGAGAAACGGGCAATGCGATTGAGGAAACGAGGAAAATCGAGAATTGCGACACTGCCAACGCAGTGGATGCAGGCGGTCCAAAGGGGAAAGGCAAAGCAAATCGGGGACTGGACCGAGATTTTAAAGGGCTTCGCTGATGTTGGATAATCGTTCCTTAGTGCAGTTTGGTCGCGTAGTCGTGAGCTGATCGGGGGTGGTGGTGCTGCACGGTTACGTGGTGGCCGCTAAAGTCCGTATGCGAGGTGGATTTGGGGGAACTGCTTCCTGCAGCGGCAATCGCGACGATCGAGGAGGATCAAACCAGTGTTCTCCTATCGAGGGCGAGTTATTTGTGATCAGGTTGAGGTTGCAGAAATTTGGACAGAGGAAGGGTTTGAGAGGGTCGAGAAGTGGAAGGGAAGGGGGGTGGTGGTAGGAGAAAGGGAATTAAAAAAATGATTTAATCAATGAATCAATTCCCAGCGATTCCGCCGGGTTGGATGTGAAGCTGCAGTGGGTACGGGTATTGCTGGTATTGCTGGTATTGCATACTGTACGTACCAGAGGGTTGGTGCTGTCGGATGAGGCGTCGTACTGGAAACCGGTATGGTTTTGTATCGGTTTCCGAGTATTCGTGGCACGTACGTAATACGGTACGGGGGAACCGGAGCCTTGGCTTAGGCTTTCTGGTCTTGTACGACGCTTTGTGTCCGTTGGGAATTCGGATTCAATAAGTGAATTTAGATATACCGCACGTAACTGACAATCGAATATGCGATAGAATGGAATTTCAGCGTTCTTGTAGCCTGATTAACGGGAAAAGAAGATCCGGACGGGGGTATTGGCGATGCGAGCCTGAAGTATAGATAGCGGGAAACCGAAGCGGTTGAGGCGTTGGGGATAGAGTAACCTGCGCTAAATGGAAAAAAGTAAAATAAAGTAAAAGTAAGTAGCTGTCCCTCCAAAGATATAAGAGAATAAATAAGAAAACATATTGGGATGGAAGGCGGACCCGTATCTATGTATAGTATCGATAGCCCTCAGGATGAGGCTTAGAGTGCATCAGACAGACGGCAAAAAAAGGATAAGATGGGGCGGAAAAATTGAACGGGGCTAGGGCTGATCCTCAATTAAATATTTCAATCTTACAATGAAAAAATTGGAGAGAGAGGGAAAGAGCAGCGTGGAAGAGGGCGAGTGGAAACAACGCATAGCAGACCGGGTTAGAATTTACGAAGCGATCTCCTACGGTGAAGGAAGGTATGCCACTTTGCCAATAGCTGGCCGTCTAATCAGCATACAGAAAAAGCCGTTTTTAGGTATCGTTGGATATGGGATGACGATATGGAATGGCTACGACTGCCAACGGGCGACGAGCAGATCTCGTTGCTAGGTGTCATTGGACGATCCTTCTACCTAAGGTAATTTCTGGGGAATGTTATCGCCCAAACGGAGGGGGCCGATCGGTGTTTCAGAAGCGTGGACGGGGGGCCAACGCAATGTCGACTGAACGCGAGACGGAGAAAGGGAACGTTGAGCAGACACGAAGGACTTCTTCGCAATGGAGAACAGCAACGACCAAGGGAGGCCCTACATCTATGGTATGAAGCTGTATCGGCCTCTACTTCACCCATCAAACGGAGAATTTCTCCAGTCAAGTGGGTACCATTCGAGCAGTCTATTTCATTCAGACTTTCATAGTCTTGAAAATCGTGGACCGGGCTCCAGTTCCCCCACATTGGCCATGCATTTGAGTCCACAAGCTATTCTTCTATTTTGTTTCCACTCTCACTAGTAGAGGCGGGATATCGTATTATTCTGTGGGGGGGGATGGTCCTGGGCGGAGTAGTATCAAGTACAGTGTAGGTCTGACTATCTACTCTAAAGAGAGAAAGATGAACTTCCAGTTACGGACTCGTGTCGCGTGGTATTATCGCATACCTAGCCCATACAAGTGGCCCACATCGTCATTCTTAGCCTCTTATACATACCCATAGGGCGGCTGGCGTCCTCCAAGTGTTAGTTCATTGTGTTCCTTTCGTAATGGGCTTAAGTGGGTTTCCCAGCACCGACACGTCGGTCCTAGGGGAAGAATATGCGGGGCCCTCGGATTCCGGCGTTTGGATCTCTTGGTGACAGATAATCTCGCCCCAATTGCTCGACCGATCTCCAGTGACATCCATGTCAGGTTGTACTAGTCTACGATTGTGAATGCATGTTAGTTACCACGGTCACCGCGCTACGGTATGATGATGACGACGGCCGGCTTAATGGTCGGGCGCGTATATACGTCTCTGCCCAACTGGCGGTGGACTACCGGGATGTACAGCAGAAGGGGGAGCCGTATGTGCCACAGGCGGTCGATCAAGATGTACATCGTCATTCCCTCTTATTCGGCCAAGCCTGTGCACGAATAATACGTTTTTGGAAGGGTGGCGCCATTGGAAAAAGGGGACAACGATAGCCAGCGTGGAGTGTCGATCTACTTCAAACACTGCAACGATTGAATGGATTGCTTGGTTTAGTTGGTAATATGAAATACAGTCAGTATGTAGAACAAGAATACTGTAGCTACAGTACTGCGTTACGCCGTCATCTTCGTGGCCCGTGGTCTCCCCGAGGGCCGGAACCGGTAAGGCTGCAGCAAAACTACCAACAGACTACTCCTCCGACATCCCTGCCATCCCTGACACCCCTGTGCACTGTGAGGCTGGGGCCGTGGCAGTGAAACGTTTCGGGCGGTGCAGATGGAGCCAGTGAAACCCCGCAATGAGCCCGCAAGAGATCGTCGGATGTTTGAGAGCCCGTTCTCTGACGAACCCTCCTAGTGGAGGAGAAGGGGGGGTTGTGCTCCAGTAGGGCTCCAGTTAAATCCTGGTTATGCTCCATTTGGTATTTCAAAGTGGAGGACAAGAAAGATGGGCCTCTCCGTTGGCCCTTATCGTTGTTCACCGTATTAGACCATTAAGGGGCGGTCTGGTAACGTGATGGAGTTGACTTTGACAAGATAATTGGTTTTAGGATTGTGACTGGAATTTTGCTTTCTGACTTGCTATTACTGAATTCCAGCCTTGTTCGTAACTGTAATATTCTCGAGTTTTGTTTTTGTTTTCGTTTCTCTCATCGTGAACTAAATTGGGGAAAAGAGAGGGGTACAGTACAAGTCGTGCATCAGACTAGAAAACCAGCGCCGACACATGCTACCTTCAGCCAGACTCGTACCTGCGGTCATGCAGCACGACTAGACTATGCTTGGACATGAGACAGTATAGTGGGAATTGCCAGGCATCAACGCGTGAGACAGAATGCGACAAGCCGCAATGCAGTCAATTCCAAACTAAAAACCTCATTTCGAGAGCCGTCGTAGTTCGTATAGACGATAATATCTGCGGGGTTACTATCAACCCCGCGTTACCTGATGCGTTGGCGATGCTATGATGCTCAGCCCTTTTTCCTTGATTTCCGAACCCCTTCTGCACGATCCGCGATACCCGGGTGAGCAAGGTGCACGTCGTATGAAAAGAGTAAAAAAAAAGAGAAAGAGGGCTGAGAGCTGACGGACCCCCCCCCCCCCACCCCACCCCTCTCTCTCTCTCTCCTCGGATCCTCGCAGGATACTCGCAGACCCAGTGATTTCATGGTGAGGCACCTTAGCGCGCAACCAGCTACTAGGTAACGAGGAGCGTGACCAGACTCGGTAGTATATCGTGCTGTTATGCGGGCTTTGCGCGACGGGCTCTCGTACCCTAATCCAATCATGCTTCAGTGATGTCCTGAAGAGTATCGCGCAACTGAAGAGCTTGGATCCCGGACGATAATCCCCCTCTCCTTGGCACCGATTCCCTTGTCATTTCACCTTCCTGTTTTTCAGGACCAAGAATCCAACCACGAGGCAGGGAGGAGAAACTCGACTGCCTAAACGAGTCGGTCGCGGCTTGCGCGTAGCCGAACCGGTAAGGTCTCACGTCAAGCAGCATGCTGCTTCTGCATTTCATCAGACTTCGCGCCGGGGCTGGGCGCACGTGCGGAGGGGCTTTAATTGATGACTCACTATCATAGGTGGCCCTGTCGTTACACTAGATACTTCTTGCACCACGAGGGAAAATCCTTGGTAGCCTATGGCGTGTGGCTGACGAGCCTTGCTGACCGTTTCCGACCGATCCGTGCGCTATCGCGATCGTGTACAGCGGCTGTGGCGGTCTTTGCTGAGCACCTCGGCATCGTGGTAGGTACTTGATAAGTAGATTGTAGTTCAACAAACTGTACATCCAATCGTGAATGGTTACGCAACGGCGTTCCCAACATGCTGGTCCGCATGAGAGATAACCATATCGTCTCGGCTGATTCTGATCTTCATGAGAAGTAGCAGTATGCAGCGACGCCACGTTATCAGCGAAGCATCATCGGATTCTCTTTCGAAGGCCATCGCATCATGGTTCTTGCCCAGTGAAGAGTCGTGGCTAGAGAAGCAAGGGCCACCGCCACAGTTGTAGAACCGCAAGATGACGGATGTAATCTCGCGTGCTTAGTGGGCCGTGAGGGTCAGAGCAATCATTGATTTACAGACCGCTCCCTATCATCCGTTGATCAGTCTCCAGGTTGGATGATGCAGCCAGTGAGCGCATGCCAACCCAATTAGGGCGGGCTACCGACCGACAATCTCTTGTTGATCGCGGCAAAAGAGCAGGGGGGGTGATTTGCGATGGTGGAATAATGATTTGTTGATCGAATCGCTCTTCAATACCTGCACGCCTTCCTGATTCTGTATTTCCATGCGTGTGCCGTCTCCCGTCCCCGTCACCCATACGGAATACTCCATCAAGCATACTCCCATGCTTACAACCTCATAGGTTGTCTTTGATGCCGGGATTCCCCATGGTTCCCGTGACCTCTCCCCCTCGGCCAAGTTTCTCCCGTTAAGATCATCAATCACCCTCAATCACTATCACTAGCGGTGAGCCCCCAGGGTCGGTCCAATCACCGTATTATGTTGACTTGGATAGTGGTTGACACTTGGCGACAGAGAGGCCCCCCCCGGTTGACTCAAATGGCCCGGTTGGGGATAGCTAGGAACAGGGGGTGAGCGATGTCTTAGACGTGCGTCCTTCCAAGGTTCTTGGGTTCTTCCATTGGCTTCAGTGGGGCTCCTTAACGTTGCGCTTTTCTTGAACCGGAGGCCCACTGTTTGACAGGGTCGTTCTCTCCCTCTCCTGGTAGAGTAATTAATGTTCAGAGGGTATTGTAACAACGGTAATATATGTATTGACGTACTGTATTAAGGTTAAGGTGTCTTTTGTGTTTCCATGCCTTCCTAGATAATCATTGACGAAGTCATCGTTGCTGTGGCTTGAGGCCGATAGTGCTATGTACGTACACATTAATGACAATAGTCATGCATAGACCCTGTTATCTGTATACTCCTCCACCAGACTTG